ACGCTCTCCGAAGAGCAGCGAGCTGATACTGCGACTGTTCCTCTTCGGGTCCAGGAACAATGCAGGGATTGGAAAAAACTCAAGGTGGGTGAGCTTTTGAAAGCTAGGAAGACCAGATGGCATGCCCATATCCCCAGATTCCCCAAGAGTTGCACCCCATCGGCGGCTGATGAGGATGAGCTTGTGAATACTTAGGGAGCAGAAGACAACGCTTGGGATTTGCCCCGATCGACTGCAGAGTGGCTGGTCTTGCTGGTCCGAGTGGTGGCAATGACAATTCGGCCATGGTCAAACATGTTCTCGTCTTGAGAGTCCTTCCCTTCCCACTCTGTGATATCCGTTGCCCCCTTGGTTCATGAGAGCAATATTCGGGCTGCGAAGCTGCCCTTTGAAGTCTCATGTCTCACTCCCGAGGAGCCCTTTGGATTTCTTCAAGTCCTCGAAAAACCCCGGTTGTCACCCACCCATTTCGAACATCCCCAGCCTGTCCCTGTCGATGTTCGTTCGCATCGGAGATGTACAGGAAGGCCAGCGTCTTGAAGGCACGATGCCTTGACAAGATATGTTGGAACTCCCGGGTCGCCACATCGGGATAGCCGCCAGTCTGGAGGAGTTAGAAAAATTGATATAATGGGGTAGGGCGTACTTACCGTTACTAAGAACACGGGGCCTCGTCACAGATCACCCGAGCGAACAGGTCGGCGAAGTGTGAAACCATGACCTCGTTGTCGTCTCCACTCGAATACGATGAGCTATTTAGAAGCGTGTCATCGTGGTCCTCATGGTCATCGTGGTCCTCATGGTCATCGTGGTCCTCATGATTATCGTGGTCATCGTGGTCCTCGTCGTCCTCATGGTCAACTACGGAACCGGGCGTCTTCGAAGGCCTTGGGGAATTTGTCCACGATACTGCGGTGTTCGCATACAACAACAGCTCGGATGCTAGCCTCGGTCTGGTTTACTTTGGCAATATCGACAAGAAGGCGAGGGATTTGATAGCTTTTGCAGCCATTTAGCGAGTTGCTGAATTTGGCTTTCTTGTCAACTGGACGAGCACAGCGAGCTGTATACTGCACAGCTCATGGTCCCTGGCGCTTTGATCTTACACCGCCAGAGGTCTGACATGACGCCGAAAAGCCATCGTGCACCAGCGTATGCATCCTCTCGGAACAAGAACACGCCGAGCAATGGACTTTGAAACTGACTCGTGTGGAGTTTGGCATGCAACACCGCACCACTTTTGCTCTTTCAGTCAGGAATGTAGACCATCTCCGCATCACCAAACCGCACCGCACTGCACATTCTGTGCCCTTTCTGGCCTTGCCAGAGCCTGTTCGCTATCGACGAAGAGGAGTGCTCATTGGCAATGGTCCGGACGTGATTTTCTCTCAATCAACGCAATACCTCCGCGCAACCTTTGTGGAAAGCATCTGTTCCGTGTTAAACACCATAGAGCACTCTCCAGGCGGTTGGTTGGGGTGATCTCGCCGAAGGCTTAGAAGTAGACCGTAGACGTCCAATTCTGTCGAACATCTTCACTAAGCGATACATCGTTTCGAGCATTCATCTTGTTGAGAAGACGATGACGTCTGCAGGATTGCAATGGGCTAACACAACTGCACTCTCATCGGCCCAGCGCCTCATCAAGGACCGGTACACGAACCAAGCATTCCAAGTGGCCATATTGTCATAATGTGCGACCATCTGCTGGTCAGCACGCGGGTTGAGCAACCGCCATACCCTCACAATGAGCAGCGGCGGAGGCAGGAGATTGTCAAGCACTACTAGTGCTTGGTCAATCCGCAGACTCCTTGAACGGCACTTGGTCCATTTGGTGTGTATGTGCCCTGTCCGGAGAGGAGAAGAATGAGGTGTTTGAGACTTGCAAGTGCCCGGTGGACCCTTCACGATGACAAAGCCAGCGGGAGCCTTTCGCGCCAATCCGAAGCAAGCTTTCTGTGCGTCGTTCGAAGAAAGGCCTGAGTTTGCCCCTAGATGGAGCTCCAGATTGTACTCTGGGACAGAACGCTAGACGTCCCCCTTTGGGGCTCCGACGATGTTATTGCCGAGTAGAAGCTGACATACAGTACCTCAGTCCGATCCTGCTGGAGGCCGTACACAGTTGATATAGAATTCCGCAAAGCTGCTGATCCCATAAAGATGGACGGCCTTATCGCTGCTTTCGACATCGGCCTTGACTTCAAGCGGTGTGAAAGATGTCAAAATCTCCTTATCTGTGAGGACTCGGTCTCTGCTTAGGAGCGAAATGATCTTCTGGTGTGGCTCTCGAAGCAACCTCCACTAAATTTCATCTCCAACCGCTGTCCCATCCTAAAGGAAGATAGACTGTCACAAGCCGAATGGAGATTCCAGTCAGAAGATCAGGGTTGATTTGCGGAGTTCCAGGTCCATGAAATGGACGCGTTTAGGAGGCGCTGCCTGGTCATGGTATCTGCGTCTGCGTTGGTATGGGTAGAGGTCCTTTTTGTTCAGAGGAAGGTGCCTCAATAAATAAATACATATCGGTAGCATTCTCATCTCCGAAGGATAACAATCTCGTTTGTGGTTGAAACCGGATGCTGACCCGTGGGCTAGAAAATGGTTCACTTCTGCGCTCTCTCGGTATCGTTGCAGCAAATCGGGCATAAGGTTTGCCGTGCCAACTGCTTGGGCTCCTTACAGGAAGAAGAAATCTGCGGCAGTCTCATTCCTCTCAGGGATGCGGTCTCATCTTGAATGATTGCACCATTGCCTGATGATCGCACACCACTGTGAGTGATTTCTCCATGATCGGTGTATTGTGGCAGCTTTTGGAGGGCCCATGTCAGAGCGCCTGTTTCAAGTCCAGTCGGCCAGTAATTCTTTTCTGCCTCGGATACTGTAAGGTCCGGGACAAGAAACATGCGCCGGAGGAACCAAAGGTGTCCAAACCCCCTGTTGTCTTGCTGCATGATTCTGGGTTCGGTCTGATCTTGGAAATAGTGATGGAGAAAAATTGTCTTCCTCAAAGTCCAAAAGAATACGTCGGATTGGTCCCACTGTCAGAATAACCACGCCGTCATGGAGGAAGCCGTCTTCCTCGACATGACATGCGAAAGAAACCGTAGACTGGTATGTGTGTATGTGATGTATATATAACACCCCTGCCTCCAAGCTATATTGTACAGCCTTGCAATCTGCAAGGGTGGTTCGGATGGAGTCCTCGGCTCGGAGGCCTACATCGCGGAGGGCCGGCAGCCATTCGGGATTTGTGAAGAGTACTCTCTTCACTTTTTCAAACAAGTCGGCCACGATGTCGGACTCTATGCGCGGCTCGAACTTCAGCAAAGATCCAGTGCTTTTGTGAACACGTGGTCGAAAATTTTCCAACCTGACCTTTGCCACTTCAAGCTGCTGTCGGAAGCCTGCGTTCGTTTTTTTGGCAGCGTTGTCTACCAAAGGTCTGGGGGAACCGCCTGGTTGACAGAATAAGAGAGGTCCCGGAAGAAGGCGGCTGTCGCGAGTCCTCGATCTTGGGAAACATGTCGTGGTTCAACTTCTCATGTTCGGCTGCCGCCCACTTTGGCCACATATCGCGTAACTGGAGGTAGATGTCTCCTTCATTATCTGAAGCGTATACTTCCGATTCATTTGCATGGACAAGACGATAGTAATCGTTGTTTAGCTGGCTTCGGCCGTGGAGAGAATCAAGAACAATGGAAGCAAGATGTATACTTAAAGACACGGGCCGTGCCCCAGGGTCCATCTCCCCCATGTGGCGTTTGGGTAAGCTTGCTCCAGCATGTCGCAGAAGCAGTTCACATTGGTGTTGTTTCGGTCGCGCTTCCCCTGTAAGGAATCGAGTACAGCCCGTTGCTGCTGATCCTGATCCGCGAAATCGCAGACCCATGTAAGTTTCTAGAGAAGAGAGAGTTAGCTCGAGCGAAACACAAGCTTTTCACCAGCCCACTGCAAGGAGACGAGAAAGAAAAATTGACTCACGTTCAAATTGTCTGGGTTCAGGGTAGAGTTGAGATCATTGCTGGACAGCTGAGCTGCATAATAGCTACCCGTCGATGCTTACCCGAAGACAAGGCGCATCTCCGGTCTTGCATCTCATGCACTTGGAACTTCCCGCAGGAACGCGGCAAGCACTGAGGTTGGCCTGATTTCCGATCGCTCTGACGCATCGTTGGCACCAAGTCCGCTGTGGTCGATACGACCCTGCACATACAAGTAGCAAGAGGAGTAGGCATAGCTGATCGCTTCAAGAGATTTGCTGCTCAAGGAGTCCGACCAGGGTCCGAAGTGCTTCGAGGATCATTGGCAGAATGGTGTCATCATTGCCACCACCCGCTACTCAAAGGAAGAGAGAGGAGAGAGGAGGAGTGACGCATGTGAATGTAAACAAAGGCCGAACTGGCGCCAGGCATTGGGGATATCCCGGTAAAGCTCCGGCGGGCGCGCTCTATTCATATCCCACAGCAACAGAAATACCTCTTCGAGCCTCCTGGGTTCGGTATGGCATTCCAGTGCCCACCCGACAGGGAGATAGCAACAGCATGCGATGGTCTCACATGCAGTGATGATGTCTTCGGATGGAAGGCACCTGTGCTTTCCGTCCATGTAGAACCTAGGTCTGGTATGGCATGCCCACCCGGCAAGGGGATAGATAGCAATAGCATGCGATGGTCTCACATGACGATTTCCCCGGAATGAAGAGCACAAGGAGAGCAGAATGGAAAAAGAGAGAGGAAAATGAGGAGAGGGGAGAGGCCTTTTATAGATCGACAACCTGCACTGGAGACCGGAGATCTGACTCACATATATTGAATGGTCCTCACTCCATACCTTGGGCAAAGTCACCACATCCACGGCTCGGATGGAGGTATGACTGATTCAGGGGCCTTGGTGATGAGAGAACGCGGAAGGTCCAGGCTTTCAGCAGTACTTACTGTAGAGACGACGGGTGACGATGGAACGAGAGAGCACGAAATGGAATTGGTCAGGGTGTGAAAAAATGGAGTTTCAGGAACGCTTTTGGCATTTCGAATACACCGCAAGGTGATGGGGTTTTTATCCACTGTATCATAGTAGTGATTTCTGATTCCCGAAAGATGCACAATTGTACCATGGATGCTCACCAGGAGTTACAGTCCGTCCATTTTCCAACCAAACCCTATGATACTCATGGGATAGTCAGTCATCCGAATCCATGCACTCGTAACCCGTTCAGCCTTCAAGTGCGTTTCCGACGAGGTAAGTCGACGCTCCCCTTCGTCTGCCGTGACTTTCTCTGGCTACTACCAGTCACGTTTGGTTCTTCACCGACCGCAGCCGCAGCAGTAATTCCCTGTTCAGATGACGGTGCAGTAGACCTCGCCTTGACTGGACTGGCAACTTCGGCCTTGATTTTTTCAATCGGTTCTTGGTCGAGTTTCTTGAAGAACATGTCTTCCACAATCATCCGACCTTCAATCTCTTTGTCACTCTCTTCACCTTCTTTCTTGGGCGGCTCCTCTGCTCCCTCACCAGCAACCTGTTCGTCCAGCTTCAATTTAGTCAGGCCCATGGCATAGATCTGTTCTTCAACCGTGCCTCGGGTGACCAGCCGGACGACCTCGACGTCTTTGACCTGACCTATCCGATGGGCTCTGTTCTCGGCCTGGATGTCGTCCTGAGGGTTGAAGCCACTATCAAAGACAATCACTTTGTTCGCCTTTGCAAGATTGATGCCCGCGCCGCCCGCCTTGGTACTGAGCATGAACACCGGAGTATGATTGTCGTCGGCAGAGAATTCGTCGATCAAATCTTGCCTTTCAGAAACCTTGGTGCTGCCGTCGAGCCGGAAATAGTCAATGGCCTCTCGCTCAAACACCAGTTCAAGAATATCAAGGACCATGACGAATTGACTGAAGATCAGAGTCCTGTGACCCTCTGACATGAACTTTCGCAGTAACTCGAGCATCTTCTGTACCTTCCCACTAGCCAACCATTCGTGGTCGTTGAGCGCAAATCTCCTCAGTTCCGGGTGCTGATCGCACAACGTGTGAATCTCCATGTCCGAGTAGGCCTCTAACTCGGTGACAATGAGGTCCGGATTGGACTCGCGCCACATGTCAACCTTCAGGCACTGTTTCGCAATCCGGGGCAAGATCTCATCAGGATACACTCGGCGGAAGAGCAATGGGTGGATCGCCGCTTGTCTCAACTTCATCAGGATATTTGCCGACTCGTTGGCCACATTTTCTCCTTTCTCCCTTCGTTCACGAATGCTGTAAGCTTTGTCGAGGCACGCTTGGTACAACTCTGATTGTTCAGGAGTCATGTCGCAGTACTCGACGCGACGTTCCTTCTTGGGAAGATCTTTCAGGACCTGGTCCTTCTTGCGCCGCAGGATAAAAGGGGTCAACATACTTCGGGCGCGTTTGATTCTCTCGCTGGAGAGTAGCGCCTCATGGTTGTTGTCCATCGCTTTGACATTATGCTTGAATATGTAGCTCAGCTCAGTCGCCTTGGCCTTGAACATGGATGGCATGAGAAAGCCCAGCAAGCTGATCAATTCTTTGAGATTGTTTTGTAATGGCGTCCCCGTAAGTAACAATCGAAAGTTCGACTGTATTCTCACAAGTTTACTGGCCACTTGAGACTCAGCATTCTTCAGATAGTGCCCCTCGTCGTACACGGTGCAATCGAACCCAAAGCTTTTCAGCCAAGGGAAGTCGTCTTTCCCTTTAGCCAGGGTGTACGTCGTGACGATAACATTGACCTCGTCTCGCGCCGCCTCGAGGTTCTCCCTAAGCGCCACCCGCTCCGTCGGATTGTTGTCATAGTATGGTTCGACATTCAAGGTCGGACAGAAGCGCTGGAATTCCTTCAGCCAGTTTTCCAGAGTCGCCGCAGGAACAACAATAAGATGCGGCCCGTGCCGGCCTTGCTCAAACAGATGGGCCAAAAATGCAATAACCTGGCAAGTCTTTCCCAGCCCCATGTCGTCTGCCAGGATGCAGCTGAGATTTTTTTGGTACAAAAGATTCAGCCAGTTCACTCCCACGACTTGGTAGTCCTTCATCCGGATATCCTCGGACATGATTGACGGCTGCCCGATCAAAGTCTTCTTCGACGGTTTTTTGACAGGATCCCGATCCTCATCACTTATGGGAGTCCCAATCCCAGAGTCGTGGCTTGAGCGTTGCGTGCCTGGTAGCGAGACAATACCGAGCTCTCCGTCTTGAGACCCATAAACATTGACGCCCCAACTCTTCATTTCATCTGCCAGGGGCTTTGCTAGACCCTCACACTGCTTGACAAGGTAATCCACAGCTTCGTAACTTTCCAACATCGTCTCAACCTTCTCCAAAATCTTCTCTCCCAATGGTGCGGCTTTCCGCTTCACCTTGGAAGGCTTCAGATTTGGCGTCTGGACCTTCGAAACCTGGTCGAGGTTTTTGAACGGTCTCTGAGCGATGAAATGCTTAGCGATATCGGGTGTGGTGGATGCAATATCGGCCAAATCAGCCGCTGAGCATGTATTGAAAAATTCAAGCACCCGGGACTGGAATGAGGTATGGCCCTTTTCTTCAAGACTGTGTTCTGACTCCGCCGCATCCGACTCTTCCGACTCGACAATTTGTATAGGTTTGACAACGGGCTTAGAAACAGCTTCTCCTTGACCTACAGAAGGGGAGCGTTTCCGGCCACGCACCAATGTTCGTTTCTTTTGTGGTGGAGGAGTATCAAAGACATCGATCGCCTTGGAAGGCTTCCTGGCGTTCTGGGTCGAGCTCCACTTCTCTGCAATCGACTTTTGGGGTGCCCTGGCTTGTTGGCGGGCCACATTCACCACAGGTTTGGCAACAGGCCTTTTCACAACAGGAGTGGGCAACAGCTCATCTTCTGAGCCTGTCAAATCAACCGGATTCTTCAAGTTCTTCTCATGCCGTTGCTCACTCAACTGGAGGACGTCGGCAACAGCATCATCGAAATTTCCCCGTCGCGACATAAGAGCCTCGGAGCACTCCTTGACCGATACCGACCTCACCATGGACATCATGCGTTTGACTTTCTGCCTTAGGTTGTAGTCACTGATATCATCCAGCTCCATCTCTGGCTGCTTTTTCGGCGGCGACACCGGGAGCGCACGAGACGGTCCGTTTTGTCGTGGTTTCTTTGACACGTTACCATAAGCATTGGCACTGACATCGGCGGAGCGTTTGCTTGTAGTCGAGCTGGATGACAAGTACGTGTCCGGGGAGGCTCGAAACATCGATTTTGCAGCAATCTCCATAAACCGGCTACGGCCATTATTCTGTGCTTGTGGAGACTCGGGGATCTTTTCTGTAGCCTGGCTCTTTCGCACGAACACGGACGGTTTGATGTCATTCGATCTCAGACTCGTTCCGTCGCTGTCGGATGAGCCGGCTCGATATCTCGGACCCTCGTCGTCGCTATCAATGGTGAGGATTGTGCGAGGTGGCTGCGGAGCAACATAGGGTTTTCTGAAGGTGGTCCCAGCGGGAGCCATCGCACTCGCCAGGATGCCACCAGGCTTGCGGCTTGCGGTTGGGGCTGCAATAGGCGAGGAGGCTGCGACCTGGACGACTCCCGCATTACCGCGCACTGGTGAAGAGGATATAGGTTGAGGTTGCCGGTCTATCAGTTGAGTAGGCTGCGTTTCTCGATTTGTATTGGCCTTAGGTTGTGGCAGGGCATTCAACGTCTCGTCGTCAATGCTATCGGAATCGCTCGTAGGGGGTCGCTGAAGGGGAAGGGTTTCGACTGTCTCGTGAGGACGTCTGGAGTCGGACTTGAACAGGTCATCGTCCGACGACAGTTGATCGTGGGGGGCCATCGCGGGACAAGTGAGTGGGAGTAAGGTCTACAAGATGTATGACAAGTAGAGAGTTAATGGGAAGACATGTTGAGGGCTGTAGAACCGTGCTTTGGAGTCCAAAATGCTTGCCTCCTCGAGTGCTCGCCAGCGAGACACATCCAAGGTCAAGGTGAGGGTCAAATACCACGACTGACAGTGGCAGGGGTGGCGGCCGTGTGGGAATGGATCGAGCGCCCGGAGTGCATCTTTTTCAAAATTCAAACAATGGCATTCGTCTAATTATTCCCCTCCGCGTTCACGCGTAGCGCGTCATGCCAAGGTCCATTATCAGATTCGCAGTACAATGTCGAATAGCCTGCCAATGAGTTGTACTAACTCGGGGTTCGAACGAGGCTCATCTTCCCTGACAACCCGAAAGCACATTCCTGTTACTCAGTCGCCAACGATTCCGACGTTTTTGAAGTATTATCCCATTGCTATCACAATGGCAACACGCCGCAATGTCGCCGCGCAGAAGGCCATATCCGAGGCGCAAGGCGGTCCATCAACTTCGACACAAGTCTCAGATACTTCCCCAGCCGTGCCAGCGTAAGTGGCATCTTCATCTTCATCTTTACTTTTACAAGCAAAGAAGCGAAGAGTCTATGCCGGGGATCTAATTGGACTCAGTTCTGTGATCTACAAACTTCTCGGCTTCACGATGGCTATGATATTTTTCCCAATCGGGTCATATTTTCTATCGGTCAATCTTGTCTTCGGCGGTAAGGAAATATCTTGTCCATCTGCGCCTGCTGTGCGATACTTGCATCCTGATACATCCAACTCGTTAGGCAATGCCACATATGCTGGCGCATTTGCCGCAATCATGGCTAACGTCGTCCTGGTTGCATACATTATTGTTGCAATGAAAGAGGACCAGACCGATAAAATAGAGGCCGGAAAGAAGGGAAAGAAAACCCAGTAATGATGTAACGCCCACTCAAAAGAGAAAAACGACGCCTAGGCACTCTGCCGAAATGCTTCAAGCGGACTCAGTTGAAAATAGTTTGATTGACATGGCTCCAGTGGTTTTTGGCTATAAAATGGGCGTGACCTGCACAATATAGCGAAAACCCGCATGCCCTCCCACGGGTAACTATTGGCCTCGAGGCCGCTTTCAGATCTCGCAGCTGAAGATCACAACCTCAGGGCCGGCATAGTCATGGCCACATCAACCAAGCCCGGCTCAGTGTTCGTCAATATTACATCAAACATTATGGTGAGAAAGCGCTCGCCTCTTGAGAGCTTCCGGTTCAAATATATGGGCTTACGGCCCATGCACCCATGAGTTTTCTCAAAGCCTGTCACCGCCCCTACAAAATATGCCGGGAAAATGCCAGTCATACTGATCAGCTTTTGACTTTGCTCCATCAGTCTTCCTGACGGCTAAATCGGCGTTTGATCCAGCTCTTTTTCTTGGGAGTCGTTGATGCGTTAGACGACCCTTTGGCATTGTTGCTGTTGAAAGGAGGGTCGGACGAAGAGCCGTTGAGTTTGATCGGTTGGCGAGGGTTGTTAGGGAGGTACTCTTGACGCTGCATTGCACCTTGCGAGGGCGCCCCCTGTCCAATGTACCCATTGTTCATTTCATAAGGGGAGAATTGTTTGTTGCCGGACAGTTGACCGAGTCGAAGTTCATTGGCGTAGGGATTGTCCGAGGGGTACTCCTCAGGCTTGCGAAGCTGGTGTAGTTGATCGAAAGAACTGTTCTGCGAGCTGGGATTGGTCGACTTCGAATAATCGTCGGACCCCGAGGTCATGGTCTCGTATGATTGCTGGTAAGAGTGCGCGGATATGGGGCTGTCACCGTTGGGATATCCATTCGGTTGTCCGTTGTGGTAGCCGTTCGGGGGTCCGTACGCATTTGATGGTGGTCGGCCATTTCGGGCTTGCATTTGTGCCGCTCCCGGAGCTTCTTCTAGGGAGCCTTGAGGCCCATTAAAACCGTAGGAGGAATTGCGATAGTACCCGGAGCCTGGAGTTGGGCGTGGTCGCTGAGGGGAGTACCCGGAATCTGTAACAGGTTAAATGATGGCGCGTGGCATTGGGTTGAGAGCCAGTGCTTACTAGAATAGTAGCTTGCGCGACGACTTGCATCGCCTGCATTCCAACCGACTTGGGATGCTAGGAAGTGTCAGTATTGTACGCTTCACAAAAGGATGTTTGAACTTACCTGGTCGGCTCTGAAAGGAGGCCCGACGTGTGGTCGTCCCTTCGGCGGCCGCCTCGAACGCACGGATGGTATCGAGAGGCCTCTCAAAACGATGTCGCGTAGGGTTGGATCTGTCAGGCTCGGCTATTGATTGGGGTCAGTGCACTTGCGCACGCTGAAATAGAGTACGGCTTGAAACTTACTGATGATGTTTCCTTCACTGTCCTTATGCACCATCTTGCGCAAATCATCGACGGTTGACTCTTCTAGCGCTTGCTCGGCTAGAAAGGGGGTCAGTGACATATAGACAACCTCAAAGTCAAGGGCACTGACCTGGGGTAGCCTCGTTCAATGCCTTCGAAGGATCTGCCTTTGTGTGTAACCTCTTTTTATCTTTCGCAGACTCTGTCAATTCGAGTCTGTTGGCCGACAGACTACTTCGATGAGACCGTCCCGAGTGGAAGCTCATGACTGTATGAGCCCGGGGGCGGTGATCATGATGTACCTCTTGTGGAGAGGATGGAGGAGAGGCTGCTGTTGCCATGGCGCCAGCGATAACGTTGGTGGAGATTGCGATAGCGATAGTCTGGCTGCGGGTTGGACAACGCTACCAGTAACCAAGGACAAGATATTGGTGATTTCCACGAATATCGGCGTTTGGTGGTGACCTTGTTCAAGAACGACGCGACGGCGGACGTTTTCCAAAGCGAAAAGAGAAGATGAGAAAATAATCGGACCGGGGAGGCAGTAGTGAGTTGAGGGAGGGAAAGGATTGTGTTATGCTGAGGCTTCCACCTGGGTGTTTGAGCTGTCCGGAGGCCGTGGATAGCAGGGTGGACTTGGTATGGTCGCTCGGGTGGCGGGGGAAGTGACAGGGATATTGACACCCGCGAGGATCTGTTTCAGGATGGAGCCCCAATCGAGATGCAGGCCTGGAGTGATATGGCGCAGTATCAACTGCAAGAGTGTTATCTTGCAGGGTGCGCTGGCAATATCGACGGGCTTGTCTTCAACGAGAGCGAGGGAGAGAGTGTGTGAAGCGTGGTGACTCGATGGTACAGAGCGCAGGCAGCGAGTGTGAGAAGCGGCGGACGGAAGAAATAATGAGAAGTTGAGAAAACGTGGTCCGAGGATAGATCAATAATGATCAATGCGCAACAGAAAGAATAGAATCAATCGTATCCGCGAGGCCGTGTACCTGGCCGTGTGGATATCAGGCCCAAGCAATGATGAATCGGCGAGCTGAGTCTCCAGTTATCCGATGTGCAAGACCCAGTAGTAGGTGGCATATGCTACGGCGCGAAGCAAGAAAACAGGACGTGGTACTGGGCGGTGCCAGTGATGATGCAGTTGGAGGACTGCGCCTGCGCCAGCGCCTGCGCCTGCGACATCCGCACCGTGACGCTGCTATCGCCGCCAGAGAGCACATCTGCTGCTAAAACGCAGGCCTGTGCCGGCCTAAAAAGTTATGCTTGCGTTGGCAGCACCACTTTGGCCGCGTCGGTCCCAACGTCAAAGAATGTGCCGACCGCCAAACCAACTTGGGCCTGGCCCTGGCAAACCTCAAACCCTGTTTTGTATCCACCCAACCACACCTTGAACCGTCTTAATCCACCTTAATCCACCTTAAACTTGGGTCTACCGATCGCTAGGTGCGGACGACGGGATTTTATGCAGGACTGCGCGCAGTCTCGAAAAGACGCGCAGCTCCCGCCTGCGCCCGCTGCCAAACTGCCAACTTTCTCCTGCTCATGCTCTGCTCCTCCGACACTACTACTCGTGCTGCGGGCTTGAATTGCTAGGTACTGCAGTGTACATACAAGTGTAGTACTACTGTATCATTCTAACTTTTCCTTTTGCTCCATTTCGTCCAGCTTCAGCTTGTAGTTGGGGTTTTAAACGTTGATGCCTGGTCGACAACCGCCTGCATGTGGTCGACGATAGGCTGTGAAGAGTTCCCCGGTGCAAGCACCAGCCACCATGCCCTACGATCACATCGAGCAATCGCCAACGGATACTACTCGCAGCCCGCCCCCAAGCTACTAGTACGTGCAACCGCCCTCTGTTGGTCTGCAACATCCGGATGTCACAGCCTTCGCGCGCGCGGAGGCTTTTTCCTGACCACGTTCCTGGCCTGAATGCTAGCAATAGCGTCGCCAGCCAAGCGACCGCTGATTTCCAACACTACCTACCTAGGTAGGTAGGTACCTTATACAGCACAACTTGAATGTACATGGCTGCCGGTCACAACCAGCCATAAAACACACCTAACATCGTAGTGCGACGGTGTGACACTGAAGTTGAACCCGACAGCGCTCAGACCCGATCGTCTACGTCAAAGTTACATGGCCTAGGAGATGGCCCTACGAATGGGCCCGCTCTCATACTACCATCCGATCATGCAACCACTTTGGCCCTTGTGCGTCTCTGGTTTCGCATTGATCGCAAATCCGCAAATCCTTAGGGCATTGCTGACGCGCGGCCTAAAACCACTGTCAAAAACAGGACCGGCCGTTCCTTTCCACGCATTTCTGTTCCCCCAGAATTCTCACAGCCCACCACTATGTACAGTAGTGGTACAACATTGTATGTAGTTGTACACAACATTTTATCCGACGCGACGTGCACTGCAATGCGCTGCATCAGCAAACATGCCACTGCACCTCGACCTCGAGCTCAGCTCAGGACTAATAATACTAGTCAACGCTGAAATACTGCTAGCTTGCCATCATGCAACCTGATCCGCAACTTTACGCACCTTTGCATCATGATTTCTGAGACATTCGTGCATCCTCTGCCGTAGATCGGTCCAACTTTAACCTTCTTTCGATGGCGGGACACTGGCACTCTCCACTGCACCACTACTGCTGTACCTGCAAACGGCCCTGTTCAAGCTTGGTTCTGCGGAGAAAAAGCCTGAGATTCTCATCAATAGTCAGTCTAGAACGCTGAACCAATGCCGGACATATCGTAACAAAATCCGAATATTTATTGCCGAGCCGTGAATGGGTGTTGGTGGTCCATTTTTCCCTTGCAAACCACTTTCTCCCCCTGGCTTCTCATCCACAATAGTGGAATGTTGCCGCCTCGGAGATCGACCTAGGAACGACGTATATCAGAACTCGAAACGACCCTGTCTCTTATCTGAATATAAAACATCGGTCCAGGAGGATAACCGAACCGGTTCGGGCCTTATACTGGCACGTGCCTGAGCCTGAACCAACATGCCATCAACACCATATATGGCAGTGCCGGATTCCGATGCCAGTGCTCTTCTTTGCTGGCCATACTGCTCATCACCATCTCAGTCTTATATGACAGACACGGGAAGCCGGCTTCGTCCCTAACTTGATTGCAGGTTATTGAGCGTGCGCGCGGCGAACCGCTCGCCCAACGCAGTTTAAAAACTATTCAAGAATGAATTCATCCAGCCCTGCTCCACGAGATACCGCTGTACTCTGCCTCTCCCCGGAGTCGTCTGAACATATGTTGGTCACGACCATGCTTCGGCGATCGGCATCTCCGGAACAGCTTGGAGCTGCAGCAGATCTCGGACTGGCAGCTTCTCTCGGTTGGGTCAGGAACGCATTATAATTTTATACTGTGGGATTTGAACAGACAGGTACAGTAAACCCAGCACTCCAGCTCGGCTTCGGGGAGAAACACTGCATCAAAGAGGTTCTTTTCGCCAGAAATTCTGCGTAAGGATGCCATCGCAATGATGCAGCGCGAACGCGCATCAATTGTGACGAGACTCTGTTCTCCAAGGATTCTTCAGATTTCTTCCGAGGTTGGTGCAGTTTTCAGATTAGGTCCATTGTCGAAAAGAGCAATATTGGAAGATACTGCATGTCCTTAACTTCCTGAGGTAAGGTGCCTGGGCCTTGTGACCTTCAGATGGGCAATCTTCAGTGCGTGCACTCCATTCGAGCCGTCTCCGATAACAATCGACTACATAGTGGACGGTGTGCCTCAACCGAGCATCCCCAATACGAGAAAACCCGGCTACGCAGTTCAACTGCGAGGCATACCGTGCACTACCGTGAGAAGGTAAAAGTGTCATTATTATTGGTCGAGGGAGGAGGAATCCGGGGAAAACGTTCTTGAAGATGATCTCGATTCTGTGGCCATCTCGGCAGACTACTCTATGTGGTCTTGGTGGTGGCAGCTAGCCCCAAGAAGCTTCACGGCCCAAATCCACACGCATGCCCCCATCCTTTCCTGTCGTCAACTGAGAAAGTGGCGCAAGGACTGTGAGACATTGAAGCCAAATCAACAAAGAATAAGGTACGTTGAGTTTCGCCTTTTGGACAACCGAGATATATAGGCGGACGAAGAACCGAGGCCAGCGTTCTTGCTACCCTTGGGATGGTGGCCTCTGTTCTACCAGCATTCGAATTCGCCACTCAACAACCATACGACTGTGAAGATCTTCAGCCCGCCCCATTAGCAGGATCCGCTCGAGACAATGGCACAGAAGGACGGGCGTCCTGAAGCGTGCTAGTTGGAGCTGAACTTGAAAGTGATGGAGCACTCGATCGAAAAGTGTTCAGCTTCATCGTGAACAGCACCCTCCAGTTGCATGGTCCATACCTGGTAAGAACGGGGATTACAAATACAGCTGGTAGCGGAAGTCATACGCCAAGGTACATTATGTAGGCCACTTCTCGGGTCTACAACATGCACGAAGGTCCAAACGACAGTACGCACCATATTGCTCGCTTTTCTGTCCCTTTACTAGTATTGTTTTCACGCACAAGTGTTGTATTTCTATTTACCCATTGATAAAGCAAAACTGAGTCACGTTACTGCGCTGTCTCGGGCCAAAAATCATGCCAGCCAGCCCGCCGTCATAAGTCGGATTTCGTCCAACTCCCAGACCGTTCATGTGCAAGTTTTAGCAATTTACTTTTGGTGTGCACCCGGTCGCCATTCAGGCATAACGTAGAACATCCCCAAGCTCATGCGCTGCACAGTCTCGAGCCTATGTTCTGGCCTATGTTCTGTAGCGCCAAGTCATGGCACCAAGCAAACTGGCCTACAGCTTGTTAGGCGTGCTCTCGGTGTTCCATTGGTAGCCCGCCGCATCACTGAACTTGTAGCCGTACGAGGCGGTGAAGTCATCGAGAACAGCTGGACCTCGCGAGCCTGTGCAGGGAAGAATGGTTAGTCATTGCAAGAAAGCACACAAAGCCATCTTTAGGATAACTCACCATAGGGGTACTCCATCGGGACAATCTCCTGTTTTTCGTCGAGATAGTGCAGCAGAGGTGTGAAGATTCTCCACGAGGCATCCAGTTCGTCATCACGGACGAAGTTGGAATGATCACCCTTCATGGCATCCAGAATCAAACTCTCATATGCCTCTGGAATCTTCAAGTCGGAGAAGCGGCGTCTGTACGTGAGATCGAGCTCCGTAACCACCGTCTGCATTGACAAACCGGGCAATTTGGAGTTCATCTTGAGGTAGACAGATTCGTTCGGTTGGATACGGATGACAAGCTCGTTTCGGGGAATGTTCTTGAAAATGCCGGATGTGACATCCTTGAATTGGATTCGGATCTCGGTCTTTTGTTCGTTGAGAGCCTTGCCGGCCTTGAGAATGAAAGGCACACCGTCCCACCGCTCGTTCTTGACGAAAGCGGCCATGGCGCAGAAGGTCGGACATCTTGAATCTTTGGGTACTGTGTCGTCTTCTTTGTATGCTGGTTTGGTGCCATCTAGAGATCTGCCGTATTGGCCGATGATGACATTCTTTGGTTCAATGGCCGGGATAGCTCGAAGCACTCTGACCTTCTCGTCACGGATATCCTCTGCCGAGAAAGAGATGGGTCGCTCCATGGCCAGCAGGGTGAGAACTTGCAGCAAATGGTTTTGCATCACGTCGCGGATGATACCAAACTCATCAAAATAACCGCCTCGTCCCTCGGTTCCGAAAGGCTCCTTGAAAGTGATTTGGACATTGTCGATATGATTGCGGTTCCAGGTAGCTCCAAGGAATTCATTGCCGAATCGGAGGATGAGCAAGTTCTTGACCATTTCCTTTCCAAGATAGTGGTCGATGCGGAAGATTTCCTCTTCTTTCCAGTCCGGCTCAAGACTGCGTGCGAGTTAGCAAAATAAGGCCAGGCCAAATTCAGGTCAAGCGAAGACTTACGCTTTCTGCAACTGCCGGGAACTAGCCAGGTCCTTGCCGAAAGGCTTCTCTATGATGATTCTCGCAATGCCCTTCTTGGGATAGCAGTTTCGCTTGAGATGTTGAGAAACTGTGATGAAGACGGAGGGAGGCAAGGCCATGTAGAAGACTCTGTTTCCTTCCTCACGGCCGTGCTCGATCTCGAGAATGTGCTTGTTGAGCACCTGGAAAGGCTCGTCCTGATCATACTGGCCGGCAACGTACGAGCAGATTGAGCAGAACTGTTCAAGTTGCTCCTCCACTTCTTTCGTCGGTGTCTTGATGTAGGATTTGACCCTCCTGAGGTATTCATTGTGGTCCATCTTGGTTCGAGCATATCCGACAATCTTAATATCTTTTGGCAAGAACTTGTTACGGTACTGTTGCTTTGGTGAGCGGCTGTCGCTCTGACGACTTAACGCGGGGACTGCAACGCAGGACTTACGAGGCCAAATAGGGCAGGGAAGGTCTTTTTCTTCGCGAGATCGCCGGATGCTCCAAGAACGACTATGACCGTATTTTCCTTCAGTTCGAAGGTTCTGTGACACAATGATGGTCAGTTGGTGAGATTCATTTCATAGGCGGTGGGGGAGGGGTGAGGGACACCGCGACAGCGACAACAACCCGGGAAAACTCACCCTGCATTTTCAGGGTCATCAGGACGAACCACAGTGTCGGCCATAATGGAGAATATCGGTGAACGGGCAGTGAGAGAATGTGAACAGAGCTAGAAAAGGATCCCACGGCGCGACAGAAAATTAAATGTAGGTTGTTGAACGCAGGCTTGGGGGCACAATGACAAAGCGGGCTTCGGAAATAAATGACTTAACTGCAGCAGCGGTGCAGTGGCAGTCCACGTTGGGAGGAATTTAGGTAGGTAGGTACAACTGGCAGGTCGTAGTCAAGCGCGGCGGCGGGCTTTCTTTGAATCGATCGTCGGGTATGAAGGGTGGATGGTGGGGCAGCGAGGAATTTGAGAGAGCAGTAGTCGAAGAACTACTGTGATTACCACTGCACTACTGTTGTAAATAAGCAGTCGCGGTGATATTACTGCGGACACCGTAGCAGTAGTAGCAGCAGTGACAGGAACAGGAGTGAAATATCAACGGCATTCACCCTTCCAGATATCTATGACACCGCAGATGTCGCAGTTCAAGTCGTGCCTTGATATGATGCCACAAGCGGCGTGTGCTAAGCCTGACGTCAAACCGATTTACTACTCACACAGCCTGAGGGTGTTTTGTGCTGCAGTGGTGTTTCGGGACTCGAGTGGCTGTCTCCCTGCTCCGGATTCCTCCAGCGAACGAGAACAACCATATCAGGTTATGTTATTTTATTATCACCATCGCCATGGCTGAGCTCAATCTATCGTCTCCAATAATACTAATCAGTGCCGATGTCTGAGGCCTCAGCTCGCTATCGAACTTGTGGCATCGTCTCGTTCGGTCCCTCCAGCTGCACCCAGGCCGGCGGAATATCCGGCTGGCGAACAATGGACCCTCCTGGTCCCTGCAGTGTTCGTTGGGACAAAGGACAAAGAAACGCTTTGTCAGCTGGCCGGCACTTTGTGATCCGCTGCAATCCGCCGTGATTATGCTACGAGACCGTTTTCTGCTAACATCAGCGGTAGCAGCATTGGCTAATAAGTCGTACCGTCTCCTCACATTTCTCAAATATACAATGTTGTACGTCTTCCAAAGACTATGCCTTCTATATCCTCTGATTCTTTACTATCACCGATTGTGGGGAAAGTGGAATCTTTCTATTCATGCAAACAGATCGTACTATTATTGTTGGTGCGTATTAGCCTATTTCGGTCTCCCGCCGACCACCGGAACAATTCCTCAAGTTGGGAGAACCGCACGCAATTTCGAGAGCGCCGACTGGCATCGTGCTGCAGCAGTAGGATACGGGTGTCTGACGGAAAAGCGCCGGTAGTAGAGGAACAAGCGATTTTGAACCCCACGTGGGAGGAGGCCCGCAAGGTACTTGACTCGTCGGTTGGTCCTCAACAATAACAAATGATAGAAGAGAGCAAAGACCGACCAGGCAGAGATAACGTATAGTCGAACAATAATGGGAAGCGAACTGTGTTGTACAGGAGTCGTTTTCCCTGAAGTTTACTTGAATGGAGACATCATGAAGCTACCTAGGTAGGTAGTATCGTACACTGGACAGCAGTTGCAGGCCAACTCGATTGCAGTGCGCAGCTGCCACTGGCAGTCCGGCGCCTCCAACTTGGACCCAATGCAGCAATTCTGTCCGAGATCACGTGAAATAACGAAATCTTGGCACATCCGTCCCAATCCGCTCTAGTGCACACACAACTCGTAGTCCGCCTGCAATTTTCGTGGCTGCGACATCAACCGTGACCTTTGGAGGATTTCTGACGACGAGCGCCAACGACAAACCCTCCTTTCTCGACAACCTCTTCTCGGCCGCACCGCCCTTTTCCAAACGAAATACCGTCAAGATGGTCGCCGGCAACAACCACCGATGTGAGCATACCCGATCCTCCATCCGCCGTTCGGAGATGGCGAAGCTTGGATTCGTTGTTGGATGCGGACAGGGCACACGATGACTGACGCTTTTCTGTTCTTTGCAGTATACGTGAAGGGGAAGCACTTGTCCTACCAGCGTGGCAAGCGCAACACCAACCCCAACATCTCCCTCCTTAAGATTGAAGGCGTCGAGGACACCAACGCCGCAAAGTACGTCTTTAATCCAGCCAGCCTTCCTTCTACCCAGCACGACCGCGGAATGGACTTGGGAGCCCCCCGCGTTTGGACCATGGGGCCTGTTTTGAGGGAAGAAGAAGACCAGGAATCGCTGTCGACTCAACCGTAAAAGACACGGGAATGAATTAAATCAGGGTGGCTAACATGACTTTTCTTTTCAATCAGGTTCTACCTTGGCAAGCGCGTCGCATTCGTCTACCGAGCCTCGAAAGAGCGACAAGGCAGCAAGATCCGAGTGATTTGGGGCAAGGTCACTCGACCCCACGGCAACAGCGGTATCGTCCGGGCCCGATTCAACCACAACCTGCCACCCAAGAGCTTCGGCGCCAGCGTCAGAGTCATGCTCTACCCCAGCTCGATATGATTTGCTTTCGGAAGTTTGGAATGGGGATGTGATGCGGCGTCGACCGCTTGAGCTGTGCAAATAAAGGGGGTCCCGGTTTCAAAGGGAGCTGGGACAGCCAGCAGTCTCAATTGAGGTCGATACCGGTGATGCTGTGCTTCGATGATGGTGATGTGGTCGAGATATGGACAGAAGAGAAAAATCCAATCTCGGAGAAAGGAATTGTTGCATGCATGGCACGGTACGGACAAGACAGCTTTCAGCTTCGAGCGCCCTGTTTTCTATGCGCGGGAATGAATCAAAAAAGAATTCTTCAAGCCTGGTCTTCCCTTGGACACCCTGTGCATTGATCTTTCCTTCCCGTGAGCGAACATGATGGGAAGGGGTTTCTTTCTCTGGCACCTTGATTCAAGTACGCAGAGTTTGCTGGCTTCTCTCCCTTTTTCAGATCAAACGTACCATCTTCTCGTCAGTTTCTGGCTGCGGGCTGCCTCCGTTTGCGGAGACGGAGGTGGAATCTTTACCTGTCTCCTCTGTCGATTCTGCTAGAACCAAGGAGGTATCTAGCCTTCACGTTTGTCCTTGCTTGCTTCATGTCTTGATGGTAAGACGGACTGGCTACTCTAAACATAAGCCCAGGCCGGCCCGGCCCAACCCAACCCAACCCGAAACATTTATCCTCCGCTGGTTAACCTGCGTTCTATATCTCACCTCTGAAAGCAGAGTGCAGCCTCGCTGGGCCCAAGAAGTAGTAGAGCACAAGACAAAAGGAGTAGGGCTCAAGGAAAGAGATAATAGGTTAATGCTGATGTATATTGCATTTTCTGGATTCCTTATGGCACTTTTGGTTGCAAAGTGCACTGTCCAGTAAGACTCTGGAAAGAAACTGATCAGAGGAATGACGGGATTATCGACTCAGTCGTGGTGGTTATTTAGGAAAATATCTGCCCGGTAGCCCGTTTGTTCTACGATTTTGAAAAGCGGATCGGAAAAGCAGTGTCAGAGCACTCTGTGCCCGCTGCTGGGTGCCGGCGTTTAGTGGTCGGCAGGAGAACCGGAAGTAGGTGGCGCCAATCTATGGAGCAAGCTAAAATCCTGCCTCGTTTGGTCGAGCAGACGATGGATGCGGCTGAAATCGGTATAGTCCCCCAACCAACCGCTTCTTCGGCGGCAGTCCACCGTCATCAAAGCTGTCCCTTGTGACTCCGTAGGGTTAAGCCAACATCAGAAGCAGAAGTAGGGCGAGCCTTGCATCCGCGGTTCGTTTGGTCGGAAGCGTTATGTGGTTTGTCTCCCTTGCGTTTGCTTCTTTGAGCAAGATCGATGGCGAGCTTGAGACACTTGGCTTTCTGATACAGGCAACTGCTGCTGGTTTCGCATGTTTGACATTGTGGTCGATCTTAAATCGATTGAATTTGTTTGAGCAACCGCTTCATTAACTTTTCCATCAATCCAGCCTCTTCAGCCGTCTGGCTGCCTCTGCTGCGACAGTTGAACATAGGGCGCCGATGAACAAACAAACAGCAATGGCGTTGGGCGCATTCTTCTTAATGTTTAACCAGCGGTGATGGTCCGGATCTGTGTCAGCCAGACTGTCACTCTTGGCCGGCTCAAGCAGTGAGAATACAATCCAGCTGATGAAAGTGCCGACAAACTGTGGCAATGTAGTGTAGACGTTCAAGACACCTAAGTAGACTCCTGCGAGTTCACCAGTCGCTGAATGTGCGCCATGGTCGCTCGGGTGATTGATTCTTAGAACACCATCCGCAAGTGCACGGCGCCCATGGCTGGTCTCCTCCATCTCAATGGATTCCACATCTTCATCAATGCTAGCACGAACAGCGGTGTAGCCAGGCGCCGTTGACCCATGAACATGTGCATGTGGGCCTGAAGACATTTTATTGATTTCCACGCCGAGCAAACCAAACGGAGCCCAGCATGACACGGCCCACGGGACACCGCAGGCAGCAACGAGGGCTTCGGCAGAGGTCAGACTGTGGACCCAGGGCGCACAAATAGTAATCATGGCAAATAGCATGTTTGACCACATCCAAGCAGTTGTCAGGTCTGGCTGGAGCTTGTATGCTTTGATCAACAGTGACTGAACAGATTTGTTCAAGGTCCGAGGTGGACGGGGGGTGAACTTCTCTCCTTCTTCTGGAGTTCGAATGATGTATGGAAGCACCACCGAGGAGCAAAATGTGATGAGCGAAAAGAGAACCAGTGACACACTTCCCATCCTGCCGATATTGCCCAAAGCATCGTGGTCGTCTTTCGCTCCAGGTTCGGGAACAGGTCGTTCGTACCGATAGTAGACTTCGCCGACAAAGGTGCTAGAGTAGAAGAGGAATGGAAACCTATTCAAATATCATCCGTCAGACTTCGGGCACCTGTCAGATTTCGTCGCTGGCTTCATTACTTACCACCCAACCCAATTCCAGAACTGAACCCAGCATATGGCACGTATCCTACGAGGCAGGTGTGTGGTTCTCTGCCACAAGTTCGAAAGAACCTCCTTGACCGAAGTCTCGTCATCGTCACCTGGGAGTCTCACTCGCTCTGTAACGGCCCATGACGTTACACCAACCGTGATCCAGAGAGCCATCGCCGAGATTACTGTCATTTTCTTGAACTGGGTATCTCCTCCTAGCCACGGAGGGAACATTTTCACCAGGTCGAACGTGCCAATGAAGTAGCCCAACAAATGGCCGGCCGCGGTGAGTCTAGATGCCCATGCTGAACCTGCTTGCTGTAGTGAAATAGGTAGTGTATCAACGATCAGACTCCGACTGCAGGCCTGGACCGCATTGACCGAAAAGTCAAGCGCATAGATACAAAGCACCGCGACCAGAATTGTCACGCTTTTCTTGGTTTCTCCCTCGGCAAGGAATAGACCCACAACTTCAGATGTCCAGCCCAACAGCAAAAGGCCCAAGCCGGTAATGAGCGCTCCAACGACCATGTATGGTCTTCTTCTGCCATATCTTGAGGTTGATTTGTCTGCATATGCCCCGACCACGGGCTGCATGATGAGCCCGGACAGCGGTCCTGCGATCCATACCAACGACGTCTTTGATTTTGTGAGGCCGAGTTGAAGGAGGTAGGGGGTTCCATCTGTAGCGGGATGTCAGTATGGCTCTGTGTAATTCGACCGACTCGTGTGCCTTACAGGTCATCTCAATGCCCCATGTAAACCTGCAGGTGTTAGCTCGTCGGCTGCGACTGTGATTGACTCGAGACGTACTGTAGTCCAATCAGGCAGAACGTGAGCAGGCACATGCGGACGGCTTCTGATGAGCCTTTGATGGAGGGCGTGCCGCTCCATGATGCAGTGCTGGTGCTCTGCATTCTCATCAGCAATCCAAACCGTCCAGAATTGTCGTTCTCAAGGACTGAGTTGGGCGTGTGTTTTTTTCGGCAGCATGTCCCCTTCGCAAGCGTTCACGGGGAAGTTGACTCACAAGGAGACCGAGGGTGTGCAGCAACAGCGGTTGAGGGTAATTAAGAGCTTATAGCTGTTATGCAGTGATTTGAGAAAGGGGGCCGTTGTCTTAGAAGCGATACAAGATCCCACTATACGCGTGTTCGGCGAACCGCACTACAAATTATTTGACGTGTCCACAATCTTCCCCCGATTGCATTCTACGAATCCAGTTTGGGAAACTTCGAAGCCAAGGTTGCTCCATGCCAGCTAATTACATGGCATTAGCTAACATATACTTGAGAACTGTTTTTTGGCCTATCTATCTGAGACTTTGTGCAAGAGGGTGGTGTTCCATTGACAGCTTGGGAGCTCTGATAAGATCCTCCTTTATTTGGATTTGGTGTAATCATCCGAGGTAGCTCCAGTCCCTGAACGAAATCAGCCAATGTTTCGATACGTTTCTCGTCTTAGACGGCCGCACCAGAGATGAAGAACCACTTATCAACACTTCCATCAATCGGCGCGGGAGGAAGGTTCTGGCCAGGAGGAATCTTCGAAAGCTGGGATGGATCCACACGGTCCGGAGAGTTGGTGTTGGTGACATTGGCAAGGTTGATGTCGCCGCGTTGCTGCTTGCCGGTGATCAGGCGCTCCCAGGCATCACTGCATTCACGGATAATTTCCTCTGCGTATTTCTTGTTCTTGCACTCGCCGCTGAAAGCGAACTGGTTCTCTGGCTTGCCATCTGGGATCTTGTAGATGCGGAACCATTCGTTGGTAGCTCGGAGAAGGCCAGGAAGGTGGCGCTCAACGTCTTCGATATCATTAAGCTTTGGTGCAAGAGGGTCGTGGATCTAAGTGGAGATAGGGTCAGAGAACAGCAACATCGTTACGGGCCATGCTGAACTTACATCGATGACAATAATCTTCCAGTCGGTCTCTTCCTCATCAAGCAGCGCCATGACACCTAAGACCTTGACTTGCTTGATTTGACCAGTGTAACCAACAAGTTCACCGATTTCGCAGACATCCAATGGATCATTGTCTCCCTTGGCCTTGGTCTCGGGGTGAACGACATTTGGATCTTCCCAGGTCTGTCACCATCGTCAGCTGCGTCAAACCGCATCATCAACTATAACTTACTCTTGGGAATGCTCCGTAGTTCCACAAGTAGCCCTTGTGAGGGAAGCAGTTGCGCACAAATCGGAGTTTGCCCTTCTTGACATCCTGCTTGATCGGGTTCCTGGTTTATGGTTAGATCTCGTGTTAGAGACAAGTTTAGCGCACGGTAGCAGCGTACAAGAATTCGTCCTTGGAGATCTGGTCCAGACAAAAAATTAGCACATCACTTCTTACAGCTTTTGGAGCCCATCTTATACGCACCTCAAGCTTAGCATTTGTCCATCTTGGGATCTCAACGATCATGTTCAGGACGGTCTGCTGTTCATTGGCATAGAGCGGAATGTCGTGGAAAGGCGAGATGGGAGTGCCATCCTTCTCAATGTAGCACCGGAACTCGTTGGTGTGGAGAGCACCAACCTTTCTAGGCTGGTACTCGGACGGCTGCTTGCTGTAGGACATTTTGACCGTAGAATAGGACGACGATGTAGAAGTAGCCAAGTGTCGAGCAATGGCCTCAGAACGTTGGGAAGCTATGGTGGTGGATGTGGGACGGAGAGAAGGAGATGAGATGGATTTTTGAGGCAACGTGGTGGGAGCCAGGGTGACGCGGGGTGTTGACGATTGGCGGTGAAATGACGAATATCTGTGACTGACAATTTGAATGGCAGGGGAAAACGAGGACCTATGGTCGACGCAGCTGCACGATCGCGGGTTCAGTTTTCGCTTGAAGGGAGCGGTCGGGATTGCGATGGAGGACGATAGTCTTTGCATGAAGAAAGATAAAAGGAGCAGAAAGGCTCTCCAATCGAAAACAACAAGGCTCTTTTAGTCTTGAGACGTGGATTCCACGGTTCTTCCTTTTCACCTCGGTCCTTGAGCTCTGCGATGAGAGTTGCGGCCATCCAAATCCGAGAATTTGACGTGACCGGAACAGCGTAATTTCAATCGCCATCAAATTATCGTCATCGCCAGGGGTCTTCCTCTATCAGCACGTGACCATCTCAGATTTCTCCGGTAAAGTTTCACAGGTTGCAGTCCAGTGGCAGTGTACAGGAAACGTCTGCACTGGCATGTGGATGCGTTATTGCAAACTGCGCCGCCAGAGATGTTTTCTACCGACGAAGCATCCTGAATACTCACATACACCTGTACATGACTGTCGGTCATGCTGTTCGACCACAGTCTCTGCTACGACGCGCTCTATCCATCATAACACCATTGCGCTCCCTGTGGCCCGGCTCTGTCGACATGGGTTCGCCCCCACCTACCACATCTGCTCCTCCAGATGTCCTTCATGTTCCTATACCCCGGAGAGGCGTTGATTATAGGGGCAAGGTCGTCCTTGCTCCTATGGTACGATCGGGAGAATTGCCCTCGCGATTGCTGGCATTGAAGTATGGGGCAGATCTGGTTTGGGGACCAGAAACAGTTGACAGATCCATGATCGGCACCACACAAAAAACAAATCCTCGAACGGGCTGTATAGAATGGACGCGGATTTCCTCCAACAACAATGCGAAGGCCGATGTGCCGGCTAAAGAGTCCATCATATACCGGATCGACCCTAAAAAAGAGTCAGACAAGTTGATTTACCAAATCGGTACTGCTTCGCCTGACTATGCGGTCCAAGCAGCAACACTCGTGGCGCCGTACGTCCGGGGAATCGATGTCAACGCTGGCTGTCCAAAGCCTTTTTCAACGTCTGGGGGCATGGGGGCGGCACTCCTACGAACCCCCGACCTCCTCTGCAACATACTGACGGCACTTGTCACCAAAGTTGGAATTCCTCACGAGATCGGGATCAGTGTGAAGATAAGGTTGCTTGAAACTCCAGAGTTGACGTCCGAATTGGTGAACAAGCTCTGCAAAACAGGCATTGTGGGCTTAACAATTCACTGCAGAACAACTCCTATGAGGCCGAGGGAACGCGCCATTAGAGATCAACTGCGTATGATTGGAGACATCTGCAGGAGTCATGGTGTGGCGTGTTTGATGAACGGTGATGTAAGATCGCGAGACGATGGTCTGGCGCTTGCAAAAGAGTATGGCGTTGACGGAGCAATGATTGCCACAGCTGCAGAGGCTAATTCTTCTGTATTCCGTCCAAAAGACCAGGGTGGGCTGGCACCCTGGCAGGAAGTTGTCAGGGAGTATCTCCAGCTGGCGTTGAGTGTCGAAAACAAATTTGGCAACACGAAGTTCCTCCTATCTCAGTTGATTCCAGGGAAGAACCCCGTCTATCAACCAGTACAGATGTCCCGCAGTTACAGCGGTGTGCTGGAAATCCTGGAAATTTCCGATCAAGAGATGGTGGAGAAAGCAAAGGAAATTGATGCCATCCTCAATCTCGATGCTTCTACGGTCCGGAAGGCGGATATCAAGCGTCAGAACAAACAGCAGCACAAGCAGGATGTGCAGAAGAAACAGGAAAAGAAGAGGACATTGGAATCCACAAATAATCAACAGGGAAAGGATGATAGTCCAAGTCACGAGCGCACAAAAAAACAAAAGGCTGAAATAGCTGCTGAAAATTGCGGCTTCGATGGTGTTGGACAGGGAGCCATGGCAGTTGCAGTCTGAACAATGCCGATAGGGTGACTTGATGATCTGCTCAGGGCTGGGAGGCAGCATCAGCCCTATGGGATACCTGTTAGTCAACTGCAGACAGGCAGACACTGCGAGGGAGCATTCCATTCAGAATCCACATCACTGACCATCTCCGCCGTGCTCAGCGCCCAGTGACGTACAGTTCGAAGGGATGTCTCTACAGCCAAAGGCTTGACACTGAGGGTTTACGGCATGAAGTGATCATCTCAATGCTGATGACCAACGCCGGCGTTGGGTTTGCGGTTTGGTCCCCTTCATGGGGATAGTGGTAAGGTCATTCAGCTTGATGCAAGACACATCGGCTTCGGCAACGGATAGATGTTGTGTAGGGTCGAGGAAGGTGGTACTTCCCCACCCCAGATGTATTTCAATAACCCCTCTTGATATAGACGCATATGTACAACACAAAAATCTCCTCGCTTTTGGCTTCGGCGCAAAATAGCTCAATGGTGGATGTATGGCCGCATGGGACGCTGGCGCTAGGGACGCTCGAACTTTGCCTTTCCTTTGAGGCGACCAGAACGGAAGTGATCCCGTTTTGTACGTCGAGAACCGCTTCAATGGTGTCCACACCGGAAGGCCCCTGAATCCTTAGCAGGAGTTGGCTCCTTTCGACATATTTCTGAAGGCTTGTTCCCTCCCCGAGATTGTCGCGCAGAAAGTCCCCTGTTCTCGAGATTCTTGATAATTACCTGGCCCGGACCGGCCGAGAAAACTGGTCTTGAACCGCCAACTGCACAGAGACTCTCCTACATCGGACCTTGCTCGGAGGGGGACGGTTGGGTCATCATAGGTAGATTGTTGCCTTCCAATAAACCCGCAGTTACAATCAACCATTCAACTCCTCCTTCCGGGCCAACGATCTAGCATGCCGGTTTACCTCTTCCACTATATCGTTCAAGCCTACTCTTTTCGTTTTCTTGGCGTCTCCGTTCGAGGCCGGCGCATTAGCTTCCCAGGTGTACTTCATTGTCTTGCCATCCTTCAATCCTAATTCCAACAGCGCTGGCGCTTTTGACGTGCGTGGATATTGTGTTGTACTGATTTTGATGGTCTTGTGCGCTTCCGGTGGGAGGAGAGTGAGAAATAATCTGGGTACCTTCGATGTGGCCGAGAAAGGGTTGAACGCGACTTTGAGCGACGTTAAATAGGTGGTTATCATTGTGGATGTCTGTAGCACGGTAGCAAGGACCGGATATGAAGTTGTTGGGCTTCCTTCTTTTTGTTGATCTCGTTGGAAATAGGAACCGGTAGGTAGAGTTTGCTACCTCTTTGAAAGCAAGACCACAAAATAGAACAGGAACCGCTATCGCGATAGGTATGTAATTATTTCCCAATGTTCATGGTATCAGTCGCAACCCGCGCTGCCATTGAAGTTCGGAGCAAATCCACGCTAAAGAAATTCCACAATGTTTGCACCGTTTGCACAAATGCGCATCATGCCTCTGAATCGCTCCGTCAACATGTACATACGCCTAAATCGTCACGACCCTACACCTCATACACCCAAACCAGGATGTCGGCCTCGTTAGGTCAGCGCCTGCAGGCACTTGCCGACACCCATAGGGACACCCTCAGTCTCATCCATGAACTCCGGAGGCTCGCCGCCAACTCATATACAAATGGAGACCCGGAGGAACGACGAGTCGAACTTGCGACCGAAATCCACAACAGCCTCAAGGAGCAGGAAGACAGCCTGGAAATCCTGAGGCAAGAGCTCGATGACGATATATTACCAGTGCACCGACGCGATGTTCTTCATGGAGAACGAGAAAGCGAACGAGAGCGAAATGCAGACCTAGTGGCCCGACTTACCGAGGACTTGAAGATTGCCAGGGCCGACTTCCGACGGGCACAACTCGAGGCTAAGAGGAATTTGGACAAAGCAAAGAGGAAGGAGAGAGAGCAGTTGTTCGCGGATCGAAATAGTAGTGACGGACACACTCGCGCACGACCAACACATGAGAAGCTGACGCAGGATGAATTGGCCCTGCGCGCGGCGGAGGACGTCACTATGGCACTGCGACGCGTGCATAACCAACTCGAAGGAGAACTTGCACGGTCGCAATTCGCGCAACAGACGCTGGAAGAGAGTCAACAAGCCCTCGAATCTCTGACCCAGAGCTATTCGGGGACAACCGACTTGTTGAAGGCGTCGAGAAGTTTCGCCAGTCAGTTGGTGCGCAGTAACAAATCCGACACATGGTTCTTGAAGAGCTCGTTCTACTTGTTGGCCGTGACTATATGTTGGCTTTTCTACAGAAGACTCCTCTACGGGCCGATGATGCTGCTCATATGGTGGCCCATACGTATTCTGTGGTGGACAACCTCAAGCATGGGAGCAGCCATGCTCGGTCGTTCGGATCTAGCACCGTCCAAAGCTCAAGCGCCGTCGATGTCGGTCTCGATACCTGGAATGAACACTAGGGGAATGCCGACGCACAACCCGGCCATGCCCCAACGAAGTGTGGAGTTGCCGGCCAAAGGTGGAGGATGGAATAGACAACCTGCTCAGCCATCGAAAGATCCAAATGATCCAGAGAGTATCCTCGAGGAGATTGGACGCATGGCCGAAGAAGGAGGTGTCAATATTGATGATGTAACGGGTGAAGAACGCAAAGATCAAGAAGCACAACCGCGGAACACATTGAAGCGAATGATGGAGGTAGAGGTGGAAACACCAACAGCAAAAGACGAGTTATGATGGCGCATATTTCTACCACAGTTTTAAGAAGGCTAGTAATTAGCGAAAGGTCGTGATTAATAGTCCTTGTGCAATACAATTACATGCTGTACTTTGGTACTTACATTGTAGATATGGCGGTCCCAAAGAGGGTAAGGGAGGTCGAGGGTAAGGTCTCCCCTGAATTGCGAGCCTTGTCCAACACGTGTCACTCAGTGACGCGCGCCAAGCCACTCTACGCGACTTGCCCGACTGAAGCGCGTCGTAGTCTGGCCATACTTTTTAGAGTCGAGGAGGAACTCGACATTGCCTGTCTTTCACCACATCAGACTCCTTGTCCATCCAGAACGACCGGAGTTCTACTTGGACTGTCAACGACCCTGTCTACATGGAATAGTCCGGTGCCGGTGCCCAGCGAACCCGCGAGAGTCAACAAGCACTCAACATTTGTGCAAATAAACTCAACCAGCCCACCATGGCCAACTTCTTCGACAACAAAGCCCGCGCCGCCGCCGCTGCATCAAGTTCGAAACCCAAACCAACCGAGTCCGTCACGTTAGCACCCGCGCTGGTCCCCTGGGTAGAAAAGTACCGACCGAAATCACTAGACGACGTTAAAAGTCAAGAACATGCCACGGAGACACTGAGACGAATGGTGCATGCCGCCAATCTACCCCATTTGCTATTATTTGGGCCTCCGGGGACAGGCAAGACATCTACAATTCTGGCATTGTGCAGGGAACTCTTCGGGCCAGAACTGATGAAGACGCGGGTCAAAGAGATGAACGCATCGGACGAACGTGGATTGACCGTGATTCGAGAGAAAGTGAAACAATTTGCTTCGCAGCATCTTGTCAGCGCGCCAGTGTCGGCCGAATACAGAGAGAAATACCCGTGTCCTCCATTCAAAGTGGTAAGCATCCACAAAACTCGTTCTGTTTTACCCCTCTAACGATCCGATCCGTAGGTCATTCTCGACGAAGCCGACGCACTAACAACAGACGCACAATCCGCTCTCCGCCGCATTATCGAGAATTACAGCAAAACGACGCGGTTCTGCTTAATCGCAAACTTCGTGTCTCGAATCATTGCGCCCATCGCCTCGCGATGCTCGAAATTTCGGTTCAAGTCGCTCGAGGGCCCGCAGGCATCAGCAAGGATCCAAGACATTTTGAACGCCGAACACGTCGAGTATGAAGACGGCGTGGTGGAGCGGTCTCTGCAGGTTTCGGATGGCGATCTAAGACGGGCTATTACACTGTTACAGAGTGCGGCGCGGCTCGCGGGCGCCGTAAACTCAAACTCATCGTCCGATGGCCGCAAACCAATCAAAAAACAACAGCGCGTCGCTGAGGACTCGGATGACGAGATGGAAGATGTAGATGCAGACACATCAGCAGCAGCCGGACCGACCAAGTCAAGCAAGATCAGGATCGCAGACATCAACGAGATCGCCGGCCTCTTTCCCCCAGATTCAACGGACAAACTCATCACCGTCCTTAAAAAGGGCAGCACAACCAACTACAAGCGCATAGCCGCCGAGGTCAATGATATCACCGCTTCGGGCTATGCTGCCAATGAGGTGCTGTCCAGTTTATATTCCAAGATCATCTTCGACGATCTCGTCGACACCAAGAAGAAGTACAAGCTCTCGCAGATTTTCTCCGAGTTTGACAAGAGGCTCGTCGATGGCGTCGATGAGCAGCTTGCCATGCTTGACATGTCTTGTCAGATTGCTGGTGTGTTGGCTACCTGAGTTGCGGAGGAGAGGCGCGGGGGTTGGGGGGCGGTGCCGGGTTGGGAAACGGAGTTCCGGTGAGTGTAAGGTGCGAGGGCGGTTGCTAAGCGGTGTTTTGTTCTCTATCTGGAGCCACTTGAAAGAATGTATGAGCACCAGGGACTACGGCCATGAAGTTGAAACAATCACCTTGGTTATCTAGATACCTTGTGGCTTTGCATCAGCGATGGCGTTTTTCGGAATCACTAATGGGTGAGGGGATGTCTGTCTACTACATGAACTCCAATGGAGGGAACATCAGGTAAAATCCAAACTCCAAGTAAGTATGCTGTGGATACAAATTGAAAAGTGTCTACATCGTACTAAATATCGAATATTTCGGCGGGTTGAGTCGTGGTATATTCAAGGGAGGGAACACCAAATAGAGATAAAGTCCACGTGTAATGTGTGAATAAGTTCTCTTCTGCATCTTATCAAATATCGAATTATTCCACGTCGAATATAAAGTATTCGATACAACAATCGTCGTGATATCAGGTGTCTTTGAGCCATGGCAAGACCGCCTTTTCACTACAGCACGACGCCCACCTAAGGATTTGATGTTCAATTACGTCTCCCGAGGAGCGATAGATACCAAGCTCTAGTCTCAGCATGGTCATCCATAGCTTCAGCTCAGCTCGTGTCTGTGATAGGTCTGGAACGTTCGTACAAGCCAGTCCGTCTACCTGTTTGTCCCTCGGCTTTGTGACATGAAGTGCCGAACTCAGGCTCAAAGCCTGGGAATCGCCAGTTCCTGTCAAGAAAACGGAGGGAGAGATGTTACTCGCCGCCATGCTGAGTTCTTACGTCAAATGGGATAGCCAGCCCTTGAGACCCCTTCCCTGCTGTCGTATGACAAGCTACGTGTCATATGTGGAGGGCGTGTGCTGTGTCTAGCTTGCTCCTCGGTAACGTCTATCTCGCCTGGGAACCGTGGTCTGCCCAGTGTCCAATCTAGCAGTTATGAACCCCGAGACATCTGAAAGAATAGTACCCTTCCACTCCTTCAACTGTTCAGGCCGAGATCGACCGTGCCGGCGATGGTGACCTCGGGTGTGATGGCTCAAAGTCAGTTGAACTCGTCACGTCTCTGGCAGGGGTGTTAGTATGGATTCGCCAGCTTCTGGAAGGGAGGGCAATATAGCTCACCTGCTTCTTCTGGGGCAGCCAGTCGGGATCTTCTTCTTCGTCCTTGGCAATGTTTTTGCTTATCTCGTGCCACATGCTCATCGATAATCGAAGACTCTGGTCGATTACCATGTTTGAATTAGGCAGGTCTCTTCCAGAACCCAGGGTGCTCCTGGTGGAGGCCACTGGCGAGGATGGAGGAGCACTGTCAGGCCTGGCTGAGGTATAGACCGTATAGTTGCCCTGGAGCCTGTTTGGAACCGAAGATGGCGTACCATGTCGAGAATATTTACCAGCCACGGCTGCCCCATCGTCCCTGCTTGCAGCAGGTGCTGCGTCGCTGGAATATTTCCTCTTTCGAAGATTATGTTGTCGCTGCGCCGAGTCTGGATTTCGGTAGGTGTCGGTGAGAACAACGTCAGCTGCAGTCTGCGGTTCGGAGCGCTGTTGTAGTCGAACCCTGTCTGCCTCGGTCAGATCATCATCCTTGACCATCCAGACCATGGCCTTGTGGAGCACAGTGGACAAATTGTAGTTTTCGCCTCCGGCATCCCCTTCCCTGGTTACCAGTGGCTCGATAACCATGTCGATAGGCTGGCCTTCTAGTCCAATCGCCCAGGGATCCAATCCGTCGTCATCCTGCTCGCTGGTGGCTAGATTCAAAGCATCTGACGGCCGCAGAGATTTGTGCTGCGTTGTGTAGCGCGCATCGAGCATGTTCGCCAGAAAGTGGATTTTGATTTTGGGATTTTCCGCCGCCAACGTCGAAGAAAGCTCCATGGCGGACACGAAGATGCTGAGAAGCTCCTTGTGTCTAAGGTTTTCAGACTTCTTGTCAGATTCTTTGCGGAGGAAATGCCGATGTCGGGCGAGGAAGTCGTTTGTTCTTGCAACACAATAAGTACTCCGGTATTCCTTCATGTTTGTAGACCTCGACCGAGGCGATATTTCCTGATCCTGAGGCCAATGAGGAGCATCGAGTGCGCGAATTATGGCCGCACGCAAAGAGTTTCCGCCATTGCTCGAGTCTGAAATACAACGTTAGCAAACTATCTGCCTGGGATAGCGGAGAGAACAGCCCCCTCCAGACATATATACGTACCCCTTGATGCAAGCTCTACTGTCCACTTGAGTGCGTCTTCGATGTCGGTTTCCTGCTCATTGGTCGTCAAGTATGCGAACGGTCGAAGGAAAGTCTTCTCCATAATTGTCATATTGATCACCATGTTGAAGACTTCTTCTGGGGGTAGCTGGCCACTTTGCAATGCACATAGAGCTCTTTCGCTCATCAGGCATGTACTGTCATTCTGAGCTCGAGTACGCACTGCTGCCTCAAGATTCTTCAAGGATTCCGCACCCAAATCCTGCAAGGCCCAAGATTCAAGCCAGCTTCGGGTTTTCCGAAAGATTGATTTCAGTTTTCTGCTGACGTTGCCGTCTGGCGTGAGTGTCATCTCATATCTGGCGGCTCTCTTGAGTTCCTCTCGGCGCAAATTGTCGACTTTCCTGGTCAGCCGCTTGTTCTGTTGTATTTCGCGTGCGAGCTTGTCCTTGAGCTCCCATTATGCAGATTGCAATTCGGCTTTTGTGAGGGGCTTTGTTTGACGCCGTCTCCGGGGTCGGGCAGGCTCCGTCTCGCCAGGCTCTGCGTTTGAGTCGCGCCGTCCAGTTTGAGGGTTAGATTCGAAGCTTGGTGCTGTTGAACTGGCACAGGGAGAACCAAAATCTGCACCTTCTGCAGCCGAGCCATCTTCGACGGGCACGTTGAGCCCTGGCTGGTTGTCAATTGCTGGGAACTCTTGTTTGATACTTCTACTGCCATCCAACCGACCTTCAGAGGACGACTTCATATTGCTGGGACAGTCGGCCTCCTCCATCGCGCAGTCTGCCTTCTAAGGAGTGTCTCCAACGGGGGATAAAGTAGTAAGCTGACTAGTGGATCTGAGCGTGGAATTGGAATGGCCAGGTCAATGAAGATACAATCTCTCCTCGAGCGAGAAAGAATGCAAAGCAAAGTGGTGACGGTTGCAACGAAATAAAAGTGGTGTAAGATATAGAATGGAAAGCAGATGATATATCATGCTGGCATGTGGTCGGATGCACCCTGTAAGACGATTCGAAGGGAGCATGAACTCGTTGTAACCAGTACTTGATCAAAGACTCTGTCGAAGGTGAAAGTCCTCTGACTTGAATTGGAAGACAAGTTCAAGTGAGCCAAAGGAAGCGGGTCTCTACCTACTGTTATGGTATAAGAAGGGCCTCCCCCCTCTCTTCCTCTCTTCTTCCTTCTTTCCTCTTTCCTCCTCCTCGGCATCGTTCCTAACCTTGTTTATTAGCAGCTTGTCCACCAAGGTCTGAAAAAAGAGATCCACTCACACTTTGATTCAGCCACTGCCCATCATACCCCTCAAGCCATGGCGAGAGTCCTCGAGGATGTGCTTGGACTGTTAGATGCGGAGCTGCCACGTGAAGGTATGTATATGGTGCCTAGAATACACCAGCCAACGTCCTAACATCCAAGCTGGGGTAGGCAGCAGATCGTTCAAGTCGACTGGCTCGGGTCAAAAGAGCACTGCCAGGAAAAGAGGACCCACTGATACCACAACTGGCCCAGCAGCCCAAGCGAAGAGGCAGAAGAATGACTCCAAGCCGGCTACCAAGACTTCGAAGAAGAATATCATGGTTGTGGGCATCGACGCTGGTTGCACGTATTCAGGTAACCGCAATGCTCTGACATCTAGCAAACTCAACTGACGAGACTAGCCATAGCAACTGGAATTTATGGTCAGCCAGCCTCACAGGTCAAGGTGTACCAGGCATGGCATAAGAACCAAAACAAATGCAAAGACAAGGTACCTAGCAGAATTGCGTATGCCGAGGAAAACGACTTTCCGGAGGACAAATTCGGAAACGACATCAAACCAGATAACAAGTCCACTGTCTGGTGGAAACTGCGATGGGGTGATGCCATCCATGTTTCCCAGAACAACCTTCGCCTGCTTGAGCACAGCGTTGGTGCAGAAGTGATGAGGCTCCCTGAAGGAAAGGACCACACCACGGTAACCACAGACTGGTTGCACTTCCTGTACCAGAAAATCATGATGCATTACCATGACTTCCTTGGAATGGAAGCCTTTGACGAAACAACTTTCCACTTCTGCCTCGCGGTGCCAGCAAATTGGACCCCAGAAGTCCGTGGCTTGTTTCTGCAATGCGCGGCATCTGCTGGCATAGGCGGACCAAGAGGTGGCGTCAAGGACGAGGTGATATTTGTGAGTGAGCCAGAAGCTTCTACTGTTGCGGCCTTGCAGGCATCGTTGGAGAACAATGGTGGCTATGCGGTCAAGGTACGAGACCTCGCCTGTTTCTTTGTTGTTTGACTTACCAAAAATCCTTTAGAACAGCTGCATCATGTTGGTTGACCTCGGCGGCGGCACCATGGATGGTACCGTGCATGTCGTGAAGAAGACTCGCCCCTTGAAACTTGAAGAAGCGTGCCCGCAGCTCGGTAAGTTGTGAAGAGATAGACAGGCGCCAAGCTGCTTGCTAACATGGGCCACATCTAGCACTTCAGTGTGGTGGAACAGACATCGATCGTGCATTCCACAGCCATCTGAAACAGATCTTTGGAGAAGCATTCATCAATCTCCCATCGGCATCGGTTTGCGCAGGGAGTGCATTCATGGATGCATTTGAAGACATAAAATGCGAATTCACCGGAACCGACGATGACGAAAGAGTGTCTCTGATCCCACTGAGGATACCTGACCTCGACGAGGAGGATCCGGCGATGCAAAAAGCATATGACTTCAGACGCAATAGCGTTCGAATCACTCGGTACGTTGGCAAGAACACCTGACTTACAAACAGTGGCCCCTAATAGCAGCGGCTATAAATAGCAGCATGGCTAACGTGTCATACAGCGAACAAGTCAAGGAGATGTTCGAGGTCGCAGTCGAAAAGGCATGCCTTTTGGTGGCCAAGCTCCACGAGTCAATCCCCCCAGGAGAGGACAAACCTGAACTTCAAGTCAGTAAGTCTAATAGTAAAGAGAGAAAGGGAGCGCTAACAAAAGCCAGACTTGTATACTCTCTGGTGGTCTCGGCTCGTCACCTTACATGCGCAGTCGAATTGATGAACACGTCCAGAAGTATTTTGGCGGTAAGGTCGAGCTTGTGCAGCCCGAAAGACCATGGCCAGCCGTTGCTCTCGGAGCCGCAATGATTGGGTGTGAAAGAGGCCAGATCGTGGCGAGAAAATCTCAATACTTCATTGGGATTGTCACACATGAACAGTTTGACGCCGAAAAGCACCACGAAGATGACAAGTTCAAATGCCCCTTGCTTGGGCTTCGAGCCAAGAATCAAATGCAATGGCATCTCAAGCGGGTAAGCAAAAGCTACTGGCTCTGCACTCACCTAGCAAGAAGCATCTGACACGCAGCAGAATGATGAGATATGTCCCAAGATGACGAAGACAATCAAGACTTATGCGGCAATTGGGCGCTCCAGAAGCGATCGGAGCCGGGTCATCATATCCCAGCGTCTCTATGGCTATCAGGAGGATGATCCGCCCAGTCGTCTTAACGACAGCGGTAGGTTGGCCAATAAAACGATGAGACCCTAAGTGCTGACATGAAGCAGTTAGGTGTGTTGGAACCATTAGAATGGATGTGACCAAGATTGTTGAAACGAAGCAGAGGGAGATGAGGAGTAGCGGGAGACGAACTCCTCTCACCATCGAAATTCCCATCAACATAGACGTGATCGTGGGCTCAGAGCGAGGTGTTTTGGAGGTGCAAGCAAAATGTGGGCGGCAAAAGTTGGACGGCACCACAATCCACTACGAAAAGGACCTTGAATGAGTTGCAGAATGAAGCCGGTGGCCATTCCAGGAACGCCGGATTATGACTTGGAATATTCCAGTCGAAGGATTGCGTCAACTGAAGTCCAGCGCGGCTGGTGGGCACGTGTGAGAAGCTAACTGACAAGCTGGTGAGAGGAGAAAGGTGCTTCGGACACCTGGTGTCAGGCCATATGAAGCGTTCCTGCATCCGACGCTTTTCCGTCAGACTTTGGACCGCTCGTGTCGGCTGAACAATAGCATCAATGACCGGTGCTTCCCGTGTCCCCATTTCCCTGCTTCTCTCCCTGGCCAGACTCTTGCCCCTGTTTACCTGCTTGTCGACCTTTCTTTACGCTTTTCCATTCAATGGTCACAGCTCCGAAAGCCATCGCACAACTCAGGCCAATACACAAGTAGAATGCGGTCCGCAATGCGTCACTGTAGGCAACCAGCACTCGTGGGAGCTCGTCCGCGGGAACCATTTTCCTCAGATCCGTGGCCCCCGTCTCGACAACAGACTTGATGTCTATGCCTGGTATGTTGTGCAGATTATCCTCGAGATGCGAGTCGAACAGATTGTTCCCGACGCTGATGAAAACCGCACCACCAAGAGCCTGGCAAAACTGCATGAGTGATGCGCCCGTGGAGACATCTTTCCGTGACAGAATTGTTTGTGCCGCAACAGAGGGTTGTTGTAATCCTAGACCGAAGCCAAAGCCGAAAAGGACTTGATAACCAATCCATGCAGGGTGGGTTGTGTGAGGAGTGAAGGTTGAGATCAATCCGGAGGCGATGGGAGTCATGATTGAGGAGAGAATCATCCAAGGTGCAAAGTAGCCAGTCGCCCGTGTGAGGAAGCCTGCCATGACCGAGGCTATGGCTAGGGAAATGACCATGGGTAGGTTCATGATGCCCGCTTTGGTAGGCGATGCGTTCTTGACGGTTTGGAAGTAGATCGGAATGTAGTAGAACATGGTCATGAGAGCGCCGCCGGCGACAAGTGCAAACCACATGCCAGCCAGAATACTTCGTTGAAGAAAAATGCGCCCTGGAACCATGGCTTTGTCACCACGCCACCACTGGTCTGCGAGAAAGGCCAGGCAGCACACTCCAAATACAACAAGGAGGGCAATAATGCGGCCGCTGGACCAGCTATAAGTGACTCCACCCCATTGTAGTGCCAATAGGAGGCAAATGACGCAGGGCAGGAAGAAGAAGAGGCCCAGCAGGTCAAGCATTGCTATCTTCTCCCTCAGTGTTGTTGGCTGTCGTGGAAGCATTCCTGCTGGGATGTGCAAAGTGATGAGCAGCAAAAGCAGCACAGCGCCGCCGCAGGGGAGATTGATGTAGAAACACCATCGCCATCCAGGTCCGTCGCTGAAAGCACCGCCTAAAAGAGGTCCAACAGCACTAGCAACTCCGAAGACCAAGCCGAGCAGGCCTGTGTACTGAGGTCTTTTGTGGAGAGGGACGACGAAAACGATGATGATGATGCCTCCTTGGAATAAGCCAGCGCTTCCGAGACCGGCTATGGCGCGGCCGACGATGAGGGCTTTGGAGTTTGGAGCGGCGCCACAAACCGCGGAACCGACTTCGAAGACGACCAGTGAACCCAAGTACACCCACTTGGGATTGTACAGCGTGTAAATTCTGCCCATGAAAAGCATGAAGGCACAGGATGTCAGCAGATATGCCGAACCGTACCATCCAATATCGCCTAGAGACTGGAATTCGTTGCTGATCGACGGAATTGCAACCCCGATGATGAGTCGGTCGAGAGCGGTCAGAAACACAACCAGGAATATACTGGCGAGAATGAAAAGCATCTTGCTCTGCGGAGGGTAAGAGTGCTCAGCGTCCGGGTTTGCTGCTGCGTGCTCTTGCGCTTGTTCCTGTTTGCCATTGGAGTCGGACGTTTCCTTCGAGGCTGGAGAGGGCTTGTCGGGATCGACAGCTTGCTCGGGTTGTGACGGTGTAGTCGCCATGATTGACAGTTTCTGAGGTTTGAGCAACTATGAAGATTGCCAGCTTGGGGGCGTAGACGGAGAGAAACATTTTATATAAATCAGTCGCAGGCTGGCGTGGACATTGCATTCATTGCTGTGGTAAAGGTCGCAGCTCGGAGCCTTGTGTCTGGAGCCCGAAGGCTGATGTTGGTGCATATCACAACTCGGGCCTTCGGATTTCGGGCCTCGAGCCCCAGGCCCGAAACATGATTTCCGAGTCCGCATCCGTCCCCCAACACAATAAACCAACAGATCCGCCAACGATCAGTCCCATCTTGTCATCATAAGCACGGACACCGAAAGCATCGAAAGCGCGCTCAGGTGTGTTCTGCTCCTTTGACCGAAAGGAGAGCTTGTTGCCTAAGCTTGAAATTGCAATCAAGGGCAGCTTGAGCTTGGGCGTCATTTTAGCACAGCTACGTTCACTTACAGAAGGTCTGCCGAAGCGCGCAAGGCTGAACCTCCTCACTTACGGCATCTCGATCATCCATTGGTCGTCCTGCATGCCCCAAATGGACTGACTCGACGTCCATCACTATCCATAGGGGATGGTATCTATTCTATGTGTGCTTAAGGTACCAGTTAATGTGCATATTCAGACTCAATGCCGTCCAACCGCCCCGTTTATTCATGCGTCAGATGCTCTGACAGGAAGGTCAAATGTGATCGGGATTACCCGTGCGGTGCTTGCAAGAAGCACAATGTTGAGTGCACATATCGACCGGCCCGCCACTCTCGGAAGAGGTTGAAGCTTCTGGAACGCGATGCTCTGATAGATCGTGTCCAGCAATATGAAGCGTTCATCAAAGAACAAGGCTTCCACCCAGAGGCGGTCTCCCGCCCCGGGACCGTCCTATCAGGTGACGCGGAGGAAACCCAAAGCCCGCAAACCGACCGCGGCTCGCAACAACCAGAACCATCTTTGGCTGGTCCGGAGGCGAGGGAACATTTCAGCAGAGGCCAAACTGGCTCTGACAGACAACGGGTGCACTTTGTGGACAAGTAAGGTTTCCGCACTATTTCCTAATGTCTACTGACAATTCTGCAGTAGCTTGATGACGCGGATAGCAAAAGAGGTACGTTATAGCAATAGTTGTGGCCAATAATCCTTGTAGGCGCTGTGGAATGTTGTGCTGACCAGCTTTCAGTTGCCCGAGACCAAAAAAGACACTCACGATTTGTCGGATGAGCTGAGTGACGGAGAACATTCAGAGAACAGTTCCGACTTGCTCATGGGGGTATGTCCATGCCATAGTAGCAGATATACACACCCGTCCACCGACCAAATCAATGAGCTCTGGCAAATCTTCCTTGAGAATGTTGAACCCCTTACCAAGATTGTACACGCCCCTTCGTTACAATTGGCGATCAATGAGGCTATTGACAACATACCTGCTGTTCCACGAAGCTTCCATGCACTCATGTTCGCAATATACAGCACAGCAATTCTATCCTTGACCGAGACCGAGTGCCAGGAACGATTCGGTCAATCTCGGCGCAACCTGTTGTCCAATTATGTCGCCTCAACCAAGAAGGCATTAGCAAGGGCAGACTTTATGAACTCGAAAAACCTTGTAGTGCTGCAAGCTCTGACCCTACATATCCTTTCAATTCGAGACACTTCCAGCCCACGATCAATATGGACATTGACGGGCGTTGCACTCCGGATTGCAGAAGCCATCGGTCTACGTCAAAATGCAACCCTACTGGCGCTTGCACCTTTCGAAGCCGAAATCTGGCGCAGGATCTGGAGCTGCTTGAAGATGCACGACAACCGTGCCGCTGAAATGTGTGGTCTACCTACTTTCCAACCCCTGAATGGGGACATCCACATGACCGGGACACTCACAAATACTGATGATGCGGACATCTACCCTGGCATGCCGGCCCCCCCGTCAGACTCTTCTAAGCCCACTGACATGATATTTTGTGCTGTCCAGTCGGAATTCTTTGCCTTTGCTGGACGAATGGCGTCCATCAATCGCAAGGCGTGCGGACCGAACTTTGTCGCCGACATCTTCGCGACCAAGGAAAGTGTCATGCCGAACGACGATGCGATCCAAGAACTGCAGAACCATATCGAAACCAAGTATCTCCGCTATTGCGAACCGTCGGATCCTTTGCACCTTACAACAGTTCTCTTCGCCCGGTATTCCTTGAACGTATGTCGCTTTATGGCTCGACATCCAAGGAAGTGGAAGAATCGATTACAGGTGCCAGAATCGGAGCGGAAGTACGTTTGGAATGTCAGTCTGAAGCTGCTGGAGCAATTCGACATGATTCAGTCAAGCCCACATGTCCGCCAGTTTTCCTGGAACTTCGCCTACTATCTGAAATGGTCGGCTTTCGTTCATGTACTTGACACTCTCCGGGTTGAACCCCTTGTGGTGGATTCCTCCAAGGCATGGCGGTTGGTGGAGACGACGTTCCAAAATAACCCAGCAATGATGACAGATACTGAGAGAACCTTATACGTTGCGGTTGGCAACCTATGCTTGAAAGCCTTCAAGGCGCGAGAGATAGCGATGGCCAGGGAAGGAATCGTAAGCGGCGATGTTCCACCCTTCATCCACCAACTCCGGCAGATCCAAGAAACCGCTCGGCTCCGATTGCAAACCAAACTGTCGTTGCGTAGGCAAGGAAAGGATTCTCGTTTCAAAATCAGCGGCACTGAGACACCTCCAGCCACGAAGTCGTCCCCAGATTGTGCGCGCGATCAATCTGCAAGCAACAGACCACCGCGATCGCACGCCTTGAATCAACAAAACTCGCCACATGAACCTGATAGCAGCAGAAGTTGCTTGATCGACGTCTCCGCATCTGAGACTGGTATGCCATCCAGCATGCTAGACGAGGATCCGAACTCGCTGCTGCCCCAGAATCAAGACATGGAAGAGCTCATCTCGGAAGGTATTGACTGGACCCAATGGGATTCATGGCTGAGCGGCACAGATTTTCAGATGGGCACCATTTGAAGATTGCTCATGTGCTTGACACAGAAGCATTCCCTTTCCGGAGCGCTGGTGGAGTTAACACAATATCAAGCGCCAAGCGCGATGAAGATAAGCCTGTCTAAGGCCAACCAGATGACCGCCATCCAAAGGCACAGGCTCAATCTTTTGATACCCGCGAGTATGGTCGAAGTCGGTGGCTCTGCTCGGTTGTCCGCATCAACCCACAACTGTCGCAGCCACTTTAACTGCTGATTCCTGGGCTTGGGACTGATGATATGAGGACAACAATCTTCCTCCGTTACAAAACAGAAGGTCCTTCCTCTCGCAGTCCCCATGGCTTTCACTACAAACTCTCTTGCTGTCTCACATTCTAGGCAGTCGTGATGGCGCAGTCTCTGCCTCAGAATCTTTCCGATCTCGGGATGTGCTACAAACGAGGCATCAGAGCGGAATGACACCTTTGTGCTTCGAGGAATAGGAAGACCCAACCTTGCGCGATCTACAATCCACTGGACCCGACTTTGAATGGTAGTTTCACGGTCGAGTAACCCGTGGAAGTATGGATGGCAGAGTTTCAAAGCCAGCACATCTGGGTAGCTTAGCTCCTGGGTAACCATGAGGTGGAGCTCGGGTGGCAATGCAAGAATCGGCGGGTGGTTTCTCGATTCCGCTCGAGAAAGACGCAAAGAGAGCTGGGCCTGGGATGGTAGGTTTGAAGAGACGGGTGGCAACGCCATGGCTATGGAAAGTAGTCTGCTCCGTCCTGGGGATTCGCTGTTGATGCGAGACTGCCGTGCCCCTTCACAGCAGTGTTGGTGCGCAAGAACAAGAATACATGAACAGTCCCCTGCATCAAGGAGATACGGAACTTAATCTGGAAGCCGATCAGGCTGCAGTATTGGAATTGTCCTTTTTGCTGGGGCACTTCCGACAAACCTTTCTGCCTGGCAAGGCTGAGCAAATAGGGGACACGTCGTACTTACCCCATCCTCCAGGCACGCTGACGCCCGTATTCCTGCTAGAGTTCCACTCGCCTTGAGAGAGCATAGTCCGATGCCTCATGTCTTGCGTTAGAGCTCTACTGAACTTTGTTTCCTGCCACGGGTATTCATTGTTACACGGTGGCCCTTGTGGCCACGGTGGGAAAATTCGGGTTCCACGGAATACACTTGTGAAGACTACGACCCCAGACGCAATGTATGGCGCCAGAATTGAGGTAAACACGACCCGAAGGTTAATCCTTCAGCTTCAAGCACCTGCTGGAGTCGCCTGCGTAGCACATACGACCAGTCTGTAGTACATACTCTCACTGGCAGTACCTGCCATGCTATTTGTAGAAGTGCGGCATACGTTGTCTGCCCAACCGTAGGACCGTCCGGTGCAGTATTGGTCCAAACTGCGCATTGCCTCAATCCTCAATTGTGGACAAATGGAACACATCTCCCTCCGTCTAATCACATTGAATTGCAAGCTGCAACATAGCATGCCTATATGCGATGCTGCCTTTGGAAGTCTCTTGGATGTGTCTTCTGAGCCGCGTGTGCTGCGTACCCTTCTCTACTTGCTCTGCACTTCCCCCGGCTCCGGGCCATGTTCAGCAGATATAGCCTGAATTCGACCTCCGAGGAGCTTTAGCCTAACTCTGGGATGGGCCGCCGGCACAACGCCTGAATATCCTGGCCGACAGCTACATCGATCAACGTCTACCTTCCTTTCTTGAAAACCCTGTTGAAGACCGATCGCCACTCGATCGGCAACCAGCCAAAAAGCAGTGTTTGTGGGGGTCCGCCACATATGGGATTGTTCCATGAGGTGGATTGTGACCTGTGGTATGGATATTTCGAGCTCGCACGAGTCAATGTTCCGGGGAGTTTGTTTCCAGCCACCACTACAGTGATCACTGCTTCAATGTGACGGTAGGTGGACCTTGTATATGTATAAATGGTCAAGGTAAGCGCCAGGTTCGGACATGGACAAGCTCTTCTCCACAGGCATAGGTCGCCATGAAGATTGTTCTTTGTGTGCTGTTTGGTCTCAGCCTCGTCTCCGCAGAAAATGGCATCAATGCCTGGCTGCGTTATGCGCCCCTCCCTGGGACAGGCCCTCCTCCTTCTTTGCCAACTCACATCATTGCTATAAACTCTACCGCTGATGGCCCGATTCATGTGGCCGGTTCTGAGCTCCAAAGAGGTATTCAAGGGATTTTTGGCAAGAACGTCGACGTTTTGAATCAGAGCTCAAAGGTTGCATCGTCCATTGTGGTTGCCACTGTCGATGACTATGTCAAAACGTATGGGAACTCGGCCAAGTTTCCACAGCTCCAGAACGATGGATTCTGGTTGAACACAACAGGTCCGGCTGTACAGATCCTGGGACAGAATGAACGTGGGGCTCTCTATGGCGCCTTCGAATACCTCTCCATGCTTGCTCAAGGTAACTTCTCGAAAGTTGCCTATGCCACAAACCCAAGCGCGCCGATCCGATGGGTCAACCAATGGGACAATCTCGACGGCTCTATCGAGCGAGGGTATGGTGGCCCTTCGATATTCTTCGCAAATGGTCTGGTCGTCAACAACCTGACTCGGGTTTCGGAATACGCGCGTTTACTGGCCTCCATCCGCGTCAACGGCATCATTGTGAACAATGTTAATGCAAATGCCTCGCTCCTCAGCCCGGCGAATGTCGAAGGCTTAGGCCGGCTAGCTGATGCCTTCCGACCATATGGAGTTCAGGTAGGCATATCGTTGAACTTTGCCTCCCCGACTGCCTCGCTTGTCTATGGCAACCTCAGCACCTTCGATCCGCTTGACCCCAGTGTGATTGCGTGGTGGACAAATGTTACCGACACAATCTACCGCGGTATTCCGGACATGGCTGGGTATCTTGTCAAAGCAAATTCCGAAGGCCAACCAGGGCCGCTCACATACAATCGGACTCTCGCAGACGGCGCCAACCTGTTCGCTCGTGCTCTGCAACCTCACCAAGGCGTACTCATGTTCCGAGCCTTTGTCTACGACAACCACATCAATGAATCAAATTGGAAAAACGATCGTGCCAACGCTGCAGTGGACTTCTTCCGCGGGCTAGATGGAAAATTCGAGAGTAATGTTGTTGTCCAGATAAAGTACGGTCCCATCGACTTCCAGGTGCGCGAGCCGGCATCTCCGCTCTTTACGTACTTGACGAACACCAGCACGGCCATTGAGCTCCAAGTGACGCAGGAGTACCTTGGACAGCAGTGTCATCTGGTGTACATTCCTCCTCTGTGGAAAACGATCTTGGATTTCGATATGCGGGCTAATCACACATCTTCTCGTGTCCGGGACATCATCTCTGGTCAACGCTTCAACCGCCCTCTTGGTGGCTATGCAGCTGTCGTCAACGTGGGAACCAACACCACGTGGTTGGGCAGTCATCTGTCGATGTCAAACCTGTACGGCTACGGCCGACTGGCGTGGAATCCTGCGGATGACGCACAAAGCATCCTGCAAGACTGGATTCGCCTGACCTTTGGCCCAGATCCGGCAGTCATAAAGACCATCACCGATATGTCCATGGCGTCGTGGCCAGCATATGAGAACTACACCGGGAACTTGGGCATCCAGACGCTCACGGATATTCTGTATACGCATTTTGGACCGAATCCGGCGTCGCAAGACGGTAATGGTTGGGGCCAGTGGACGCGGGCGGACCACAAAACGATCGGCATGGACCGGACTGTCAGCAATGGCACGGGGTTCGCGGGGCAGTATCCGGCCGAAGTGGCTGCCATGTATGAGAACATTAGCACCACTCCCGACGATCTTTTGTTGTGGTTCCACCATGTCAACTACACCCAACGTCTACACTCGGGCAAGACCGTGATCCAGCATTTTTACGATGCCCACTATGCAGGCGCGGACACAGCACAGACATTTCCAACACAATGGGAGAGCCTCAAGGGCAAGGTTGACGAGCAGAGGTACAACGAGACCCTTTTCCGCCTGGTCTATCAGGCGGGTCACTCAATAGTCTGGCGCGACGCCATCAACGACTTCTACCATAACCTCTCTGGCATCGAAGACTCAGCCGGCCGTGTTGGTCATCATCCCTGGCGAGTTGAGGCGGAAAGTATGACTCTCGAAGGCTACAAAGTGTACAATGTGGACCCCTTCGAGACCGCCTCCAACACCAAAGCAATTGTCACATCGAAGAACTCCACAACAGGCACAGCAATGACGACCCTGACCTTCCCCAACGGAACGTACGATGTGGCTGTACAGTATTTTGACATGATAGGAGGCAAATCTCAGTGGACGTTGTCTTTGAACAACCACACTGTGGGCAGCTGGGTCGGCAACAATGAAGACCTCCTGGGCCATGCACCCTCGACCTATCTCGATGGCCACTCGGCCACGAGGATCACATTCCACAACGTCACCGTACACAAGGGAGATGAGTTGAAAATTACCGGTATCCCCGATGGCATTGAACCCGCGCCTGTGGACTATGTCGTCGTGTTGCCGAAGGGCATTGTTGACTGAGAAAATTCCCAATATGCAGGGCTGACAGAGCAAGCGGCTGTAGACTGGGATATGCATGAGTGAAGACGTATACGCTTGTATGAGGAATGATACTAATGGCTCTAAAAGTTGATAAACTCAACCGACCGAGGATCTTGCATGATGAACGCGAGCTTGAATTATTTGCTGTCAGGAGACTCTAACCAAAGGCATTCCATTTACAGCTTATCATTGCTGGATCAATCATGAGCCTATTTCCCTACCCTTTTCCTGATTGTGTTGCCACCACGCCTAGATGGACATGAATAGTTTTCGAATAAGCAGAGAACACTGTACTCTGTAGGTCCGCACGTTTCTAAGCCAAGACAGATATGACACCAGGCAGCCTTATCCCCGGCACCTCCGCCCATCGTAGTTTGGCAGTGAGTAGCTTCTAAGCGTGGAAAAAATCAGTCCGGATTCTCCCATCGCGCTGCCCTGAGTCGTGCATCTGCGAGTCGGATAAAATACTGTAGTACCCAGGCTTGCACTTGCATCCGGCCGAAAATATTCGAGTATCGTTGACAGATTACGGATCGAGCGGGTCGACATTTTGCGGCACAAGTTCGACGATATACCCATCCTAGAAAAAAGACCAGGTTGTTAATTAGTCAGTGGATTCACACTCAGCCACAGCTGGGTATACACATGATAAAGACCAGAGATGCCCCCCGTGAAGCGAAGCAAAGCCAAGCAAAGCAAACCAGAATTTTGTCGAGACTCACCGGATCCCTCACAAAAGCAATCTTCTCAAAAACCTTCTTATACTCGGGATGAATCTCCGTATCCGTGCCCCTAACTTCGACCCCGACACCCCTTTGATTTTCCCAATCCGAAATCGGAATCGATTCACGCGTAGCAACGCCCGAATCTTTGAGGACTGGCACGCCGTGACTTTTCAATCGATCCAGCGCTTTCGGGACATCAGGGACCGTGAACCCCAAGTGTCCGAATCCCAAGTGGGGCGGCACATTCCCCGTCCCCGTGGCATAGTGGTCCTTGTCTTGAGTTTCCGAACCATGCACATGGTACAGTTCGAGCAGACCTAGTGTGTGTTGCAGGTTGGCGGCGGTTTCGGCGCCGAACAGAGGTAAGTTACTGCGATGGGCGTCGGTCTGTGGGTAGCCTAGGTAGTAGATGGTGAAGGGGCCGACGTTCATGGTGAATACCGTGCGCATTCCCATGAGGGTGATGTAGAAGTGTAAGCTGGCGCTGGGGTCGCGGATCCGTAGCATCATGTGGTTTAGCTTGTAGCCTATTGTGGCGTCGGTGGGAGGGAGGGGTGGGTCGGTGTGGTTGCCGTTGGGGAGGAAGACGCCGTGGGGAAAGGGGGATGGGTTGGATGATTGAGGTTGAGAATGAGAATGAGATTCAGGGCCTGATTGAGATTGGGGTTCTGATGATGATGCCATGATGGTTGGTACCTTGATCGGCAGGCACTGTACTGGGTGGGAGGGGGTGGTGTTGTCGCTCGCTGGGTAGCAACGCGGCTGGTTTTTGACGCTGGCCGCGTAATTGTCCCTTCCTGTATGTATGTATACTCTGGCGACGGACAATAGATGAGATGGCTGACTGAATGACCAAAGAAGAGACACTGCGCCGATGCAATTCAATGCAATTCGATTCCGTTGACGTCCTTGTTGTTCACAGGTGAAAAAGACTCGTGTAGCAAGTAAACACTCAGATTGGTATTAATTGCTGAGCAAACTTATCAACACCGACGTGTCGAGTTGAAATTGTTGGAGCTTTCAAGTGGTTTGCGAGTCGAGGAGTCCAACGAAAACAGTTTCTTTTCTCAGATCGAGGGGACTGTCCTTCAATTAACTGTCCAGTCAGTCTGATATCATATGTCCAAGGTTTACGAACAAAATGTAGAACAAATACCGAGTGGTCCGTAACAAACAATATATACTCCTCCTCCTCCTCCTCTATCATCGTGACAGCTTGGACTCAACCGGCTTCGGAGGTCCTACCGTACTTCATTAACACATGGTTCCCCACATTATAGTACTCGGAAGTGTACAAATGGTACAATAATGTAATAAATGCCGAAAGGCGGCAAATACCCATGCAGCATGCAGGGCCTGAATGATTCCGTGGAGAAGGATGCGGGTTGCGGGGCCTCGATGTCGCCAAGTTCGGAATTGCCCCAGCAAAACTCGGCAGAACGAGGCTGAGATCTTGACAAGGCTGGCGATGACGGGGCTGATCAATTGTACTGCTCGCAGTGACTTTTAGGCCACTCACATACTGGCCGTGCCAGTGGTTGAAGGGCACGCAGCCTTCAAATTGCAGAACCGCGGCTCACGAGGCTGCCTGATGGACCGGGGCAGACGCACCTACCCCGTCAGCAAAGCATGTCCAGAGATGTTCCTGCCATCAGAGTGTCATGTCCGATGGCATGAATACATAGTATATATAAACTGCCCACTCACCTCAATGCTCCATCATATCTTCTCTTCTCCAGCAGACCACCACCACCATCACCATCACCATGCCTCCCACTGTCTTCAAGAGAAGGCGGGTTTCTGGTTCGTGGTGGTGCTGAATGCGCCTGTGCATGTGAAACTGACCAATTTGACTGTGCAGACGTGTCCCTGATGACCCGATCGTGCCACCATGGCCGTCTGCACAAACCTTCCCCCCTCGAGTCGAGGAACCCAATCCCACCGCTCCAACAGAGAGAGCCTAAGCGCCGCCTCTCCCACAGATGGCTTCGCCGCCCAACCGACAACTGCCGATGTGATCCCAGATATCGCGGGACACATCGAGACACGCCTCCGGGCGCTGTTCAAACAGCTATCGGATGATCCCGATCTTTGGGGCGCCGGCGAAGCACCGGGTGCGGATACCTTTCGACGCAGAGAGGCGCAATAGCCAGTGCTAGTCGCGCTGGTGCCAAAAGCCCGGGCAGACTGTGGCGGATACAATGGGACAGAGTGTCCCCGCCGGTGCCTGTTGGATGACGAGGCAGACGACGATTTAGATCAATATGCCCTTCGGGAGACCTGGCAACGAGGCTGCCCGAAGGTCCATGGTCGTTCGTCTGCTGGCTTTCTCCAAGATCCGACGGTCGAACACTGGGATTTCCTCGACCAAGACACCCAATCATCGGCAAATGTCGTGATGCACCCGTTCTCCCATGGTGACTCGATGGCCAAACCAGCGCAATGCAGAACATGCAGAACATGCGGATGGGTTTGACAAGACGGAAATGGCTCCCAACATGCAAAACGTTTACAGATAAAGGCCAAAATCTAATTTGTATACAGTATCAATGGAGTCTATACTAGTACACCATCTCTCTCTAACCATAACTATTGCCCCTTTCGGCAATCGCCCTAGACATGGTATTTGCAAACCTCGACACCAAATCGGTATCCAACTTGGCCGTTTCAATGGCCTGCAAAACATGCTTGATTCCCACGCCGACCTCCTCACTCCTGGTGATATCTTTAATCTCAGAGATGGCTCTGGAGGTATCCTGGGGCGCAAACGCCTTGGACTCCTTCATGACATGTTCGAGCTCTTCATAGGTCCTGACATTTGCAATGGGTATATCCGAGTTGAAGTGACGCCAGAAGTCCAGTTGCTGCAAGACACTCCGCTGTGTCGCCGTCACGATAATCAACAGACTGCGTCCTGGAGGCGGGGCTTTGCGCAAGAGTGCCACGACCGTCTTGAGAATGGGATTGCTGAATCGAGGACCTATCGGTGTCCATTCGATGTATTCTTCCACATCGTCCAAGACAACAACGCTCATGGGACTCTTGTATGCGTCCATAAAGACCTTGCTGAGATAGGATATTTTCTGGCTTTCGCTCATTTCCAGCGTGTCCTTGGTGCTGATCAGCTTGATGAACGGATACCCAGAGTCAATGGCAATCTTGGCCGCCAATGCCGTCTTTCCACAACCCGGTGGGCCGTGGAGACAGACGGAAAACAAGGGAGTCGATTGTGGCTGTCGCACTTGTTCGACAAACAGTTTCCCTTCTTCCAACACGTCCTTGATGTATTGCGAATAGTGGATGACTCCTCCTCGTAAGCAGTACGACAATTCCTCCTCCGACACGCCAAAGGCGGGCTTGACTTCTTCCAGGGCATTTTCAAAATCCGCTCGTTTCACCTTCATGTCGGCCACGTCGTCGGTGATTCCGGCCATGGTCCCGACTTTGATGTGCCGACTAAATGCAAATGATGTGGCCGACTTGACCAGACCACCAATTTCAGCGCCCGAAAAGTTCTTCGTCTTGCGAGCAAGTTCAAGCAGATCAACATCCGGATCTAGGACCTTGTTGTCCCGCATCTTTTGGGTGTGAATCTTCAGGATCTGCGCTCGGCCATGTTCGTCGGGAAGAGAGATCTCCATGTGCAACTCCAGACGACCAGGACGTAGGAGAGCATCATCAATCATATCCTTTCGGTTCGTCATACCAATCAACAAAATATTGTTGAGTTGGTCGACACCGTCGAGTTTGGAAAGCAGCTGGTTGACAACACTGTCGCCAACGCCCGTGCCGCCTCCGGCTCCACTACCTCTCTGCTTGCACACGGCGTCGAGTTCGTCGAAGATGATGATATGGAGTCCGGACTCATCGCCTTTCTCCTTATACTCCTTCTCCGCGTCGGCGAACAGCTTTCGGATATTTTCTTCCGACTGACCAACGTATTTGTTGAGGACCTCGGGCCCATTGATGACCTTTGGTTCTCGAGCATTCAACATCTTGCCGATCTGGCGAGCAATCAAAGTCTTTCCTGTTCCTGGCGGGCCATACAATAAAATGCCTTTGACATGCTGGATACCCAGCTTCTCAACCAGTCCGGGAGGGAATACACGAGAGGCGAAAGCTCTTCGGAAGATAGTGACGAACTCGGCATCGAGACCACCTATGCCCATGTCCTCGAACTTAAAATCCGGGGCAATAATGGAATTGGCCGCGGGTCTCCTCGTGGATGCTTTCAGATTGATGGGCGACTTGCCATCTTTGAAGAAGTTGATCTGCGTCTGCGGAGTCAAGATACCCCTGGCGCCGGGGTCAGAGGTCGTAGGGGCGGACTTTTCACTCAAGTCTGCTAATTGTACAGTCTTGACCTGGAGGTTGAGAGGGATGCTCTTCAAGTCCATCAGGAATCTCTGGCCAGGTGCAAACATCTGGCTGTTGAACAACTAGACACAAAACCTCAGTGGGGGATTCTCGACATGTGGCTTCCGAGTATATCATACCTTGGTAATTTCCCTCGCAAGATCATCTTGGTCATATGGCGTATCTGTGACCTTTCTCGTACTTGCAAAGCCAATTTCAATGTCCATTGATCCAATGTACGCTTGATTGCCCTGGCTGAAGGGGTCGTACACTTCAGCCTGTACCTGGTCCGTCAAAGCAACACCCATCCACGATCTCTGCGGTTCCGACAATCCGATCAATCCTCGCGGAAATGAATCCAGCGGCCGCGCGGATACGACGTACATGCCGTTGATGAGGAGGAAAATGTCTGTGCCATCGCGAGAAGGAGGAAGGTCCTGCGTCGACACTGCGACCAGATTTCGAAATGTGTACGAGTTGTCTGGGCTTTTTGCGGGCTGTAGAATCATTGTGTGTCCGCCTCCGCCTCCTGGGCGACCCCCACCTTTACTTGGACTGTTCTGATGGCCCATGGGTCGCGGTGGCATGTTTCTGGCAGGGAGCGCAGGGCTGCCATTGCCATATCCTTGAGGTTGTCGGGTCGGAGGTGTATCGTAGCCTCCGTTCATGGGTGTATCATAACTGCCGCCGCCGCCGCCATAGCCTGGCCTGGGACTGCCTCGGTTGGGAGAGCCATAGGGATCTCGGGGAGGTTGTTGAGGCTGCTGGCCGCCGCCGAAGAGGTTATTCCTGTTGAGAAACGACATTTCCAAGTATTGTGAGATATAGGGGCGTTCTCAGAAATGGGGTGAGAGAGCACTCCTTTACAGGCGCCTGCCTGTAAAGATGTTCGAACGAATCCGGCCGCCTGCGCTGATGCTGACCAAGAGGGAGGGCGGACACTCAGGCGCCGGGGGTGGAAATGTGAAACTGTGATGCCTCAAATTCTCACCATGCACGGTATTTGGCCCTAGAGGACGGTCGAAACTCAGTATGAAACAACTCTTTGCCTTGTGCAGTCAGTCTCGACTTTCGCTGTTGTTGTCTGGGTTCTCGGGGCCGCGGTCATTCCGCAACAGTGTCTCCAACAATGATGATGATAACGCCGCTCTAACCTACGCCACAGTCCCAGCCGACCTACGTTGTACTAGTATGTGGCGCCTCGCTTAGTCATCAATGTGTTTGTCAAGTTTGCTCTTCCCGTCTCAACCTTGTGGTTCGGCTCCCCGCGACATGCAATTGTCCCTGGTCAGTCTGATAATACAGCCTGTATGCTCAAAGCCCCAAACGGCTTCTTGTCAAGGCAACGATACCTAGATAATGATGTACACCGCCTGGGCTGCTGTCTAAAGCCCTGCCCTGGGCATCCCCGACATGACGCCGAATCACCGCGACAGCGACACCCGCCGTTGATCTCAACCCAGGGCAGGCCAGCCCTCCGCACCGCACCGCAAACAGGTCTGGCTGTCTGTCATCGTCATCATGCCCCTCCATCTTCTAGGCAAAAAATCATGGAACGTATACAACCCCGCCGCCATCGAGCGAGTCCGCCGCGACGAAGCAGAAGCGCAACGGCAGGCCGAGGAGCGCGAAAAGAAAGCCTTACGAGATGAAGCGGACGAGCGAGTCCGATTACTACGTGGGGGCGCACCACAGCCATCGGACGACTCAGTCAAGACAATACAGGTACAGTCACAAGACAGCGCTCCACGTCCAGCACATCGGATCCAAAAGCGTCGCTTGGCCGGCGAAGACGACACGGACTGCGATATCCGAATCGCGCGGGAAAGACAGGTAGCAACGACCTTGTCGCTCAAACGGCAAGGACCTGACGAAAAAGAGGAAGATGACTCGATCGTCGACTCCAATGGAAACATTTCCTTAATCCCAGTCCGACATCAACATCAACAACAACTCCACAACGACTCCTCCGGATCCGCTGCCAGAAAGAACTCGAAAATCGACGAAGATCCATATACCGTCTATCTGTCCCATGCTGCAGGAAAAGACAAAGACTTAGCCACTAGCAAACCGTGGTATTATGGAGGAAGTAGTACTGGTAACGATGGTCTGTTGACACGTGCAAAATGGGGCGACGACTCTGATCGTCGACGAGAGCGTGAATCCGCCCGGATAGCCAGTCAGGATCCCCTTGCCATGATGAAACGGGGTGTCAGGCAGTTACGTGAAGCGGAGAAACAGCGACAAAAGTGGATGGAGCAGCGGGAACGGGATTTGCGCGAAGTTGAGGATCTGGCTGTTGCGGCGGGGCCAAGGAGAGACAAAAACAGAAACATGGATGATGATGGTGAGAGTCAGGATAGGCACCACCACCACCATCACCGGAGAAGAAGAAAGAGGCGAGATGATAACGACGGTGATGGCGGTGGTAGAGATGCAGAAGAAACAATTAGTGGACGGCGAAGAAGGAGAGACAAAAGCAAACAGCGAGACGATGACAGCCGCGATACAACTCACAAATCAAAAGACGTCGATGAAGATAGCCTCGATGGATTCAATTTGGACGAAGGCTATACCAATACCACGACTACCGAGCGCCGCGACCGGGATCGAGATCGAGATCGAGATCGGAATCGGGAACGCAGCCCCAATAATGATGGAAATGGAGACGACAAAGGCGGACGTTTGGAGGACGACCGTCACCATCGTCGCCATGACCGCCACCGACATGGTCATCGACACCGCTCTCAGCGTGACGATAGTCCTCATCATCACCACCGCCATCGTCGGCGGAGCCCTGATGAGTGAGATGTTTAATGATAATATGATGACATGCATGATACCCTACAAGTACTAGCAAGACATTAATGACTACGGTATACTAGAATAACTTCATATCTTTCGCCCTGCATTCCACCTTCGAGGCGCCAATTCAGTCTACCCGCCGTACTATAAAGTCGTTCTCTTTCCCCTACTAGCGGTCAATGAATCTACAGTAATCAATCCTGACTGGAACGAACGGGGTAAAAAAAGAACACTGAATTACTTACTATCAAAAATTCATGCAAAAGCACAAAATCTATCAGAGTCTATTAGAGCCCGGCCTAAACCGACCGGTGATGTTTCTGTTCTGGTTTTCCTTTAACTCAGGCCCGGCGCACGTCCTCACAACCCCTTTCAACTAAGGGACGGAAACAGCCTTACCTTATCATTACCTATTATTGCCTTTCCCCAATGCCCCAATACCCAGGACTGTAGACCTGAGAGCGAGGAGGTACTGTAGGTAGGTACACATCCCCATCTCGCATTCAGGAGGTATCCATCAATCACTCACTCCATACCCATTTCCTCCAGACCCTCAAACTCAGTCTCGCTCTCGTCATCCATTTCGGCAGTCACACCACGTCGTCGGCTACCAGCTTGACTCATCTGCATCTGCATCTGCATGACATCGCGCATATAATCCGGGAGAGAGCGATACTCGACGACACGGACGCCGCGTCGGCCGTGACCAAAGGACAAATCCTCATCAGAAAGAGTTCCCTCGGTAGCAGTGACAGAACCTTCTTCGGTATGACTGTCGTTGTCAAGTCCTGCTGCCCAAGTCACATTCTTGCGTTTGACCGCGGTCGTGTGATTGCGAGACTTGGGAGTACGAGTGACATTATCATCATCAGCCTCGTCATTGTCACTGTTGTCATCCCAATCATTTCGCAGTCGATCCGCGACATTAAAGCGACCCTGCACAAGAGACGTGTACGCCGGGTCGGATCGGCGGGCCTGGTTGAACGGACTCGAATTTAGGATCCTGGCCTGGGGGGCGCCGCGCGCGGCTCCTCGACCGCCTCGACCGCCTCGACCAGGACCACGACCCCGGCCTTGACCGCCTCGACCACCACGGCCGTCTTGACCAGCGCGACCCAGGCCTAGAGGACCGTGAGGAGCAGCTCTTGTTCCTGCTGTACCTGAGACATCGATGCTATTGTCCGGCGGAGCGGTCGATGCAACAGCCGCTGGTGCGGCCTTCTGTCTCTTGGATTGGCGCGGGCTCGTGGAACCTGTAGGCGTCGCAGCTCGCTTCCTCTTGGTGACCCTCGTGGGTGCCGGTGGTGCCGGAGCTGGGGTGACGGCTCTTGCCGGGGTTTGAGCACGAGATCTCGACACAGCAGTGGGGGTGGCAGCAGTAGGGGGAGCACCACCATCTTGGGGCGTTCGGTTGATCGCCGTCCATCTCGACACAGCAATGGGACTGGTGGTGGTCGTGGTGGCAGGTGCCTGTGCTGGGGTTTGAGCCCGCGATCTCGACACAGCAGTGGGAGTGGCGCCAGTGGCGGCACCGGCACCGGCACCATCCTGGGGGGTTCGGTTGTTTATCGTGAGTATGAGGTTCGAGGGCCCCTTTTTCTCCATGATCACCGTGGCACTGGAAGCGCCCTTCTTCAGTTCGACCGTCGTAGAACCACCGTTGGTGGTAGGCAACTTGGGTTCCAGCACAAAGGGAGGAAAGTTGACCAGTTGCTTTTTCACCGTGGCCGAGATGGTAACGAGCGTCTCATACCAGTTTGCTGTCTCGGCCTTGTCGACCTTGAATTTTGTGCCAGTCACTGCTGGCGTAGACTGCCTGGGTGGGGTGTTGCGCTTTTCCGGGTCCTTCTCGGCCCCTTGGTCGGCATCATCAGCATTGACAATCCTCTCGTAGAGGAAAACATAAGGCGTGAAGTCTCGGTCCTGCGACTTCAAGACGTCGTCCAAATCAAATTCTGTGTCGACCGTATCATCGTCGACCTCTGTGAATGAGCCCATGCCCGTTTGGGGGTTCTTGTAGGCTAGCACGTGGTTGATATAGTGGCCGGCTTCCCTGTCTCCTCTATGGCTGATGATCGCGATGAGCCGATACTTGGCCGAAGATCGATCAACTGGATCCTGGCCAAGGTTATGGTGTTCGAGGTAGGGCGTCAGATCCAGCACCTCGCCGAATTGAACTTTGGTGTTGTCCTTCTCGTAGTCCTCCCCAACCAATTGAAACCGTGTCATAGTTAGGATCAGCACTTCGGGAAGCTTGCAGAATCGTTTGCGATTGATGGTCTGGTTACGGGCCAAGCCATCGATCTCGGCCTCATTCTGCTTCTGAGCTTTTAATTGCTCGTCGGCGTCGTCTCCGGCGGCAGCCAGTCGGGCTGCGTGTGTTTGGTCGATGATGTATGGTCGGCAGCGCCCACATAGCCAGCCTTCCTGTTGGCCCCGCATGTCATTTCCGATCAGATCTTCCAAAGGCACAGGTGGGCCAACTTGTTCTGGTGCTTTACCCTTTGCTCTCCTTCTGCCTCTGCCCCTGCCCCTGCCCCTGCCCCTGCCCTTACCATTGGCAGGAGGGACAATACCAGCAGACAAGTCGCCGAACGACAGAGGCCACGATTCCATCTCGTACAAGGTCTGGATGCGCGTCATGGTCGGCTGGCCAGGCAGCGTACCACACATGTTGCATCGGATACGCATAGTCTGTGAGAGCCCGGTCACTAGACCCACGTCTAGCCCTCCTACCTCCATATACTTTGCCATAGCATCGATGTCAATTGGGTCCGGGCTTTGGCTATTGGGTAGGGCTCTGTTAGCTCAGTGCTCGCGTAGCCAACAAGATTCCGCCCTCCGTGGTTGCAACTTACCTCCGTCTCCGCTCTTGCATGAGCTCTCCGAAATATTCCAGGCGCTGCCTCTCAGCAATCTCCATAAAGTAGTTCAAGAACTCGGTAGCGTCTTGCTGCTCGTTCGGGTCCCAGAAATCTCTGCCGGGTAGCGCAGTGATCTCCTTACCAACGTAAGCGAAGAATGCCTTTCGCGCCAACTCTAGCACGTCGTCATCCGACTGTGACCAGTAAACCTCGCCGAGCGCATGCAACTCGCACAACGCATCAGTGTAGCTTGCTTGGAGGGGATCTGGTTCGGACGTTTCCCGGCTTGCAAGAGCGGCTGCAACGTTAGTCTTTATTGTTACTTCCGCGTTCATCAAGATCGGTATGTATTTGGCTTCAATCCAGGCCATGAGTCTGCGGCTTGAGAGCAGCATGACAATCATGGCATTGAAGTAGCATTCAAATTTATCGTTCTGGAACCCCCGCACGGACGTGTTTCGAGGTATCTTTGTTCGACATGCAGTAATGGTGTCAACGGGAACAGGCCGGGGCAGGTGAAAGTCGGGTCCAGTAGATGTTGCCGGACTAACCTGCCCGGAAGCAGTTGCGGGCGCATTTGGAGGGGCTTGTTGGGTTGTTCCGGTCGGCGTCGTTGGAGGAGGTGCAGAGTTACCAGACGATGTGGCATGAGCATTTGTAGTCTTTGCTCTCTTCCGGGCAGGAGCCCTGGGGGAGTTTCCACCATTATTTGGAGTGGCAGACCTAGTTGTCACCATCTTGGCGAATGTTGCTGGTAGACGATAAAGAAGAAAATAGACAGAGTGGTGATCGAAAAGAACAAGACAAGTAGTGAAAGACGACAGGGTGTGCACGCATAAATGAGGACACGAGAAACTCGGCAAAACAAGGTGGTCGATGCAGGATAAAAGGAAAGTCCATTATAGCAGAGGTCTTGTCCGCTTGCGTTGAAGCGTGGATGGTTTCATCAGAGGCAACAATGGACAACGCAAAACCTGTGAGTTCGCCGGAAACGGTCAATTTGATGCGAGTACTGGGCATTATGTCTCTTTGATGCCGAGCAGTGGTCAATATCTCGAAGAGAGTGCACAGTCTGGTTGCGGACACTGTGATTATGATGTTCGGAACATGTTAGCAGCCTTGCCTTAGTATAAGAATGATCTTTTTCGACCTTGCGGTCGGTGGGATAAGGCTGAGGCATAAGGTCACGCCTCACATTCCGCAAGCAACAAACGGTGTAGTGTGGAATGTGGCACGTTTCCGATCTGCCATTAATCCGCGACACCACTTTAGCATCTTCTCCTGCAAGGCAATGGAAGAGGCATGAGTAGACTCACTTGTACTCTCACCCTCCCTCTCTGGTTGTCCGCCTTACCACTAACACACGTAGTGTTGACAATACAAGGTACCGGAAGTCCGGATTCAAACAAGGCAAGAATAACCTCCACCCGCTAGGAAGCCATGAAACCGGGGAAAGTGAACAAAGCGAGTCCAGGACAAGTGACCTCGCCGTAGTACTAGGTCAGGACGCGAATTCAGACCCTGCGGTGTTATCTGCACCCGGTGAAAAGTCTAGAACGTGTCCGCAGTCGGTGGTGCTCACGCTCAACCGTTCGCGGACAGACAGTAGATGTCTGAGACTGCATGCAGTGGACTGCATGCCTGCTGGCAGCTGAACTTGTCTGCCCGGACCGGAGCTGGAGAATATTTTCTTCGAGAGGTTTTGAGTCGGAAGCCTACCTAAGGAGACACGGACATGAAGAGCTTGAGCACAAGATGATGATAGTACTAATAAAACATTCCAAGTTCAACAAGAAGTTGTGGTAGGCACCACAGGGCAGCGGCCCACCTGCCCAATTTGTGGGGACTCGGCCGTTTTCGGTCTAATCCTCACTGTTAGCTGAAGGGTTGTTTATCAATCCTAGTTGCGAGCAGGCCCCCCCCCCGGAAATGGACACTGCCTACATTCTAACGGGTGTGGTACTACTGAATTATTGCCACGGTCTGCACCATTCTGGCTCTTAATGGCTCTTGGAATCAGGCATAAGGTAGTCCCAGGTAGACAGATAACATTCCACTGCATCCGAGTGCTTTTTCGTACCAAAAGACGAGTGGGCCAAGGCCACACTGGATGTACGAGCAGAGGCCCCACGACCCAGCCTATCCCCTGCATTCAGAGTCCATGGCCGCCGCCGCCTCCTCTTGGACTTCGTCAAACATCAACATCACCATCATCAAGAGCATCTTGCCGCGGTAAACCAGTCCAGACACTGCAGTCCAGTCCTGTCCTGTCCAGTAGAGTCCATCCCTATAATCCATGTAGCTGCCATGTCCCTCGACTGCTCAACCAGCCAGCCAGCAGCCAGCCATTGTCCCTTGGGGCCAGGGTGCCCTGTACAACAGTCGAGTTTGGATTCAGTGGCTTCATCTTGTCTCCTCACTCAGTTCTCAAAATGCACTACTCGCCCACCCCTGCGCAGTAGTCCCTATCGTCCCCACACTTCCCGCACGCAGCCTTCCGCCCACAGAACCTCCACCGCCACCATCACCATCGAGGTTCAATTTACTCAAAACATCAGTCGGAATGGTCGGGATGTACTTCCGCGCCCGTTCACGATTGACACCACCAATGCCCGCTCCATACGTAATAAGCATATCCGTCGAAGTTGGCAACGAGAACGGAAGCATGAGAGACTGGTCGAGGTTCAGCGCATTCCGACGCACAGGTGGGTCGTTGTCGAATGGTTCTTCCCTCGCTGTCGCTGCCGGAGAGGAGACGACGCCTCCTTGGTCCTGATGAGGACTTGTAGGACTCTGTTGTTTTTTCTTTTCCGTTTCCGCTGCTGCTGTTCCGTTATGATTATCCTGTGCTGGCGCGGGCGTCTGCGTCGGCGTGGCTGTGCCCGTGCCAGGGCCACTATCGACCATGGGAGTCAAAGGCCTCCTGTTAATAAGCGACTGCTCGCCCTTCTGAAGTTGGACCAGAAACTTCATATGGGCCTTGGGCAGACTCTTTTCGCCCACCTCGGCCCTATAATTCTTAACCGCATGGATCAGTTGCGTCGGACTCAACCGTTGTAATTGCACCAATGTCGCCACTAGCGACTCATGATCTTCGCCCAGCGAGCTGAAACATTGTAACCATTGAAGCAATTGAATAATAGGCGCCAGATGTCGCCGTGCCGCGTCAACCGTGTTTTCGCCCGTCGCCACAGTCGACCCGTTCTCATAATGTTCCGGTTGCCGGTTGTTGGCCCGGGCCCAGTCTTCGATGGCGGACACGTTCATGCGGATTTGCATGGCTTTGGTCCTTGACAAATACTTTTTCGTGTTCATGACCCGGTTGAACAGCTCCGCTCCGATCCAGTAGAGTAGCTGCGACAGAATCTGCGCCGTAATCACCGAATGTACATCATACAAATCCAGCACGAACAACGTGGAAGAGAGGAGGGACGTAATATTGCGCGGCGACGTCTGCGCTCGCCGCTTGGGCGAAGGTGGTCGGAATCGTTTCTCGGGTGGATCTTCTTTCGTTTTGGGCTTCGACTTGAACATTTTCCATTCTCCCTGGAAAGCCACGTCCTCTAGTCCCGGAATCGTTTCATGATCCAAGATGGCCACGTCCAGAACTTTATTCATCCGTCGTTCGGCATCTCGAATAATGAGAATATATATCTCGTTGATCAATTCCGCCAATTCCAGCTGGTATTTGGCCGTCGGTTCCACGAGGCCCGCGTCCTTTTTGAGATAATGGAGCAACAATGTCGCATTGGAGATCCAAAAGGCCAACATGGTCATGTCCCACTGATGGCGCTCGATAACATCGTTGATCAAGTCCATTGCTTTGGTCAGAACTTCATCAAGCAGAGACGCCGTCATATGATAGTGTGCATATCGTGCCATCAGGAAAATAAGATTGGCCGGCACCGGCTTTTGGGACGGTGAGCGTTGCGGCGTCATATTGGTGATGATCAGGTCGAAAATGGCATCCAGCTTATCCACCTGAAACACAAACATTTGATCGCCTACACAGCGGTCCCAGATGAATTCTTCTTCAGCCTCGAAATCAATCGGTGACTAATAGGGACGTCAGCGTCGCATATACCGGGATGGGGGGATTTGTCGGGGAGGATACCCGGGGCGGTGTGTAGGGCTTCTATCATAAACTCACCTCAGGCTGTTCATCGAACCCCAACGTCGACAAATCGACTTCCAGATTCGCCGCGCTCTCCTGCATAAGCATACGTCGTTTCATTTCATTCTCCGCCATTTCCTCTTCAAACCGTTCCTGCGAGAATCCCTCATGATAAAAGTCGTCTCCTCCTAGAATCGAAGTGCCGAAATGGTACCCATTTTCATGGAGATAATGCGACAGATCAGATCCCGGCTGGAGGAAATCCAGCGCCGTGCCCCCCGAAGACGACTTGATGTCCGGGTTGGCTCCATGGTCGAGAAGGAGTTTGGCGATCTGTTTGTGCCGGTTGGTCATGGCCCACATTAATGCGCTCCACTGGTTTCGGTCTTGCTTGTCCACTACCGCACCGGCGTCCAAGAGTGCTGCCACGACTTCATAATGGCCCTAATACAGAGAAAAAAAGGTCAGCCAGGCCGTCAAGAAAAACAACAGACCCCAGGCCGTCGTCGGATAGACAAAGACAATAGACCCAAGAAATGTTTCCGAGGTTCCAAGGTTCCAAACTTACAAAACAACTCGCATATATCAACGGCACCGTCCCCTCCTCATCCGGCAGATTGACATCGACAAACTCTTTCGCTCTACCCCCCACGAGCTTCTGTATGCGGCTCACTTCGCCATTACTCGCCGCCATATTAAGACTCTTTTGGAGTATTTCCTTCTTCTGCTCGACAGATAAACTATCGTCGGTGGCGATCACGTCCTCATCTTGGCCTGGACTTCCATCTTCTCGGTGGTGCGCCTGCGCCGCTACCATTTCCATCAGGCGCGAATCGCTATCTTGGATTCGGGCGTAGGTTTCCGCGTCGTCGTACGCCGGGGTGTCGAGATGCAAGTCGAATGTGATCGGTTTCGCCGGTGTAGGCGCCGTAATATACTGGGATGCACCTGTAAAGAGGGAAGGAAGCACGTCACGTTAGAGGATACTTCTCGGTCGTTTCCACAAGACAAGAGGACACACGTCACAGCGCTTCGCTCGCTGTTCGCTGTTCTTACCTTGCCAGCCATCGTATATCTCAGTTTCCTCACTAAACACAGGCACCGTACGGCGGTCATCGAGCGAAGTCGGTAGGTCATTGGGGAGCTTGCGGGAGGACGAGACTGATTCCGCTGGCGAAGCGGGATCCGGGATACTAGTATCCATGTTGTCGTTTCAAGTTGCACCCACACTGGCAGTCAATGGGATAGCATCTCATGTCGGAGGATTGGGATTGTTGGGCAGTCCTCGTGCTGGCATTTTTCCCAATCTCTACCCTCCAGTCCTTTGACTTGTAGCGGGCGAGATTAACTGGTGGGCCAAGTGTTCAGGGTCGAAGACAGGCTGGCTGCCGTCACGTCGCGGGTTGCAAGTTGGCGTTGGGTGACAGCGGTGCCAGTTGTAGGTCGTATGTCCGAGGATCATGCGCGGTCTACGGTGCAGCAATTAGCGCACTACCCCTACTATGTTAGTATACCCTCCCATGTGCTGTACCGTACACAGGAGTTCAGCCTTGTCCTGCATTGAGAAGTGCCCCCTGAGATCACACCCTAAGCGCCCTACAAAGCGATGCACAATATACTCGATTCTTCGATGATCAAAAACATTACACTGTATAACCCGATCGATGCCGGCTCCCCAAGTATTATGTCCCCCATCCCGTCTGCCAGCGGCCATCTCAGAGGGTCCTCCTATACAACGCGGTTGAGGATGTCCACTGAGATGGCCCATAAGTGGAACCCTTGCAACTGATAACGCCGTCGCTTAACGCTTGGTAGTGAGAATGCCAGAAATGCACACGGAGGACTGGTGACATCCAAGCTCAATAACAGACAAGTTTGCCCAATGAATACAGAAAGAATAACCCCTTCATGCCAATCACGGTCCTTGTTCCGACGTTGGACTCGCACCGCGTATTTTTTCATCTAACAATCGGTCCCGGTTCCAACATTTGGCTGGCGTTGCGAATCTGTTCATCTGATAGTGCGGCAAGCCAAAGGCAGCGCTCAATGATCCCGGATATGGGCTCGAAAGTATACCTCGAACTAGCGTCGATTAGTCGCAGTAGTCCCTTTACAATGACAGCCGTGGTTCGGTAGCGCTCAAAGTTGACAAGCGGCTCGGTATTATGTCCGACCTGGATGTGTGACGGCTTCTGGGCATTATAAGTAAGATCATGGATGTAGAGGCCTGGTGGGCAGTCAGCAAGCTTTGCACGGACAAAAAAGCATGATCAAACCAACCTATAAATGGAATGCAGCCGTCACTGAGATCGGCAGATTCCATTTCCAAACGGAGATCATGAAAGTTGCGGACCGGCTGTACAAGAGCTTCCATATGTTTGAGCAGAGACTTGTCCGGGTCTGCAACCATGTCCCAGGTTTGAGTCAGTCGCGTGCAGTCAGTTGATGTAAGCGCTATTGTAAGCTGAAGCATAGTCGCGTAATTATGTAACCGTCGGGCGTGTGCTGCTACATGAATAAACTTGGTGATGACGCGGGCTCGCTCATGGATATCCTGAGTGAGCACAATCTCGGAAAGAGCCCATTTGACCACCAGGTTGAAGCGGGTGATGACTAGGTCGATACCGGTGATATCACCACGTGCCAGACACTCTACCCAATCCAGGACGTCGGCAGCCTTGTTGTTCCAACGCATTTCCACCAGGTCCGACCACTCAACCTCGCAGAGCGCCGACTTCTCCACGAGAGTCATCTGCTGGGCAAGGACTTGTGAATCGCATGCGAGCACAAAAGGAACGTGTGCCGGACCCGCCGGCAGGCGTGCTAGAGGTTGCAAAGGTGGAGATTCCTGAATCGGTGGTTGTTGGAACGAGGGAGGTGGTATTTGAGACGTTTCTGCAGGATTAAAGGGTGGCACCGGGTCCGATGATCGTTTATTGTTCTCCTCCGGTATGTTGAGGTTGACGACCGAGGCATAGGTCAACGGATGAGCCGGGATTTCTAGTCCGGAGATGGCGGTCCCTGGAGCCGCAAGCATGGGCGAGATAGACCGGTTTCCGGGCTCCGCATGATTGATGATGTCAACCGAGATCTCCGAGGACAAGTCCGAGAGATTCTCGTCTTCATCCAGAAGGAATGACTGCTCACTCTCATTTGCAGTCGACGGTCTAACTAGACTGTGGTGATGCTTGATCACACTGGCAGGTGGGCCTTTCGGCAGGTGGAAGAGCTGTGGAGGATCTTGAGCATAGTAGCCTGGTGCCGTTGCGGGAGGCTGAGGAGCAGCGGCCAGAATCAAGGACGGACCAGCACTCTGAGGCCCTGTTGGGCGTCGTAGAAGGGGCAGAGAATTATAGGACTCTTCTGAGCCCGCCACAGATTCTGTGGGAAGTCCGTATATTGACGATCTCCGTGGTGACTGCTGTTCTGTTTCCACCACCCTGGTAGTCTCGATGGGCAAGTCATCGCTTGACGAATCAGATCCCACTTCGTTGACCGTAGCTTGAATCTCGTCATTGGTCGGCCGCGAGATAGGTTCAGGGAGGTTGTCTGGTAAGGCCGACAAGGGGTAATCCCGTTGATGGCTCGTACCCAGATCAGGCAGGGACCGCCTCCTTCCCGTTGTATCGATTGGATGTTGGTCGAGGGGTGGGGACTTCTTTTCGTAGCGCCCTTCAAGTTTGAGGAGAGTGGCTTCAAGTCCACCGTCGTCATCATCTGGTATGGCAGAGAAGCCTGCGATGGCAGCCTCGAATGAGGGACGCAAATGCTGAGACGAATGGGTGTTGATCATAGAGACAGCTCTGTTCGGAGGCCCCGCGTCCGGAGGAATCCCTTGGCCGACCTTGTCCGTCTTCATAATGAGCAAGGACTCGTGGGAGGAGTGAGAGACAATGCTCGAAGTGTCGACTGAGGCATGATGCATGGCATGATCCAATTCTTGGACATTCTCCACAAGACGCAGATCCCCTCCAGGCCTTCGCCTTAACCTATGAGACGGCATGTGAGATGGCGTCTTTGGTTCTGAAGGGCCGTCAGAATCCGTGCCCTCATGCTTTGGATTACTCTGTGGCCTAGACAGGACGATAGGTACATGATCTGCAGACGCGCGGGCTGGCTGTCCCGGAATGTCAAGTAGCTCAGCGTCATCCCGGACCGTCTTAGAGCTAGCGGTCGTAGGGGTGACTGGCCTGTCCACAGTTCGTGCTGATCCATGTCTGTCTTCCAAAGCTGCTTCAACCTCGGGCGCAGCAACAGCGGCCGACTCCAACGGGTTCTCGTGTTCTGGCACAGACAAAGTGTCCAATCTATCACCCAGGGCGTTTGAGCTTCTTTGAGTCACGACCGCATCGAGACTACCGCCGCGGAGTGTAGCAGCCTGGTGATAGCTGGTTTGCGGCGCATGATCCGGGGCTGTTTCCAGTGCCTGGCCAGACGTACCGTCCTCTGCTGATGGGATGCCGCCAGCTAATGACGAGGGATCAACACCTTCAACACCAGTGTCGTCCACGATGAGGATAGAACCACTTTCGGCCGTGGCCTGACTCACTTGCCGCGGCGTTCTTGACTCCTCTTCACCAAGGGCGGTTGGCTGAAATGGTGCATCGCTGGCATAGAGTGGCCCATAGGTGATGCGCCGTTTGGTCGGGAATTTCGATTCATAATTCTGACAAACAGCAGCGCACAAAAGATCAATGCGTATCTCAGCCTTCCTGGCCATTGCAGTTCCAGTCTTGTTGTGCAACTCATCGTGCGATTTGGAGATGTTGATGGGTAAGTGTGCCCTGTGGCCACGCACACTCGTGCCTTGTTCGGACTGTGAAACGGTCAAGAAAGTCATGTTGACCGGTCCGTTTTTACTGCCCAGGACTTTCCGCAAGGAGCCAAAAATGTTTCTCCCAATTGGGTGAGTGCCTAAATGTGTACCGTGTTCCCTTTTCGGAGTCTCTCGCATACCAATTCCCAGCTCATGCCTATCAAGGGATTGCGTTGAACCTGGCGACACAATCTGGACAAAGGGCGCACTTGGACTGTACAAAAGTCCCCGAATGATGGCTCCATCTTCAGTGCCAGCCAAAGAGGAATCAAGATCAGTCTTTTGAGGAGTAGGCTCCCTGTTGCTATCGATGGAGCTCGCACCTCGTTTATGACCAGGAAGCTTCGGAGAAGAGGCTGGATGCGTCGTGACATGGAGATTCGCGGGGGCGTTCCTACGCCTTTGCTGAACCGACACCAGGTGCGGGCCTTTGCAATGAACCTCGCCGTCGCCGGTAATCTTCAGGAGCTGTTTTGGTACGAAACAGGAAGTGGCCTGGACGCTCCCGTCACTCACCATTGAATTGGGGTCTCGACGAGAGGCCCCAGACTCCTGACGGCTATGTTGTGGCTTGCCGAGTAGGTCTGCCTCAAACCAGCTACGGTGAGGCCCGCGGAGGACTTCCGATTGGCGTGTTTCAGGTTGGGCATGAAGGAGACGTGTGCTGACACGAGGCGTTGGCGTGTCATCCAGATCAACTGTGTCGCCCGGCTGGATATCTTCCTCTTGTTCTCCATCCAACTGAAACTGTGCTGGATCCCAACAGAGCGAGCATCGGCCAATCCAACAACGCTTCAGATCCCGCAGCAACTTGAGGTCACTAAACCCATGTTGCGGGCTCGCCTTTACGTCGGCGTACAGCCTGTTAATCTCTTCACAAAATCGCTCCCGCAGACGACGATCGGGGTAGAAGTCGTCCATGAAATAATTCAAAATCCAATGTCGCAGGGCCGCAAAAGTCCGAACCCGAATGATCCTCCCATCCTCTTCCATGCGACCAATGGCCCATCTCAGCCGAGCAAGCAGGAGGTCGAGCACCTCGTACGTGGACATGTAAGAACGGAAGGTCAGGAAGAAGTCAGAGACAAGTTCATAGTCCATAAACGAATCAGAAGAAATTTGGGCGATGATTCGAGCAGGGGTGGCCGCGGTGATTTCGCGCACATTCTGACAATACCGGACAACAGAGGGATCATCATATACGGCGTTCAAGTCATCGAACAGCTTGGGCTCAGCGGGGTTGGTCACCGTGGAGACTGCCCTCGAAGTCGACTTGTGAACCGTCTCCTGGTGCGCAGGGGGAATATGCGCAGAATCTTGCGCTTGCGCAACCTCCGTTGAGGCAAACATCCTCAGGCCGGACATTGGCACCCCTCCGAAATAACTGTCTCCATGAAAAATCCCAGGTGTGGGAGTCACATCGGAGGGCGTGGCGGAGCCCCGCGTATAGGAGGAGCTGCGCAGCACGGGCGTGCCATGGGAGCTAAAACGAAATGTGCCGATACGGTAATGCGGGATAGGCACCTCCAGCGTTGGCAAGGCTTTCTTGTTCTCTTCACCAGTGTTTGCGTCCGTGGGCTCTCGACTACCGTCAGGGCGATTGATCACAATCTTCAAAGTCCTCGACTTCATTGCGGACGCGGACTGGCGGCGTTCCTCCACGGTCGAACAAGATTGAGAGCGACCATGTTGAGCACCGGGCGCCAATCTCGTGGAGAATCTTCTCGAGCGAATTATAGGAGAAGACGAATGCGGCTGGGAAAAAACTTCAGAAGGGTTGCTCGTGTCTTCGCTTTCGGTTAGAACTGCGAGGTTCCCGTCCCCCAGAAAAGCTGGCGCAGTGGACGGGACAGTCAAGACAATGGGCGAGGTAATCTGGGTCTGGTGCGGTACCGACACTTGGTGGGTTGAAGGCCTAGGACAATATCAGCAGATGGACAAGAGGCCTCTTTTTCAAAGCAATGCCTACGTCAGATAGAGGATGCCTCCGGTACCAACGTTCCCGATGGTGAAAGTGCGACCTTCTTTATTGTCGGGGATCGTCTCCAGAGGCTTTGTTTTCTTTCCCGACTTGATGGATCTCTGTCTCAACACCTCGGTGCTGTTCTTCGCGCGGCGCAGCGAATTCGATCTCTTCTTGTGCGCCGTGACGGGCGCAGAGTTGTTCCTAAAATGTCTGCGGGACCGGGCGGTGTCTGGAGTCTGAGTGCTCTTTTGCGGACTGGAGCCATGTTGCGAGGTCGCGGGAAGGGTTGTTGCGCCGGTAATGTGGCTGGCGAGCACAGGATCGAGGGAAATCAGAGAAACATGGCTGCTGACGGTGGAATCCGAGACCATTGCGGCCATGGATCAAGTTGGTGGGCGACTGGAGGGCTCTTCGAGCATGGTCATGTAGAGGCTGGCGTCGGAAGGAGAGTGGTCATATCGCAGTACTGTATCAAAGACATCAATGGCCCAGGGACAGTGACGCGCTGTGTGTGCTACGGAGTTCGCGTGGCCTCGACTGCAATTGTATACAGACGGACCGCCTTGTGCCAGGCCAGATGTTTTGCGACGCGACAGGCGCAAGCAAGCTAGATCGCACTTCGGATATTCCAAGTTGTCGCAGTCCGATAGGGTTCCGAGACGGCTGATCGCGAGGGAGAGGCCGTGCCGTCGCGGCGGACGATAAGAGAGAACGATTTCTCCGCTGCAGCGAGGCGGGATCACGAAGATGGAGGGATCGTGGTGTCGTAGTGGTTTACCACTGGGGGCAAGGACTCGATGTCAACTTGAAGGCTGCTGCGTGGGGAGGGTCGAGGGAGTGACTGGGTGAGGCAGCGACGAGAGAAGGCGGGATGCTGGTGTGTAACTTGAACTCTGGCCGTGTAGAGGTACGGTAGTTCCAGTTGCGGCCGTGTGGAGGAGGTGCGACGGGCAAGAAAAGAGTGCGCGGACCCCGGGAGTGGAAGTGGAAGAGGAAGTGCCAGTGGCAGTGGCCGAGAGATGCAGCCTGCAGTGCAGTGCAGTGGGTGCCCTGCCAGTGCGTGCAGTGCCGCGCTGTCGGTGGTGGGTGCGTTGCCTTCAACTTGCGTCTGCACGGCGGGAGCCGCAGATGCTGCACTGCAAATGCCAGCCTGAGTGGTAGTGGCCGATCGGCTCAACTCAGGCACACCAACTACCAGACCTTGCTAGCACCGCTACCACGCTCTAATTGTGACAGCCACCCAAGGCAACTGGCTGCAGTGAGCTGCAACTTGAGGCTATATTACTACTACAGTAGTAGTAGCTACCGCTTCCATTATTACCACTGCCCTGCACAGCACCTCAACCTGAACATCTCCATCATACACCACCATTTCATCAAAGTTAGGCGTTGTCGAGAGCACGCGATCCTACCCCGGGACGAATCCCATCACCAAATCAGACAGAGCGAGCAGGATGAGGAGGCTGGAGCATGGCGCGTCGTCTACCTTAGTCCGAGTCCCCAGACGAGCCTGGGTCAAGGCTCTAGGCGTCCGAGTCCTGTTTTCAGGCGCTACACCATCTCTCACTATTTCTCTTCCCCCCGAACGCGATCCGCTACTACCAGTAGTAGAACAATGTTATAGGTCTGCCGGTGATGGGGCGCGGATCCCATGGGTTGGATCCCCTGTGCCGGGACTGACTTACGAGGATGTGTATACTACTAGTACTAGGGTACACTGTGACTGACCTTACGGCACCGAGTCGAACAGTACTGTACAGAGGTTGATGAGAGTTTCGAATGCCTGTCCTTTCACCATTTATATAGCACTGCCGACAATCCCATACAGTAGTAATAGTAGTACTGTAAGTCAGGAAACAACCCATGTTGCCGAGTACGAGTAAAGAGTATCAGCGAAATTACTCGGAGCGAACCCGGCACGCAACCTGCAGGGAATTGTACTGTATATGTCAGTGGCAGTGGCTTGGTTTGGTTACTCCTACGTCGGTACTTCTGATTTCCAGCCCTGCCAGTGCAGTGGTCAACCAGGTTACTATTCCCATTACACAATAATGTACTGAGTACTGTACCTCTCTTGGCCAGTTTGCGATGTCTCACACTGCCATGTCTCCAGCGGGGGCTTCTGTGTGCATCAACAACACCAGATCCAACAATGATCTGCATCCAGCCACTGGTTTCTGTCCAGGCCTTCAGGCTCTAAACTATCGCCTGTCATCCGAACTTTACGCGGGACTCGGAGTCCACACTTCGAGTTCGGCTCTTGAACTTGAAGCGTCAAAGCACTGCACTGGCACTTGCATGTTGTTGATGGTCATAGGTAGCAGCAGCAACTTCGGGTATAGCGACCTGAGTAACGAGACAATTCTTGATGATCCCCAGCCTTCGACAACGTGTAAAAGGAACAACAACGCATCTGTTCTATTCTATGATTGACTCAAAACCTTTCACGATCGTCATCTCGAATCCCGCATGACAGCAATTGACAATTCTCTGGTGCTTGTCCCACCGTACGGTTGACTTGAAAAGAGGCATGCACGATTGCTTAACCTATCGAGCCTTGCTTACGCTGCAATCTCTATCCTCCTGGAGAGTCCCCGCCGCGGCTTCACTTCGTATGGTCCTTGCAGTGTGCAGTGTTTATCGAAGCCCTACTCGTAAGGCTCGTCAGATTCGTAAAGCACTTCAGGAACTTCAGGAACTTCAGAGGCTTCAGGAACCTCAGACGCTTGTGCAGTCTTCATGCTTTTGTCCACGGTAGTGGAAGACACTCCATCTGATCAAACGGTTAGTCTGCTATCACTGGTCGTTCAGTGGTATCGTTAGAACGGGAAGTCATACCTGAACCATCAAAAGTCTTGATACGTCGCAGCGTGGTTGTTGTCATTTGGAGGACTTGAAGTTTTTTGAGTAGATCCTCACGTTCGGCAACTGAGTCGGCCGACTCCCCAGCAATCCTGGTGAGAGTGGTCGCATCAAGGTTACAAACGGTCTGAGTATTGAAAAGAGAAGGCAGCTCTTTGAGGAGACATTCTTCAACAGCATAGATGCTGAAGGCGTCAACGACGACCTTCATTGCAACCTTTTCTGGTTAGTGGCATAGTGGGACAAACACTTGAGTGAGGCTCACCTTGTAATAAGCTTCCATGGCATGCATCGCCTCGATACACGTGAATTGATCCATATCCGCTTCTGATTCCTCTTGCAACGCCTTCAGGAGATTGTGAATGTTAAATGCGTAGTCCACCATACCCATCGAATCCACCTCAAAGAACGAGTGGAGCTTCTCCGAGAGCCTGGCCTGAGAAACTTGCTGCCGCTTCTTCTGAAGGTTTTCAGTAAAGTAGTGGTTGTAGGTGATGGGATGACCTCTCGTGTACGGCTTCAACACCTCCTCGACCTTTGCTTGCAACTGGGCAATAACAGGCTCCATATTCGGACGAACAATATACCGCGTGATTCCATCGCCGGTCACGGCATCGCAGATGTGTTGGACAATCAGAGTCACGGATGTCCTCGCGGCGGCAACGAGCTTGCTCTCGGTTTCTTCAAGAATCTGCTTCCATGGTTTGGATTGATCGAAGAACAGATCGCTGACGATCGCCGGATTGAACAAGCCCGGCAGCTCGGAGCCGCGATTGCGACGCATACGCGTCTTGACCCTAGACAGGTACTCGGCCTTCGATATGATCTGCGGCCCGGGCCCCTCCGCGTCAGGTTCCTCAGGCTTCTCCTCGACTATCTCTTGAGAGTGCCCACAAACGCGCATCCTCTCCGTGAAATCGAGAAGCTCGTTCTGGGAGACAGCACGTAGTCGTTTGTCGTAACCTACCTTACTGTCCGAGCTACCAAAGAAGGGATCGTTGTAAGCTCCTGAGATAGAATCTCTCATTAAGCGTACAAATTTGGAGCTTGCTGTCAGGAGATAGGAGCGTTGCTCATCCACGCTGTTGCGCGGTGAACCAAGCGACTGTAGTCGGTCCTTGCAGGCCTGTAGTTCGTGGTCAACGTCTCGAACAAGATTCGGAAGCTCCACCTGAATTTGTCCAAGCAAGACACCGCTGAGCCGTGGTCGGAGACTCCCGATTCCGAGCTGAGACTTGGGAATTGCCGCCGCCCAGACCCTACCCTTGAAAAAGGCCTTTTCGGCAGCATCTCTCTCCTCTCTCGAGGCGTCTCTGGTATCAAAGTCCCGGTTCTTAAGCACATGCCAGCCAAGCTTGAAAACAATGTTTTCGTTTTTTGCCAATTTGACAAAGGCAGCCTCGCTGTCGGATCCTTTGTGCAAGAGATCAGGCTTGGTAATGATCCCCAGTGTTCGCTGGCCCTGGGGGTCGATCTCCCGTGCCATTCGGGTGATTATCTGCATCGCCAGATCACTCTTTGCCGAGACGACTGCCAGTATAATGCTCCGGCTCTTTTCCATGTACGACTTGACCATTGACTGCACCAGGGCTGCATCATCATCCGACTGCGACTTGTCCCCTGCCCAAAAGATTCCTGGCAAGTCTACCAGCGTCAAGTTGGGCTGGGTTGGTCCACAAAGTTCCACCCGGAGAATGTCTTTGGAGAAGACAGTGTTCAGATGGTCCAAGCCCATGGCTGTCTCAGCCGCTTTCACGATACCTGCAAAGTCATCGAGGGAGCTAGATGGTGACGTGAATCGGGAGAGTTGTTCTGCTTCTTTTTCGGTACGGCCGCCGTCTGGAATAATGGTGACTGTAACACTGGGGGCAGGGGCACGCCGAAGGATGAGCTCGGTCGCGAACCGAGTGCAGAGGTTGTCTTTGGTAGGGAATTGCAATCCAGAGATGGCTTCCAGGACACTTGACTTTCCGGATGATTGGTCTCCACAGACGATCAACTGTGGGAGGTCGATATATTGACTGATGCCTTGTGACCGTAGAGTATCAATGATGTTAAGAACTTCTTCATGTTCAGGGGTTTGGAGGCCAATCTCCGGCAGCTTCATGTCACCGACTTCGCCCATGTTGGTAAGAATGGGAGTAATCGAAAGGATAGCAGATTTGGGGAGATGAACAGAGCACACAGTCGGGGGAGATTCAACTTATACAGCCAGAGAAGCCAGAGCTCATTGTCATCCTGTTGAGAACAGAGCTCCAGGGGAAATCGTATCATCTGCACATTAGCAAATCACCTACCAGGAAGGCGATCAAACACAGTCTTAGCCGGTGGGCTGCATAGCAACCCGGCCACGAGCCGTGACCTTGTTGTATCATGACCAAGCTTTCGCAGATGCTTTGAATTCCTTGCGTGGTGGAGAGGGAAGAACTGTGATATTCAAGCCGTGACTTGCGTGGAAACAAAGAAATTGATACTGACTAGTCCTGCAGGCACCCAGAATTGTCGTATGGCCTGGCGGGAACAAGTGTCAGCATGATTGCAATGCGGCTTCCATCTCACGCTTTGGCGACGACATGATGTATCACACCAGCTTGCAGTACCAGTGCAGTAATAACAAAGACAAGTGGACGGAAAGACTCGGAGTGAGAGAAGAAGTCTTAAGGTGGACCACTAATTGAGAGTCTGATGGCAAGAGCAAGTGGCCGTCGCCTGTTGAGTGTCATCCAAGTAAGCTGGAACCAACCACTTCCCTGGTGGATGCTGGACTTCATGTAGTAAGGCTTCAGATGATGCACACATTTTTGAAGCAGTCAATATTGAAATAGGTACCTAGGTACACTCAGTTAAGTGACTGAATAGTACCACCACTAGTAGTGCGGCCCAGTGGCGGCACCACAAGAATCGTATTATGTAAGCAAAGGTCCGGCCAAAGAGCGCTTTTAGCAGACCACCGCCATACCGGCTCAAAGATAGTAAATGTACATACATACGCTCGACATTTCTTGTCTGCTAGCGTTCTATTACTATTGCAATTAAATACGCAAATATCTATCATTACACATTTCTATCATCATTCCGGTTCATCAGCAGAAGATGTTCCACCACTTCTTCCACCGCGGCCAGGTGGCCTGGATTCTACGCTCTTCCTCCAGAATCTCCTTGAGATTCAGCTCCCGCCTGCCACTGTGGACATCGATCTGTCTGGCTCTCCGGACCTGTGTCCTCCTAATGATCTTGTAGGCGAGATACATGACGATCACGATCGGGGCGGCAAGATAGACCTCAAAGAAGGATTTGACGCGGTCGCGGGCCGACATGTCCGCGTATCCGATGGGGGCGAAACCCGTCCAAAATTGCGCGGCCAGAATCAAAAGATTCATGATCAGACCCAGCCACGAGCCGTAGACGGTAGCTTGGGATTTGAACGCCAATTCGTCGAGAGTGTGGCCGGCGAGACGCCATGCTCGTCGGAAGCGGATGTGGCAGAGACAGATGGAAGCCCTGCAACGAAACAGCGTTAGTAAAGTAGGTAACTTTCAAACTAGCAGTGACAGCAGCAAGACCGAAAACCAGGAACAGAACAAAAGTCAAGGGGAACTTTTCTCCTTCTCTAGAGATGTGTACTTACCATGTAAAAATGGATGAAAGACCACTGATAGCAATCATCCAATTAAAGGCTTCGGTGGTAGTGTCCGGACCAGCCGCGACAATGTAGCACAGAAACCCGATCAAAGAGGAGACGATGATGGCCACGAGCGGCCGACCTGCACGGTCGACATAACCCAGAATCCGGGGAGCTTGGCCCATGTCTGCCAGCGCGGCGAGCGTACGGCTGGAACCGTAGACCGATGAATTTCCCACGGACAGGACGGCGATCAGAATGACGACGTTCATGATGGAGGGAACTGCATCGATTCCGGCATTGCGCACGGCAATGACAAATGGAGAGGCATTGGCGTCCGAGGAGCTGCTGCCGTTGAGCAGGTCTGGTTCGTTGTACGGGACCAGCACGCCGACAATCGTGAGCGAAACTAGGTAGAACTATAATGCTTTCGCGTCAGTGCCAATTCTTCTGTCTCTGATGGAGCAAAATACATACGAGAGCGATTCGCCAGAAGACCTGCTTCACGGCGGTAGGCAAGGACGTTCTTGGGTTTTCCGTCTCCGCTGCCGCCAGGCCGACCAACTCAGTGCCTGAAAAGGAGAATGCGGCAGTCACGAAAACAGAGCAAAGACCTTTGAAGCCGGCATTCTGCAAACATTCGTTAGTATCTTGTGCCCTCACAGTTTGGAGGGTTGAGACTGGGAACATACAAATGCGCCTGGATCGTACCAGTAATGAGCGCCAATATAGCCCCGTTGATCACCCGGCACACCTCCAGTGTTGATAATAATGCCGAGGATGATGAAGCCAATGACGGCGACGACTTTGATGATGGAGAACAGGAATTCGGCCTCGCCATATCCCTTGACTCCAAAGAAATTGATGACGATAATGACAAACAAAAATATCGTCACCCAGGCGGCACTATTCGTATCTCGAGTCCCAGGCCAGAATTCTAGGGTAAGAGACGCTGCCACAATTTCAAGCGGTAGTGTCACAAGCCATTGAAGGGCGTAGCTGGAGAAGAGGAAATGGTCAGTTTGAACTCTTTCTACACCCGATCGGTGAGATTTTCGAGCACTTACTTCCAACCCATTGCGAATCCCCAAGCCGGATCCAGAAACCTGCTCGCATAGACCGAAAATGCACCAGGAACAGGAAATGCGACGGCAAGTTCACCCAGAGCTTGCACAGTGCAGAAAAGCATGACGCCAATAAGTCCATACGCAATAATCAAAGATGCTGGGCCACCCGTTGCAAGAGCAGATCCAGAACCCACGAATAAACCAGTCCCGATGGAACCGCCAATCGCAATCATCTGCAAATGTCGAGACTTCAGCTTCATAGCAAGTGCCGGTTGCGCCGGAGGCTGGTCCTCGAGTCGTTTGCCATCTGCATCGATGGCTTCTCTGGTCACGCGAGCATGGGGATTTCGTCTGAAGCTGTCGACAAAGCGGCCGAAAGCTGTGTCATTGGAAGTGGAGAGCTCGACTTTGCCTTGCGAAACGTCGACAGGAGGGCTCGGGCTCGGGCTCTCTGAGCCTGCCTCAACATCCTTTTCCAACATCGAGATCGAGGCAGCAAGCTGTGTATGTCGAAACGGTATATTGAATCTCGTTGGAACTGGTGGTTTGTTTGAAAGGGCACACACGACCAGAAGCAACAATGGGGAGCTGGCTTAATATTAAAAATCGACGAACGAGCGGGACCAGGCGAATTGATCGGCCAAAACCGATAACCAGCAGCACAGAGGACGAATAGAAATCAAAATAACAATCAGGGAGAGTGGATCATGAACGGTCAGGGTAGGGGTCCAGAAGGAAAAAGTTGCGCACAATCAAGCAGTAGGTAGTATGGGGAAACAGTGCGTGAAATCACGTCCAACGTAATAACTGAGGTAAAAAGAGCAGGTGTGGTGATGATACTCTGCAAGGCTACCTCACCAGAAAATTCCACCTTTGACAGCTCAATTAGCCAAAGTCAGTTCTCGAGTGCTAGTAGATCCGTCTGAATTGGTTTCTTTGCGGAGAGCGGCAACGCCGGCCGTGCCATAACCGACGTGGCGACTCAGGCTGAGGCCAATCATCCCAGCGAAAATGGATCCATTGCTGGCTCCCTCCTGGGGAAAATTTTTGTAATAGCGATTTCTCACCTCTCATCTTGGATAGTAAGGTTGCACCAGGCGTGTTGATCCCAGGCAATGCTATGCCGTTGATAATCATCCAATGTATATAAAAGTAGATGTACACAACTTGAATACTGCAGTACTAGTGAAATGATCCAGCTACAATGCCACCGTAAAGGATTAAAGCCAGCGTTGGAATACAGTGCGCTGTGCTGGTGTGATCGCTCTGCGTCATAGCCTCGGGTACCATTTGCCGTAGCGCGCGCGCGTGTCCTGGGCTGGCCTGATGGCAAAGGAACATTCGCTAAAAGCTTCTAGCCCAGGCTGAGATTGTCTGTTGGCCTGGCTCCAATATGGCTGAACCCTGCCGAAGGGCATGACTGTCAATTCCATGGTTCCGTAAGGCCGGTTCCATTCCATCGTACCCAGGACAACTTATTAATGGCAGAAACCGAAAGCGAAGTGACTTTGGAAGATGGCCGTGTTGGGACCGTAAGCAGATCGATAAGATGCAGTGGTACCTACTATTGTTGACTTCACCGCTCTGCGCTATCATTACTACAGTTGTACTGGGCAGGAGGCACTCATCAGTAGTGACTGAGTGAGTGCAGTGAGGTTGGGGCGGGGATGGAGAAATGTTCTTCCGACTGCTTACAAAATCGCTCATCAGCTTGACAAGGCTGAGCCTTGTTACGTTGTAAAGCCTCCCAAAAAAACTTGAAGGGTACTTTAGTACAATTTGGTACAGTCCGTGTTTTTGATGATATCCTGTAAAGGTATTAAGCTCTGATCGCCTTCTACTTAAAGGCGCTGGCTGAGCCAGAACAGCTACCCATCACTTCTCAAGCATAGGACTGTCATTCTACCAACATGGCCCAGCGGTACCCAGGAATGCTGGCGTGAAAGGCAAAGACGTTGCCCGATCCCGCTGCTTAAAAGACTTGGTTAAACATTCCACTAAATGATTTCCAAGTCATCGTCGCTGCCGCTTCCTTCGTCCGGTGCAGGGGCGGCAGCAACACCCAGGCTTTCCCGCCCTGCTTCTTTGATGCCTTTGGATGTAACGAACCGCGTCTTCTTGACCGGTGACAGACGCACATCAGCCGCAGTGCGTTTCCGAGGAACCACAGCGCCGGTTCCGCTGGCCGAAGCGTCGTTGGCATCCTTTCCGAGGATATGTGTCCGGGAAACGGCGCTGTTTGACCTCGAGGGTTGGTTGTCCTCCGGTCCCCGTGTGTTTGTAGACGATTCTTTGGCCGATGCCTCAGCTCGAGATTTGGCTTTCTGTCGCAGATACTCGGCCCCGGCACCACCAAAGCCAGCATGCTTGCCGGAGCCCAGCTTCTCGGCAATCTCGCGCTCCTTCTCTTGGACCGCAAAGTGTTTTCGCAGCCGGGCGTCGCGGTCGCGAGTAAGTTTGCCCTCGGGGATGAAGGGGTCATCGTCAAAACCAACCCCCAAACCGCCATGTCCGCGGGCGGCATGAACTGCACCAGGAGCCGGCCCGGTGTTGGATTTCGCAATATAGTAATGGCTTCCTGTCCATCTGTCGTATCGGTGGCCGTCTTGGGGTTGCAGACCGTTCTGGCGGTTTGATGAACGTACGTTTTTGTCGAAAAATCGGCGACTGCCAGGTCCAGTCCCACCGAAGCCATTAGTGCCAGTATTGACGCCCATACGTGTCGCACGAGCTTTGTTTAGCTCGGCATTAAGATGCCACTCGCAGATTTCAGTCTTTGATGAGTCCAGCCAGCTGCCGCACTCCTTGCCGTCCTTCTTGAGTGTCTTGCAGTATCCAAGATCGCGAGCGGTTCCGATCTCCAGGACCGTATCATCACCGCTGCTCAAGGTCAAACTGAATGCGCCGGTGTCCGTTTTCCCGGACTTTGGTGGCATAATTCCAGGATTCAAGATAGCCACCACCGTCCCCGGTGTGAGTCGGTGGTAGCGTGGTAATGCGGTGCCAAACAGGTACAAGTCAACTGTCCATTTGAGGTCTGTCAATGTCAAAACCATAAATCGTCGTTGGTTCTTCGAACCATCATCCCACTGCTGTTCCCAGTCTTTCGTGCCTACCGTTGAGCTGTCTGGGGCCGGCGTTTTATGGTCCATTGGAGAGGATTTGGATGCAATGACGCCGCAAACTACGTAGTCGCATACCCCATCGGGCAATTCGAACTCGGGCGATTTGATTTCTCTTAAAAGATCTGGAACTCGGTAGATTGTGAATCTGTCTGGCGCTAAAGTTCGTTTGAGGAACGAATGCGGTAGTATGCGTGAGGATAGATGTAGTTGCGAATAGCCTTCAAATAGAGAGGCATCCGCTTGCTGCCTAATTTCTGAAGGGGAATTTCGAGATGATGGCCTCGACGGTGAAGCTCTCGACCCAAGGTTGGCCTGACTCTTCTCTAGGCGCCGGGAGCTGGAACTTCCCTGCTTTGTTGCATTGACAATGTCCTCGCGACTGTATGCTTCAGAGTGCAATTGACGGACTGGTGATTTGGGAGCTTCATGGCTGCGAGATTCTATCGCGGCTGATTTGTACCTCTCAATTTCCGCTTGGTCCAGCTCGAATCCTTTGCCACGAATGCGGCTCGTTGTCTCGCGTTGCTCTTCCCGGGCCTTCACACGCTGTCGTGCTTCCGCCATTCTCTCGCTGAAGGTTTTCATGCTGTTGCCTTCACTTAATGCTGATTTTGCCGTGACAGCTGATCGTGCGGAGCTGAAGGCTGACGACCGCGAAGAGGGACGGTCACTTCTGCTCGACAAGACCTCGCCTCTGGCATGGGTGGCACCGGCCGTGGTGTTGGCTCGGCGAAGAGAGATGTCGCTGCCCCTAACCCCCTTATCAATACCAAGCAGAACCCGAGAAGGAGACCGCTGTTGAGCAACCGGCTGTGCTCGTTTAGCTGGGGAAACCTTAACCTCCACTTTGGCCGGTTCTGATGCGGAATCCGAGAATGCTGAGGTTGAAGCCTGTGCCGAACTCGGCCGCAATGGCTCCTTGCCAGCAGTCGCTGCTTTGGCTTTGTTTTGCTGCAACTTTTTCAACTTCAACTTTGCCTCGATCGCGGCCAGCTTGAGCTGTAAAGTCTCTTCATCTTCTTCTAAATCGTCATCCATATTCTCATCCATTGAGAAGTGTTCTTTATCCTTGCGCGCCGCCCGAAGGCGATCGAGCAGATTCGGGGTGGTTGCAGATCGCTTGATTGGGGAGCGGGAGATTTGCGCATCGTATCGTCTGCGACCGCTAGGGGAGCTGAGAAGCGCAGCTTTGGGAGACTCGGGTGGCCAAGGGATTTCATGAGACATTTCATCTATTGCGGCGCTGTAATATTGAAGACGGAGGATTTTATGCTCGAGTGATATGTGAACCGGGGGCTCTGCAGTTGTTTGTTTACCACGAGGTATCGGTACACCCAAAAATAGCCAACACCGCTCTTGCCCCCAGGGAGCTCGTCAAGTCATCAAATCATTAACCTCATACACCATAGTATCCCAGTCGTTTCTGTCATTGCCTGTTCGCATTGGACAGACGATCGAGTGTGTCAATGGGTGCCAGTTTGACAGTCCCTGTGCGGAGGCATCTGGCCCCTATGATTGGTTTCCGCGGACGCGTTCCAGATAAAGTACCAGGTATCTTGAATTCTGCGGAACGCGTTGCGACTGGCTTGGCATTGATATCGACAGCCTTGCGGCTCGAGGGGCATCTTCAACCTGCGGCCCTTTTCAGTCCGTCCGGCTGTTACAACGTGTTGCCTGAATTGCCGATCACCATGGGCGTCACAACGCGTTCAGCCACGAGCAGCCCGGTCAAGAAGTCTGTCAAAGAAACGTCCGCCGCCGAGTCCAAATCTCACCGAGAACCTCTGAAGCATTTTATCCTTCCCAAGGATATCAGTGAGGGGGCACGATTTCTCCTGTTATCACACCCTCGAGATTCCTCCAAGCAGCGCTTTCTCTTTTGCCCCAGTACGGGGTTGTTCCAGTTCACCAAAGTCCAGACACCCTCTACCGATCCTCGAAGTCTACTTTTCACAAGACGCGCTTTCGATGCCAATGATGGTCCTGCAGATACGGTTACTGGACTTGTCGAATCTGACAGACCTCTGAGCAATGGATACATAAGCAAGAGCGCGGAATTCTTTGTGGCTACTCCATTTGACATGGTCTTCATCTTTTTACCGTTGCTCATGCCGGCGAAGGCACCATCGAGCAAGGTGCTGTTTCAGCCTCTGGACGACATTCTTGAGCATCATCTTCAGAATGACACGCATTTACGGTACCTTTACGACCACGGACGAAGCATGATAGAGAAAGCATGTTCAAGATTCTGTGACACAATTGAGGCTGGAGATGAACATATGTACAGAGCTAGTGAGGAGAAGGTGCTACGCATGGTCATGCAAAAGATCGACAATGCAGTAGACCAAGGCCTGCCCGCCAGTCTGGAGGAGAAGTTTGTGGCGAGAGCCCTGGAGGCTCCTGTGCTGAGCGTAAAGCGGGAAGACACCGCCATGTCAACAGTTTCAGCGAATACGGAGGTACTGGCGCCGGACATGCTTGAATCACCTTCTGAAAGCTTTGAATCACAATCAACAGCAACGAGTTCAGCGCAGTCTGTCTTCTCTGAGGCATCCACTGCCAGTTCAGTTAGCACTGTGGTCCAAGACACTGTACCACAAGAGCTGTGCGATCTACAGAAACGCAGAACAGTTCTCGAGTTTATTTTATCGTCTTACTTCCCAGCTTCTTTCGCGGACCGGATTCGAGCTCGGCTTAACGGAGAGAATTCTCCCATCAACTTCGTGCCATTGGAGGAGCATCTCAAGTCAATCGCCGATATGAGAGCAAAAGCACTGGCGTCTCGGTCTGTTGACGATTTTAGCCGAAAACGAGGATTAGATGACGACGAAGCACTAGACTTGCGGGCAGAGAAGAAACGGAAGCAGGAAGAAGAAGACAAGAAAAAGAAACTTAGTGAATCTCGTGGCGTAAGAGAGCTGAAGAAGGTGAATGTGTCAGGCATGAAGAAAATGAGTGACTTCTTTGCAAAGAAGTCTGTTGCTAAGGCCAAGGCGTGATGAAAATACTCTTGACTATTCGAGATGATTATGACACGGAGTCGGAGGTCTTTAGGAAATGGTCCATTTGCATGTATATGACGGAACAACGGAGCAGGGTGTTTGGGCGTTGAAGGCTTTTGATACCCAACTTCGGGCGCCTTGGACCTATACAGTACAACTTAAATGGTAGGATGAAGGAGAGTTATCTGCTACACGGCACCTGTTCAATCTTGAGACAAACCTAGCAAACCTCGCAAACCCGACAAATGTAGGAAATGCACAGGCTGCCACTGACAGTGGAGACAGCCTGAGTGCTACGCGTACTCGGGTTCGGAGATAGCACGCTCCGAATGATGAGATCATGATCGATGCTTGTTTCGACTGACTTCATCTCGATGCCGCAACCGTCCAATACCATCACAACATCCGTGCTTCGCGATCGAGCCGTCAAACACTGCATCTGACATTCCGACATCCACCGCCTGCACTGCAGTGGCTAACACATGCTCATGGTGAACATGGGGTGCCCAGCTCCTTCTGGAGTTGACGTATCTCGCGTCGCTTGGCGATTCACAACCACATCAGTACCCTTCCTCCACTGAGTTACATTGTTTATATTCCCACGCCTCTGGTGAGAGTTTCTTTGGTACGCTCCATTGCACGCGCCGGTTCGTACCCTCCAGTATGCCTGCATGGTTGTATATGTTCTAGTGCGCCGGCGTCCGCTATCGTTTGACAGTATTTCGTCCTTCTTTATCATATCCCTCTTTTCACTCTAGCTGCCATCGGGCCTCGCTTCGTATATCTTAACCATCGATATGGACGACCGACCAACTCCGGCCGACACCGATGTTCCTGGAGGGTACCCAGAAACGCCCTCGGTATGGTCGGAAGCGCAGGAGGCTGCACCGCGTGTAGAAGATACAACTGATATACCTACTCCAACTCAAGCTCCTACCCAGGCTCGATCCGATTGGATTCCGGCACCTGCAGTTGCCTCCAACCATACGAACATTCGACCCTCTCAAGATACGGTCGTTAACCCCGAGTCTCGTGGCAATGAGCCTCCCCAGCCAACAGGTTCCCCTGCCCGGCCTAAAAGTATGGCTTCTACATCCTCTGGGACAGACACGGATGCAGACTCCCTTTCTGATAGATCAAATCCAAGATATGCGCCTCTCAGAACAGCACCCACGGCAGAGGATAGACGGCCTGAGCTGGAAAAACGCCGAAGTATTCAGACGGAAGACGACTTATTCAAAGTGTTGTCACAGCGTCGAACAAACACGTCCAACAGGTCGGACCCCGAAGAGGAAGACCAAATCGAAAGATTGATGTCACGGATGTTCGGTAAGGCCCGGCAGGAGCATAGTGAGGAGGAGAAGACTCGTCACAGCGGGGTGGTGTTTCGGGACCTGACGGTCAAAGGCGTCGGCCTTGGTGCCAGTTTGCAGCCCACTGTAGGTGACATCTTCATGGGCCTTCCACGTATGCTCAAAAGGTTCTTCACCAAAGGTGCCAAAGCTGCTGCTGCCAAGCCCCCAGTACGAGAATTGCTCAGCAACTTTGATGGATGTGTCCGACCTGGTGAGATGTTGCTGGTTCTTGGTAGGCCTGGCGCCGGCTGCTCGACTTTCCTCAAGACTTTTTGTAACCAACGAGAGGGTTTCGAGGCCGTAGAGGGAGAAGTCACCTACGGTGGCACCGATGCAAAGACGATGAAGAAAAGCTTCCGGGGCGAGGTTATCTATAATCCTGAAGACGACTTACATTATGCTACCCTGACCGTCAAGCGAACCTTGACATTTGCCCTGCAGACTCGAACACCTGGCAAGGAATCAAGACTCGAAGGAGAGTCCCGCGCTGACTACGTGCGAGAGTTCCTACGGGTTGTAACGAAGCTCTTCTGGATCGAGCACACGTTGAATACGAAAGTGGGAAACGAGTATGTGCGAGGCGTGTCCGGTGGTGAAAGAAAACGAGTTAGTATAGCAGAAGGAAGGTGGCAACTATCTCTGCTTTGATACCACAACCACTAACAGAATGTATAGCCATGATTACCAGAGCATCTGTTCAAGGATGGGACAATTCGAGCCGAGGACTTGACGCCAGCACAGCCCTGGAATATGTCCAGTCTATCCGCACTCTCACGAACATGGCACAGACGTCCACGGCGGTCTCACTTTATCAAGCTGGAGAATCACTCTACAAACTTGTCGACAAGGTATTGCTGATTGACCAGGGGAAGTGCTTGTACTTTGGACCATCAGACGATGCCAAACAATACTTCATTGACCTAGGGTTTGAATGCCCCGAACGGTGGACAACAGCGGACTTTCTTACTTCAGTTACCGACGAACACGAGCGGTCCATCAGAAAAGGCTGGGAGGACCGTATTCCTCGTAATGCAGAAGAGTTTGCAGCGCTGTACAAAAAGAGTGAAGCGTACCAGCGGAACCTTGAAGACATCAGAGACTATGAGGCCCAATTAGAGCGACAGCGCAGAGAACGTCTTGAAAACATGTCGAAGAAGACCAAGCAGAAGAATTATGCAGTATCCTTCCCCAAGCAGGTCATCGCTTGTACGCAACGGCAGTTCTTGGTCATGGTAGGGGATCGAGCTTCGCTGATCGGCAAGTGGGGCGGCATCGTCTTCCAGGTGAGTGAAGTCCTCGCAGTTTGTTACGACACAAGCTGACGTTCAATAGGGCCTGATCGTGGGAAGTTTGTTCTTCCAGATGCCCAAGACAGCTCTCGGGGCCTTTCCTCGTGGTGGTGCCATTTTCTTCGTTCTGCTCTTCAATGCTTTACTGGCGTTGGCTGAGATGACGGCAGCGTTCTCATCAAAACCCATCCTCTTGAAGCATAAGTCGTTCTCATTCTACCGTCCGGCAGCCTATGCTCTTGCTCAAACTGTTGTGGATGTGCCTTTGGTGATCGTCCAAGTGGTTTTGTTTAATGTCATCATATACTGGATGGGTGGTGTAAGTTTCCCGGATTGCACACTGCCCCATATGCCACTAACAGTCCTATCAGCTTGCTGCGAGCGCCTCGCAGTTCTTTATCTCATGTCTTATTATATTCTCGACAACCATGACAACCTACGCCTTCTTCAGATCTATCTCCGCCCTTTGCAAAACGCTTGATGATGCCACCCGGTTCACCGGCGTATCTATCCAAATCTTGGTAGTCTACACCGGCTATCTGATTCGTACGTCGCATTCTCCCCTTTGGTGTCCTGAACCTAACCGTAGCTTAGCTCCTAGTCAGATGAAGCCATGGTTTGCCTGGCTGCGCAGAATCGATTGGTTGCAATATGGCTTCGAAGCGCTCATGTCAAATGAATTTACGGGGCTAACTCTAGCCTGTGTACCTCCTTACCTGGTACCCGAGGGGCCAAATGCCAGTCCTCAATACCAATCTTGCGCGCTGGCTGGAAATGAGCCGGGCCAGACAACAGTGGACGGGGCGAGGTATATCCAAGCTTCCTTCGCCTATTCGCGGACTCATCTCTGGCGAAACTTTGGTATCATCTGGGCCTTCTTTGCCTTCTTCCTTGCCGTGACATGTATCGGGATGGAAATCATGAAACCCAACGCTGGCGGAGGCTCGGTCACTATCTTCAAGCGTGGTCAAGTGCCGAAGAAGGTCGAGGAGTCTATCGATACCGGCGGCCGAGAGAAAAACCCCAAGGGAGATGAAGAAGCCGCGGCTGCTGACAAGGGAATGAGTGATGATATGGAAAAAACGGTCAATGGAGGCAGCGATTCTGCTAGCACAAAGCGGGACGAATCTCCCATGGGCCAGGTTGCAAAGAACGAGACCGTCTACACTTTCCGCAACGTCAACTACGTTATTCCGTACGAAAAAGGTGAACGAAAGCTTCTCCAGAATGTCCAAGGTTATGTCCGGCCGGGGAAACTTACTGCACTGATGGGCGCCAGCGGAGCAGGGAAAACGACACTACTCAATGCTCTTGCCCAGCGGCTCAAATTCGGTACTGTAACAGGCGAATTCCTTGTCGATGGCCGCCCACTTCCGCTGTCATTTCAGCGTGCCACCGGGTTTGCCGAACAGATGGACGTCCACGAACCCACAGCGACTGTCCGAGAAGCCTTACAATTCTCTGCACTCCTCCGGCAGCCTCGCGAAGTCCCGGTGGAAGAGAAGTACGCCTACTGTGAAACGATCATTGACCTACTTGAAATGCGAGATATTGCTGGTGCCACTATTGGGAAGATTGGCGAAGGTTTGAATCAAGAACAACGAAAAAGACTGACAATAGGTGTCGAATTGGCGAGTAAGCCCGAGTTGCTAATGTTCTTGGACGAACCTACTTCTGGCCTTGACTCCGGAGCAGCCTTCAACATTGTTAGATTCTTGCGGAAACTGGCCGATGCCGGACAGGCTATCCTATGTACCATCCACCAGCCTTCGGCAGTTCTGTTTGAGCACTTTGACGAACTCCTGCTCCTTAAGGCCGGTGGACGTGTTGTATATCACGGCCCTCTCGGTCATGATTCCCAAGAGCTCATCCGTTACTTCGAGGAGAACGGCGGACACAAGTGTCCTCCAGATGCCAATCCTGCAGAATACATGCTGGAGGTGATCGGAGCAGGCGATCCCAACTACAAGGGTAAAGACTGGGCAGATGTCTGGGAACAGAGCAAGAACTACAAGGCTCGTTCTGAAGAGATTGCCGAGATGATTGAGAAGAGGAAGAATGTCGAACACAGCAAGAATGTTAAGGACGACCGAGAATATGCTATGCCTCTGACGACTCAAACAACAGCAGTGGTTAAGAGATCGTTCATTTCCTACTGGGTAAGTGCTATAGCTATACTGACCTGCTTCTGTCTCTGACAACACTATCAGCGTACTCCCAACTACATTGTCGGCAAATTCATGCTTCATATCATGACCGGTCTCTTCTCATGCTTCACATTCTACCACCTCGGCTACTCAAGGATCGCTTTTCAATCTCGTCTCTTTGCCGTCTTTATGACTCTGACAATCAGTCCACCGCTGATTCAACAACTGCAGCCGGTCTTTCTCAATTCACGCAACGTTTTCGAATCGAGGGAAAACAACGCCAAGATCTACAGCTGGTTCGCATGGACGACGGGCGCCGTCCTTGTCGAGATCCCTTATTCCCTCATCGCCGGCGGCGTCTACTATTGTTGTTGGTGGTGGGGCATCATGGGTTACCGGGACTCGGTGTCCAGCTTCACATCCGGATTTATCTTTTTGTGCATTTGTCTGTTCGAGCTGTATTACGTGAGCTTCGGACAAGCAATCGCCTCCTTCTCGCCCAACGAACTCCTCGCCAGTTTACTGGTACCTCTTTTCTTCTTGTTCGTGGTCAGCTTCTGTGGTGTCGTTGTGCCGGCTCAACAACTCCCGACTTTCTGGCGAAGCTGGATGTGGTACCTGACTCCTTTCAAGTATTTGCTTGAAGCCATGCTAGGGGTACGTATTTGGTGTTGTCGCCTCGTTATGCAAAAAGGCGGGCTTTTAGATGGAGACAGTGGAATTTTAAGCTAACAGATTTTGTTTCGCACACAGGCAATTGTCCATGATCAACCGGTACGATGCGGCAAGAACGAGTTTGCCCGATTTGTAAGTTGGTTCCCTGTCACACCATGATTGATGACCACCTCAGGAGCAAAGATGTGCTGAAGGTGGTTAGAATGAGAAACGGAGGCTAACTTTTCCACCTTACAGGCTGCTCCGCCAGGCCAAACATGCCAGTCGTACGTCGAGCCGTTCATCCGCCAGGCAGGCGGATACGTCCAAGTCGGCCCGGACGGACTATGCGAGTTCTGCCAATACGCCAACGGAGACGAGTTCGCGAGCGGCTTCAGTGTCTACTACAGTCATATCTGGCGTGATTTTGGCATTTTCTGTGGCTTTATCCTATTCAATTTCGCGGTCGTTTACTTCTGCACGTACCTGAGGTTTAATGCCAAGAATCCCTTCAAGGCCCTGTTGATGAAGAGGAAGCAGAAAGCGGCGAACTGAAAGACATTCGTTTACTTGCTTACTACTTCGTGTTGGGGTGCAGTCAACGTGGTAGGGCGGAATGGGAGTGGACCAGGGAATGGAGCTGAATGTGGCAGGCGCAAAGGAAAGGGAGAATGTACGATGAATGGGAATGGCGACTTTTAGACTCACTGAATTCAAAAATGAGGCAATGGGAAAGGAGATGTCATGTAGCGGACTTGTCAGTGGCAAGCCGTTCTCTCGCTACAGAGCAATGATGAATATTGTTACTTGTTGCTCTTATCGCTATTGCTAGAGTACTAAATGACAGTTCGGTATCCCAAGGCTGTCTTGGAAAAGTGGTTCATTTTGCTCGCTTAAGTACCGTACCTGTCGTAGGTGGTAATCAAGGAACCTTCACACGTAAACATGGACTTCACTTTGGCAGCCCCCAGCATCGTTTCCAATTCAATTCAATCCAAAGTCAATACAATTTGCTCCATATTGTTGTGATCTGACTTAACAACTAGTCCGGTTGTTCCCTTCTCCCGCCGCGTCGTTCCCCATTCACCATACGCGCCAGTATGTATGTATCCTTAACGTAAATTGGCAAACCTTGCAAGTGAATAGCAATGCTGTGATATGCCGAAACTCGGTTGCCGGGAGGTTGATGTGTTGTGATGCAGGTAGGTAGGCAGTGAGAAATATTCATGCATGTTTGGACACCCAATCCGCCAACAACAACTACCCCGGCATAATCGACAATTGACAATCGGCAACCATAGACAATTCATACAGTAGACACCAGAAACCAGAGCCGGAGACTGTGGCGGTTGTGTTTACATACACAATACCGTATCATCGTTGACAATCCAGGGTCTGGGGCGGGCTCCCGGCCACTGCATTGGTTTGCCTTGTTTGAGTTTGGGTTCTGTCTTGCTGCTATCAAGTCGTCCGCCAACGGCAACAGCAACATCAATGCAATCCCAGAGGATCCTTCCACGACAGTCAACTCATCGTGGGGAAGAACCATAAATTCACATTCACAGAAGCGGCGCCCTGGGGTTGCTCGTGGTAGGCAATAGTGAAAACCCTGGCCAAAATGGAACCAACAACAGACGTCGACGCAAGGGAAACCCGTCGACAACGCCGCATGGCAGCGGGACGAAGTGGCGGGTTATTCGAGATTGTCCAGGATGGCGAAGGGTTCAGTTATCGCTATGCTTCGCCCGAACCGTTGTTATATCAACAGCAAGCGAATGATATTGCGACGCAAGGCGTCGAGTCTGTGGAGCCGGCGACAAGCATAGAATCAAGCTTGGAGGTTGCAGGTGGCGGGAGCCTTGAAGAAATGAACGAGGCCGCGAAAATTGCAGTGCAGGAGGTCGAGGGTGCTGCTCCAGTGACCGCGGAAACGGCACAGCCACCGGGACAGACTGTATCTTCATCGCCAACGACCAGAAGCCATGACTGTACGGCAGGAGAAGCACCAGTGCCGATCATTATCGACAGCAAGAACACCGAACATAATACGACCGGCGCGGTGTCGGCCCCAACATCATCGCCGAAGTTGCCAAGAGGAAGCTGGGAGGGCACCAAGGGTAACACGACCCAGGAAGTACTCCCTCAGGGAACGATAGATGGAGAATATAGCGACATGCCACTGATCCCGACACCTCAGGTTCCCACATCCCCGACGCAGATAAGCTCAGAAGCCGTCAAGGGGGAAAGGACGCCGGCTTCCATGGCTGGAGAGACACTGGATATAAACCGACCCAGCTCGGCTTCGGTCCCGGCAGCAACGTATTGTGCTGATTTGACAGAGGCAGCTTGTGGGCGACCAGAGGGAGAGCAGGTGGAAATCTTTGACGCCGGGACGAAAGGAAGGCGCATGCGAACATGGAAAAAGGTCGACCGGTTTTTCTCACGCATTGTGCATCGGAAGAAGAAATCCATCGAGCCAGTTCCCACGGATGTCCAGGCCGCCCAGCCACCACCACGGATTCCAGAGCTGCAAACACCCAAGCTTCGAAGAGTGATTTCCCAAGCGGAAGCAAGTCCGCTCCAACAGCAACTCGATCTGGAGCATGACCAAGATCCTGGACAGGATGAAGTGAACAGGGAATTTTTCACTCCGCCTCGGAGGGTAAAAGTGGCATGCGGGGGAAATAGGCATGGAGAGTCGGATTCGGATGCCTTTGACTGATCATTGACAAAGACGCCCGTGGGCATCGTGATGTATGATGAGGTTGTTCGGGCCGCCGGAAGCTTCGGCGCTGTCCAAGCTGTTTGTCAGATTGGACTAGATGTGGCTCGCCTACTTATTGTGATGGAGTGCCACCGGACTCCCTTATGAGTATGTCTCCTTCCACGAACAGAGGACTCCAGCGTCGATACCATGGTCTCACCCATACAAAGCGAGCAGGTCATCTAATTACCGCGGATTCTGGCCAGCGTAAGGCTTGTCTGGTACCACCATTGACAGCTTTGTTCGAATTTAGCTTGGAAGTCCAATAGGATGATGGATACTCACTTGAGTCGGAAAATCAGTATTAGGAATTGTTACATGCTGCATCACCTTTTCATCTGCCACTTATTCCAGGATTGACCCTGCAGCTAGGTGTAGAGTGGCATGGTGGCAGCATCTTGACCGTGTGATGCCACAAACAAGGCAGAGGTCGACTTCACTTATCTGCGTCTGGTGTTTGTGTCTCCCCAGCTTTCTTTGATGCGTAGAAAGCGGTCCGTTTAGCAGCTATCTCATCGATCAGGGGATGATTGTCCAGAGCCGCGGCCGCCGCAGCTTGTCCGGCTTCGACTTTGCTCAACCCTTTCCCACTGCCCAGGTACTGATTCTCCCAACCCCAACCTGTCAAATAGACTCCCACAAAATGTGTCTCGGTTCCTTTCCCGTAGTGGATGATGGGTGGTCGCTCGTCCACATAGTTGATCCTGATGCCAGCGCCTGATATCTTCCTGGCGAGTTCGTTTTTGGAATTGGTTGAGGGCGGAGGCTTTGCTGACACGGCCTCGATTTTGGGCTCCCACAATTGAGTCAACCATTTTTTGGCAACGTCAAACCCATCCGGATGAGACAAGACAACCGCTGCAACGTAGGCTTCAAAGACATCTCCCTTGATCTTAAGCCAAACGCCCGGCGGCTGTTGACGGAGTCGGTTGCAGTCTTTGAGCTGTCGGTCAAAACCATAAAGCACCGAATACTGACCGATGGTTTCGTTCTTGACCATGGATTCACGGACTTGGGACATGCGTCCAACAGGAAGGGTGGGAAGTCGTTCAAAGATGAGTTGGGATGCTATCAATTCAAGGTAGGCATCTCCTAGGAACTCGAGTCGGTCATAGCTGTCACCGGTGGCACCAGCCGTGCTTTGATGGGTAAAGACGGTATTTCTGTATTGATCCCCAATGAACGGCAGTGGTGGAAGCAGTGCATTGTCGGCCGGGGAATTTTTAAAGCCATGACCGTTGGCCGACACTGAGTTGTCTAAATGGACTTTTTTGGCTGGCTTATTGTGGCATTCCCCGTGGTTTCTCTTCTGGCCAATGTTGGCCATGGTGACTGCACGGGACAATAATGGTCGGTCTTATGCCATGAGGATGTCCTGTGTGCAAGAGAAAATGTACAACAGAAAATATATACTTGATACATGTGAAGTCGAGCCTGACGGAGAAGCGCAGGCGGAGCCGAAAGAGGAAACTTGAGCCGGGCGCAGTTTCCGCGCTCAATCGACGACAATTCTCGCTCCCTCGACATCATCGACGAACACATTCTTTCCACGCGACACTGTCTGTCTACAGAGCATTGCCATGGCTTCCGCGTCGCGAGGCCGGCTGTTAGAGCTTGCAAAGGTATGGCTGCCTGAAATCGTGCGATTTTTGCTTTTCCAGGAGTTTTCGCGGTCAACTTTTCCCTTGAGACCAACGTTATTTTTGGTTGTTTATCGATCAGGAATCACTTCGGATGATTCATTGCGCATCTGCTGACAGTATAATCCTTTGCACAGCTCCAATGCTCGATTTTCTCCACCACCTTCAACCCAAACCAACAACGACTCGGTAACAAAATCTTGCGCCAAAGACTACGAGGCCCTACGCTCGCCGCATACTACCCGAGAAGGTCGGCAACGGTGGAGGATATGCTTGATGAATTCAAGAAATTCGGTCTAGATGGGTTCAATGAGGACGAAGAGACCCGATTTGAAAGCATCCAGATCGCCAAACTGAGAGGCAAGGGTGCTCCTAAGAAGAAGAGGACCCCATCAGGTATGTTTTCATCCCCAGGAAACTGCCCAAATGTCACGAGCGAGTACTGATATTTGCACAACAGACAAAAAGAAGGGCAAAAAATAGCCGTCTGGTTTGTTCCGCATTGAGGGGGATTATGGCGTTTAAGTCTGTGTATATAAGATGAGATACCTTGTTGCAATATCTCAGGCTGAAGTGACGACTGGCGCGTTTGCACAAAACTCTTGAGAAATGATACTTTACGAAAACAAACTAGTCCGCCGGTTGCCCATTGAATCAGGCCGCAGGTGCACGTACGGGCAATCATACACAACGTTGGCCTGCGAGGATGCCTCCGACGGATCTGAAGCGTCCAGCAGGACGGCAACCAGCTACACTAAAACTGTTACAATACCGAGGAAACCCGGCGAAGTGGAATTGGGCCAGCACTAGGACAATGTTGTGGAAGCGAACAGGAGGAGCTTGGTCCCCGACACGCCTACCTAGGCAAGATGATAGCGACAAGATGGCGCTGCAGTCAGCTGGCCGTGCCTTTTGTTCACAGCCGCAGATGGAGGAGCCGGGGCGAGTCGGCCAAAGGCCGTGCCGTGGGATACTAGTATGGATCTCGAACGGCGATATCGGGTGAGGACCATGAAGTGCCCATTTGTATTTCGTTGTTGCTCAGGGTCTGCCAACCGACACGTTCCCGAAGAACGAATTAACTGCGCATTCCCCAAGTGTTAATGGCTGGACACAGCAATGCTAAAAACGCCCAGTTGTAAAATGATTGGTTCGGGCAAAGCAGAGCAGCCTGCGCGCTCCGCAGTTAGAGAAGGAGCGACTGAAACTGTGTTCCCCGCAAATGGGCGTCGGAACCAGCGCGAAGTCGCCGTAATGATTCGTGGGCGCAGTTTCCCCTCCTCGGCCGGAGCTGGAGGTTGACATCACTCGTTCGGTTGCGAGAAACAACACTGACACTGCAGTCGCCGAGGACGGAGCTTCCCACATTTCAATTGCAATGACACAGGGACCGAACCACCAACGATATCCGGTGTCCAACCGCTACTTCTGCCCGGGTACCTTCATTAGTATTAGAAACCGTCTCTCGGAACCTCGCAGGCGCCACTGCAGTGGTCAGTGGTTGGGACAACTGTCGAGGGAAGAGGGGCACGGCACAAAACAACTGCTGCGGGGCAGGCCTTGAACGTGAGCTCGTCTCCGGGGTTTCCTCATCCTAAATAATGTCCCCAGCATGATGGCGTAAGTCCCCTCCTGGGTAGCGGTACCAGGTACCTTTCGGGCCCACGAAGACTGGTACAGTACACTACCCCAGGGCAGCGCGTTCTGACCCGGACCCAAACATAAGGTCCAAGGTATATATCTGTCCACTGTGTCTCCCTCGGCTGCGCCCACGCTTCGCAAGCCTCTCCGTCCTCACCTATTTCCCTTCCAGCTCCCAGACCTTCGACCAAACTTACTACCTTCGATACCACAGTACATCCTCCCACTCACACCATGTCAGGACTCCATGAGGTACAGACCGGCTCCGGCCGTCTGGCTGGTAAAGTTGCGATTGTCACCGGTACGTGTGCATGCTCATCCGCTCTCCTGCCTTCTCGGAGAACAAGACCTAACGATCTTGATCCCAAACAGGAGCGGCATCCGGCTTCGGTCTCGCCGTAACGCAAAAGTTCGTCGCCGAAGGCGCCAAAGTCGTCGCCTCCGACATCAACGCCGCAGGGCTAGAGAAAGCCTTCTCATCGTCCTCCAACTACGCAGCCAACGTGGCCACCATCTCCGCCAACGTGACCTCGGCCGAAGACTGGCAAAAGATGGTCGACCTGGCCGTGTCCAAATTCGGCGGGCTCGACACCGTGGTCAACAACGCCGGCACCAGCTACAAGAACAAGCCGACCCTTGAAGTCACCGAGGCCGAGTTCGACAAAGTCATGGCCGTTAACGTCAAGAGCATCTTTTTGTCTGTCCCTGCCGTCGTACCGGCCTTGAAGAACCGCGGCGGCGGTAGCATTATCAATGTCGCTTCCATTGGTGCCATGAGACCAAGACCGGGTCTGGTCTGGTATAATGCTTCGAAAGCGGCTGTTGCAAACGTAAGAACAAAGGAAAAACTCCCATGTTGTGCACAGAGAATGACGTTTTTTAGGCCACCAAAGGTCTCGCCGCCGAGTTCGGCAAAGAACAAATCCGCGTCAACGCTTTATGTCCTCTCCTCTCTGGAACCGGCCTGTTCGAGATGTTTGTCGGTGTTCCGTACACCGAGGAGAATATGAAAAAGTTCTTGTTCAACGTGCCTCTGGGCAGACTTACGGACCCTGCGGATGTCGCCAATATTTGTTCTTTCCTCGCCTCTGACGAGGGCAAGTTCATCACCGGTGTTAATCTCGAGGTTGATGGTGGTCGATCTGTGGGTGCTTAAAGCTGGATCTGGACATATAAAATGTATTAAAAAAGTAAGCATGGGCCAAGACATCTACAGTATTATCTACACAACATACCCAGTGAAAGTATTGTAGGTTCTTTGCGGAGAGAAGTCCTTTCACGGATGTACTGTACGTTCCAAGCAGGAGCTGGAAATGGTCCCTTCACCAGGGTCAAATTCAGAGACACAATTGGGATCACGTCCATGTCCAGCAGATAGTATTGAATGTCCCGGCATCTCTGAGACATACTACTAATCTCATTCCCGGTCATTCTGTCTGGAATCTTCCTCCTGTTCACAAACAAAAGACGAGAGGAAAATAACCTCTGTTGTTCAAGCCGTCCTACTGCTCTGCTCTGCTCTCTGGCCACTGAAGTGTGTTTGCCCCCTGCTTCTCGAGAAAGATGGCTAGCCAGGCTAGCAGGAACCAGCAGCCAAAGGTGCAACAAATAAATCCAAGGCATTGCCTCTTCCGGACCCCAAATTGAAAGGGCAATGAATAACTTGTTGCCCCTGGACTTCTTTGCTGGCAATCTTTGCTTCCCACTACCAAAAGATCCCATGAACTGCCAGTGTCGAGGGCCCCAATGCAATGGGATGTCTGAGATAGTTCTAGTTCTCTCCTTTTTGGGGAACTGTTTCCGCCAAACCAAGTTGTGATTTGTGTGTTCTGTGCTCACAACACTCCGAGTCGGGGACGCTCTTGAGGCAGCCTAGGGCAGGCAGGCCCCTTCTACTAAAAGGCAGCTCTTCCAAGGCCATCATCCGCCTCCATCAACTGCTGCAAATGCGCTTCAGCCAGCTCACTGCGCAGAGTTTCCCTCTCGCTTTCGCGCTCCCTCGCCTCCCACTCGACCAACACCTCGCGCTTGATGCGCTGTTTCTCGGCAATCTCGACGCGCATGCGTTCCGCCTCGGCTTCGAGCATTTTGATCCGTTTTTCCTGGTCCGGCGGAAGTCCCGAAGGGAGCAGTCTGCCTCCGGGGACGATCTTTTCCGTCGTAGTGAGGTGGTGCTGGATCGGATTTGTTGCCGTCGTCGCCCCAGGACCGACACCAGCACCCGTATTGTTGCTGTTGATGCCATTGGTGTTGTTGTTACTGACGCCGGTACTCGCGTGACTATAGTCACGACTGTTGAACCGCTGCGTTCGAGGATATGTCGTGCTGGAAGAGCCGTGGCCGCCACCGCGGAAAGGATAGGACTGTGAAGAGGGACCTCCTGGTGGCGGTGGGGATGACGACGTTGATGACATGTCACCACCACCAACCGGACCGCCTGTCGTGCCGCCGCCGCGTCCAAACCCGCCTCCGCGCCCGTACTCTGCTTGTCCTCCTCCTCTGCCACCGCCGCCGCTGCTGAAGTCGCTGCGACCACCGCCATACCCTCCCCCTCTTGGCCCGTATGGAGCCGGTCCGCGATATGCTAGACCACCACCTCTCCCCCCGCGCATAGGTGGGCTGGTAAAATCGCGCGATGGAGGTCCATCGTAACGCCCGGATCCGGGGCCAGCGGGGGCGCCACGTGGTCGCGTGGGCGCATTAAGTGTGCCTGCACCGCCACCACCACGATTGTGAGCTGACATTGACATGGTCGACGATGCCGGACCTGTAGGTGGTGATGCATGACCAAAGCCTCCTCCGCGTGAAGGGCCTGAGGGAGGTGGACGGTCGTAGGTGGTATTACTGCCGCCATTCATGTTGCGATAGCTACTCGGCCCAGAAGGTGGCTGTATTGGTTGAGACGTAGTATCACCATTCATGCGAACATCATCCCGCGGACCACTCACGTCTCTTGCCCGTGAACGCTCGTAACTATCTGCAGGTCCTGAAGGCGCTGTTGGAGGTGGCGGTGATCTGCCTCGATAACTTGCCGAGTCTGCTCTGTCGTAGTCGCCCCGTCCACCACGGGCAGGATATGCCGGCGACCTGCTGGGTAATGAACCCGTCAGGCTCATTCTATCGGGATGAATTGGCGGCGACGACCTCCGCGAAGTAGTGTTGGACGCCGCACCCGAATTCAAGCCCCGAGGAGGCGAGAGCGGAGACCGTCTCCAGTCATCACCGGGTCTGCCTCGTCGTGGAGGTGTTCTTGACCTTGGCCGGTAGCTTTCACCTCCAGGTCCTCCTCTTCCATACTCTCGATCTCTCTGGGGTGCAAAGTCCCTTCTTAATGGCGACCTCGGCCGTTCGCGATCGGGAGAGAAACGTCGTTCTCGCTTCGGCGAGCGTCTTGAAGGGTCGGGTGAGAAGTCACCGTACCGTTTTGATTCTGACGGACCAGGACTGCGCCGTCTCGCTCCAAATGCGGACCTCGACCGTCTTCTAGGGCCAGAAGGAGGATTGTGAGGGGAGGGTCTTCGTGGAGAGTACCGCCGCACCGGTGATCTTCTGTTGGCGAACAGATCTTCTCTGCCCCGATTTACTGGCGGTGGCGGCGTTCGTGACCGTCGACGGAAACCAGGAGATCGGCTTCTGGGTCGAGGGCCCCGGTAATTCGTGTTTGGGGTGTATGAATCCATATCTTCTCGATCTCTGCGGTCATCTCGTCGGACATCTCTGCGGTCGCCAGACCATGAGTCTGCGCCAGATCGGTCTCGCATCGGTGGTCGATATGGGCCGTCGCCCGAGGCACCACCCGGTCTGTAGCTTTCGCCCTCGCCAAAGTACTCAACGTTGGGATGATCGTCTCGATCACGGTGTGGTCGGGATGGAGAAAATCGCCGTCTAACCGATGTGTCAGTCTGCTAATTGTTTGGTTTAGAAAAGTTGAAGGCGCTTACCCTCTGTAGCGGTCCATGGGCGACTTGACAACAGCCAAGGCCAGCTACGGCTGGGAACCAGGTCACCTCCGGGCAGGTGATTCACTGCTTGAGTTTAGTCGACTAGACAATTAGTGGATGAAGGGGCCACAGCATTGAAAACGTCGCGGGCGCTACTAGGGAATCTGACGGTCACGATGCCGAACGTTCAACTTGCGGGTCTGGATAATTTATGCCAAGCCAATGGGACAAGGCTGCACAAGGCTGCGACAAGGCTGTGGTCGGAGGGACGAGTTACTTGACCTAGACCGTGAACGACATTATCAACCCGGTGTTACACAGTCCAGGTAACAAGCATCCTAGAATTGGGGTATCGTGACTTGATTACTCTCATTGTGCAGAGGTTTCTGCCCGCTCATTGCGATGCATCTCACCGCTTATTCCTCCTCTCCTCATCACGTTTCTGCCTCTTCCTTGACTCCGTAGCAATCATTTCAGACAAATCTTCCTGGAAGTCCCACTGAGGGTTCTGCTCGGCCTTGCGTTGTTGCTCATATGCCCGCCGAATATCTTCCTTGTCCATGCCATCCCGTGCGGCCAGCGCATCTGGATCCATCGAAACATCCACGTCACCAGGTTTCTTGCGCTTCCGAGATTCTTCTTGTCCAAGAACCGGAATGTTATTTTGTTGCGCTGCTTTGAGATCGTAAACGTGATCTCCGCCAAAGAAACCTTCGACTCGGGTTTGACGTTCCGGAATGACCTGGTAAGCGGACCGAGGATGTGAAGATTCTTCGGTTTCTGTGCCGCGGCGTTTGCGAAGGTCGAATTCCGAAACTGTCTCGGTACCCCCGATCTCGGTGGGCACAGCAGAGGTCATGCCGCTAGGAGTCTCCAAGCCTGTTGAAGTCTCGATACCGGCACCGCCCTCCTCCTCGTCTTCCTCTTCTTCTTCATCCTCGTCGTCTTCCTCTTCTTCCTCTTCTTCTTGTTCTTGCAGCTCGCCCCAGAGTTCTTTTTCGACAGGCTCGCCCTGTTGAGTATTCTGTTGAGGCTGCAGCACACCGAAAATATCGCCACCATATAAAGGTCTATTGGTCGCTTCATCCACAGGTGGCTTGCCCCACTGCCCGGGCGCGAACCCCCAGCTCGCACCTGGTGGTGGGGGGGCATTAACACCGGGAACTTTGAGTGCAGGATACGATGGAGGTGGGCCGTATCTTTGCATGTTGATGAGCCATGGCGGAGGGGCACCGGGCGGCATGTTCAGTGCCTCCTTTAGTTCATCCGAAAGCTCTCCAGGCCGCAGATGGCGCAGGTTCGTCTCAAACTCTTTGCCCTCATAATACACCTCGCCATACCTGGTCAGTTCCGGCTTAGTCTGAAAACGGAAAAATGCCTCGTAAAGTTTCTGGTAGTCGATGTCAAGCTTGCCCAGCTTGCCCTGTACACGTTCACGCTGTTTCTGCTTCAGACTGGCCTGATCCTGCTTCTCCAGAGCCGCATCCCGCATCTCCGCAATGCCGGTCTCTTGGATGAACTTGGGAAGTGCAAAGGGTGGCTTTTCAATGCCTCGCTTGGAGGACAGATATTCCCTCTTCAGCGACCAGTGAGAGGGTACAGGAACAACGTTATGGTACGATTTGATGTGGACCAGCAATTTCGGGTCCGCTGCAGAAGTGTCGTTCCATTCCACCATCTCGGGCTTTTTCACCAGCGCTTTCAGTTCGGCTACTGAAAGCTTCGTCATCTGTTTCCGTTTCTTCTTGGAGATCTTGGGCGCTGCGTTTTGTTCTTCTTCTTCGTCGGGAATGTCATCGTCATCGTCGTAGTAGACTTCGGGTTTCTCTGGCTCCTTCAATGCAGGATCCTCCTTGTCCGGATCCTCGAATTTCCCCAGAACGTCCTTGTACATGTTGTAAAGCGGATTGTCCTCATCGACGATGAGGGGGTCTGAGAGGGGGTTGCCATCGCGACTGTCCGGTTCCGACTTGACCTTGTCCTCCTGCTCTTTGGGTGTCTGTGTTGCTGTAGGTTCCTCTGATTCGGCTTTGATGGTGGGTTCCGCGGTCTGTTCGCGACTCTGCTCGTTGGTCCCCTGCGCCTGATTAGACTGTGCTACAGATGAAGACAGATCGAGACGCACCTGGTGCTTTTGGGCTTTCTTTTTGGCTCGCCGGAGCTGATTCTTCGTGGGCTTTGCGGCGGTCGCCATGATGAGTGCGTTCGCCTCGTGAGCCCGGTTAATATGGCGCAAGACTGAACTGGGTCAGTCAGAATGGGCGATGTGTCACGGCAGGATGCAGGCAGATATCAGTGTCTTTGGCAACAAAATCCAGCCTCGAGAGGCGCGAAGTTCGCAGGGCGACGACTGTCACGTGCAGTCACGTGCTGCGCTGGACATGATTACGTAATCTTGCGCTCCAACTAGGCACCAGGGTGCTATAGTGACTACACTTGAAGATAGCTGGTAGGTATGGAGCCCCCGGCGCTGCGCTGGCAAATTACTGTAGGTAGGCTTGCTGCCAAAAAGATTGGCGGTTCATACATTGTAGAATGGTTTGGGGAATATACCGCCAATCTTTTTGACATCAAGCCATCTCCCTCTTCTTTTCCTGCAAGCAATCAGGACTTTCTCTAGGGCAACTAACCGCGAGACCGGGCCGCGTGATAGACTTGTCAAGTTGTCTCTGGACAACATACAGGCAGTCACGGGATTGAGAAGCAACCCGGCTGTGCTGCTATCCATCTTACTATAATGTTTACGTGACTGGCAAACAGTACGCTCGTAGAACACGACAGTCTTTGCTTTTTTGTGTCCGTATCAAAGTTCTGCAACAGACCTATCCATAGATAGTTGTCTGTGCAGTCTATGAAGATGCCGACCGACGGCTCAGCGTGTGGACTATGTATTATAATATCCGTCAGATCTGCTCGTCATTAAAATCATCGTGGACCCTTCATGCTTCATGCTCATGTTTCATGCTTCTCGTTCAGATTATGTTGGCTATCGTCATTCGTGACCGACTGGACGAGTCGGACGGTTGACTCGTACTCACTGTGCTGATGGGCGCAAGCGTGGGCCCTGGTACGTGGCTGGTGGATGATGCCGGTCGCGGAAAGTCAGGCAGACTCGGCTCCCGTGTACACTGCTGGTGATGTCGCCTCGAGTCACGGAGACGCTGCAAGTACCGGGCGGAACTCTCGAGGCGTTGCCACCCACCCCAGTCGTGTTGTTCTTCCTCCGACAGTATATTGTCCCAAGTCGGAGACTGTGCCGCAGAGACACTCTGAGTGTCATTGGCATAAGGCGGATGCTTGGATCTGCCATGTTTCTGCCGCCGGCTCAGATGTGTGCCTGTCTCGGCATGACCCCAGACCCAGCTGTTGGTACTCGCCTGTAAGTCTGCCGACAAATACACCAATATCTCCTCGTCCTGTTCAATATCGATCGAGTTCGGCTGCTCGTATTGCTCTATAAGCCGCTGCACGAAAAAAAGGAGATATCTTCCGCAGCTTATATTGATGACGCGGGCATCGTTGATTGTAGAAGCGGCTCTCAATACAAGGAAAAAAGCGTCATAAAGTTCTCGGAACAACAGAAAGAGCATGCATCGCCACAAATGGGTACACAGCATCGTAGTGGCCGAGAGAATGAACCGCTGTTCCCACTCATCCGACTGTATGTGCGGGAGCATACAACGTGAGAGCAAGGTCGCCGTGTCCCTAGAAGCATGCATACACTGTTCGATTGCTTGGAATCTCTGGTCTGGAGAGCATGAGGGTGATAGATTGTGGCGGTGTAGCAGAATGCGAGTGTTCTGGAAGTGAATAAGCGGAGCCACGATACATGGGTCCAAAGGCGTGGAAGCTGTGAGCTGCAACGATCCGGGGAAGAGTTGCAAGCATTCGCCCAAATGACTTTCAAATCTCGTTAGAGTCTCGGTCGTGATACACAGAGAGCGAAACATCTTCGCAAGCGGCGCCATAAGCCGAGCCACATGGATATGGCTCAGCAACAAGGTCGGGGGAAGAGGCGACTGTACGTAGTCTGTGACAAGACGCTCTTCGTCGAGGACTTGTGGATATTCCGTGTCACACTCGTCATCGTTGATGAGCATTGGCTTTCCAAGTTCTAGCGCGAGAATACTGTGAACGGATTGTCAGCATGAGATAAAACATCTGTCTATTACGGCGATCATCCTCACCGGTCCCAGACGTAGAACGAATACCAAATGCGCTTGCGCATCTCTCCCTCCACAGGTGACCATTGTCCCCCCTGAACGTGTAAGCCTAGGTCCTGCACAATACGTATTGCAGAACCCAGCCAGATCCAGCTTGCCGATCTTCGATTCATTTCAAGAAGCGCAACGCTCGCCAGAAACGCAACAATGGCTTGGTTGGTGGACGCGTCGTCTTCCCAAAAATTGATGGTCGAAATGGCTCTAGTCAGATAGTCTTGGGCTTCGGGTATCCTGCTGGGATCGTGCGTAGCCAGGGCGCCACAAGCAAGCACGCCATACAACGTAGCTATCCAGTCAATTGGTAAAGAATGCGCGGTAGTTCTGTCCATGGCAATGGCAAAGGTCCGTTGAAACTTCGGCCAGTACAGTACGGGGAAGTGGCGATGGACGCTTTCGTGGTAGTAATGCAGCAATCGTTCACCAACAGGGCGTGAAGGCAGTCCTGGCAAATCCAATGTACTGGTATGTGACGAGTGCGCTCTAGGCTGGCCCCCTGTGACCGGAGGCTTCAGTAAGCCGCGTCCAACGTCATTCAAGTGCAACCTTGCATTTGTGAGGTCTTGAGGGGATTTTGCTTTCAACATCCTTCGAGGCGATTTGCCAACTGTAGGGAAGTCGCTAAAGACCGACGGCGGCGCGGTCCCAGGGCGCATGTCCGTAAACATGTCGTTGATGCGTTCGACGGCGCGAAACCGTTCGAGCTGCTGGCGAGCATCTAACAACTGTCGCTCGAGATCCTGCACTTGTCTGGACAGGTCAGAAAATGGCTGTACGTGCTGGTGAGCAGGCCGACTCACTTGATAGACGACATGCGGCGATTGGTATCTTTCGTGAATTGACAACGAACATTGCGGCTCGAGCACTCAGTACAGCTCGACGTCTCTGTCGCATCGCACTTTGCGGCTAATCAGCAAATCGAAGCCAGAAACAACCATGATCATCTTAACCGACCTTCACCTTCCGCTCCCGGCACGCGTCACAACTTGGATCCTTCCTCCTTTGTCTATAAGCCCTTTTGGGGTTGTGCATCATCATGGCCGATATTTGCGCCGGGGATGGAGAGCCACTTCCTCCCCCACTTGGTCGCAAACCATCCCCTAGATGAGAAGAGACATCGTGGGGCGATATTGAACCCATTTCATAAGGTGAATAGAAGACCGAGTTGGTCGGCTGCTCCAGAGGTGATACTGCGGGACGAGGCTGATGTGAGAATGGAGTTGCCGAAGATGATTGATGGTTGGGATCGTGAGAACTCAGCGGTGACTCGGTGGATGTCGTTCTTGGGGAGTCCCTGACAAGATAGAGATGGTTCTGCATCGCGAGGAGCGCCAGGCTATAGAGGACTTGCACAGATTGCGACAGCTTTTGCTTGAACCGATTGTAACGGCTATGCCCCGGGGAAACAGAGAGTGGCGTGGTAATCGAGAGGCATGCCCACTGCCTTAACGGCTGGCAGCAGCAGTTATTGTTGGAATCCCTCTCCCTAACACAGTTACACCAACAACAATCTTTTTACAAAGAGGGCAAGGACACAACGTTGACATGCAAGCGACACCGCGCGGTTCAAGTCTATCGCGATGAGAGAAGCGAGACGCGAGATGCGAACGAAGTTCAAGGCCTGTCCTTGGCTGAACAGCTCACGGGGAAACTGCGAAGGGGATCCGCTGCAACTGTGTTGCCACTTCGACCTTGAAGTCAGCCGAAATCGTGGCCGAATCGGCTGATTGGAGATTGGTAATTGGCAAAGAAAGGATGTAGAATCACTGAGTCAGGGCGCGGTTGAGAGACCGCTGCCGTCAGTGGTCATGGCGATAGGCCTGTGCTTCTTTAAACTGATCTGTCCATCGAAAATCAACACAACCTGGGGCCCAGATCGTCCGACGATCTAACAGGACAACCGTGGGGGCCCGCTGCGAAATCCACAGCCGTGATGGTCACCACGGTGCGAATGGTTAGTACATAGGAGGCGCTCACCTCCTCATGGCCACTCTTATTAGATGCTCCGAGCTACCGACAACACCAGCGACAAAAGGTCGGCGCGTTGTGGCGTTCGAGATGACATGGATGGCTCCGCCACAACCATAACAAGAACAACCTTTGATGAGCGAGGATGAGAATTTCGACCGCAACCCTCGTCTGATACTGGACGGACCAGCGTCAAGGTCCCATTCCAACCCCGGTGGGAAATGGTCCGGAATCTTCGCGGGCCTGGAAAGACTAATGGAAAGCTAACGGACCTGCTTAAGCCCCCGGTTCGGGCTGCCGAAGTGAAAGAAGCTAGCCACAACGTCCTGACAGCCGAATGGGGCATGACAGGGTCAGGGCGTTGTCCAACGGTCTCTGCCAAAGCGACTAGCAACACCCAAAAGAGCACCCCTGGTCCAAAGACAGAAAAGACTGCGGACCATTGTTTTTGGAGCGTCTTCTGCTTCGCTGTCGGTGCTGTCTCTACTCCGGTTGATTTCTGGAGCGCGCGCCACCTTTCGAGGGATATACATGTGTCCTTCCGCCTTCCCCCAGCACGAGGTGAACTCTGGGGACGAATTGCAGGAAACCATGCTTATCGGAAACATGAGGCCATGACTGTGCGTAGCCGAACCTCGCGCAAGGTTTCCTGGTCTCAAAGCCTCGCAAAGACTTGAACCACACTTCTGCTGCTTTTCGGAGCGCTGGGCCCCTCTATGAGTTCGTTTTTGATTTCCACAGTGGCTCCAATCATCTCGCTGTTGGTTGTGGATAGGACGGACCGAGGATGATCCTGGTGTCTTGGCTTGGTGAACGGCAATCCGAGGCGCTGTTTAGCGGGCCGGGGAAGGAAAGGTGGCCTGTCAGAAAGTTCCCACGGCTGGCTGACACCTACAACGTTGTACAACCCAGCGGCCGTTTTCTGAAAGGCGATCTGCTGGTCTGTTCTCCATGTGGGCGGCGCTCCATCACCTCTCCAATACGACATACGTCTCTGGGTTTGCTCGCCCTTGAGATCCACCTTACTGCTTGCCACAGTGTTCTCAGCGCCCAGCACTGTGCAGCATGGCACCATTTTGGATATTCGCAGACAGTGCCAATCTTTCTTTTCGTTGGGTGGATAACATTGCACCGACCAAGCACTGGTTCCTGGCACCGTATCGTTGCCCCTTTGGTGTTGACTAGGGGGAGGAAGGCTAGTAGGAATTCCCCGTATGGTTGAAGCTTCACTACTAGTACTACTTTCCGTCCGGAAAACTAGGCAAGGGTAGCATCTGAAGGGCCAAATTGTACGATCCACTTCGACCCTGGAGCCGACAACAAGGATTTCAGAGCTTCTCAGGATTCCTCTTACCAGTCGGCCACAACCCCTGGATGGGCCAGTAGCGCTCGCCTTAGCTTCAGTGTATGCGAAGTTCTCCACGCCGCTATTGTCCTCTCCGTCGAAGTCTCCTAATTCGGCTTCATTGCTGCTAAAACGGGACCGGGGAAGCAAGACCACGACACTTGAAGTTGGAGCGTCCTCAACACGTCGATGTTGAAGCATGGCGCGCCGTCTCCCATCGAATTGCTCCTAGATGCCCAGACGCGGCGCGGTTGATCGCCGTCAGACCATTGCCTGGTTGACTGGCTGGACGGCTATCAAAAAGATGCCTTGGGATGTCCTATATTTCAAGTTGCGTCAAATTTTTGACCCGTTTCGTATACATTATTTGTCGATCACCTAGAGGATCATGTGAAATCCAGAGAGAGTTAGACGCCGCCTTGAACCATCCGTTTTGTCTACGCTTCGGGGCAACGTGATGGAAACAGAATAGCGAGTGGATACGATTGCACCGGCTTCCCGGCCGTGCAAACCAAACCCCACTGTTTACCTCCCAGGAATTTGTTACGTCGCCATCGAGGCTAGAAGCCGCAGCAGCAAAACGTCGCAGTCATAGAGAAGGAAGAAGGACACCGGAAATTACTGAAATATATCGCTCGACTGCGCTCCACTCCAACAACTTCCCGGAATGGTTCTTAGCTATGCTTCTGGCGAGCTTAGAGGTGGCACATAGCCGGCTGTCGAGATTAGTGCGACGGCAAAGCCCGTAATGTGTGCCCCCTTGCTTGTCATGCACATTATTGAATGCTGAAGATGGCCATCAAAGAGGCAAGTCGAGTCGGCAAAATAAAGGCAGTCTTAGCCTGGTGAATTGCGATCCGGCTCGGCAAGGCATAACCGGGGTATGAGGCCGCATCCAGAATGTCTGCGTCTCGTCTGCACCGCGTAGCTGATCCGTCGGACCATGTAGTTTTCCACAAGCCGTACCTTCTCACAGCATGGACTAGGTTGCAAGAGGCGAGAGCCAAAGGAGGTCATTGTTCCAGAAAGCTGGGAACTTCCAGGAAGTGGTTGTGCTAATTAGGGTTTGACCTGATTCTGGAGACCTCCTGGAGGCTGCATCATGACGCTCAGATTAGAAGTGGACACTAGTTGGAGGTGTTCCGATAGAGGCCGGAAAAGGAAGATCACCGATAGGTGTGCGGCAAGTCCCACGGTCATCGCGAGACTTGGTTGGGTGCGGGCACAGCTGCCATCCACAGGAAACAGAACAAGGAGGCTCGGATCTACAGCAATCCAGAGAGGATCGACCCTGCAGGTTGCACCAGGTCGAACTGAAGCCCTTGTATCCCTGTCCTCTGTACGAACAACTTCCAGGCTAGCGAGGTTTCTCGCCGCGGCGATACTCCATTGGCACTCCAAGTTTGCTTTGCCGGAGTGGACATGGGAAATCACCCATACGAATGGCGTCCATCCGTTCCGGCCTCGATCGTCAGGATCTCGTCGGTCATCAGACCGGGATCTGAGGACTATCAAGGTGGGATTCCAGGTCACGCCAGGCTGATCGCCAAACTCCGGGCGAAAAGCCTGTGCACACCATTATTGTAGAGTGCTGCTGATCGTCTGAGTCGGATTGACACACTCGCTATTCTTAATGAGGAGAAACCCTGAGAATGGCGCCGTAATTGCCACCGCAGTCACCACTAGTACACCGTGGTATGGAAGGATATTTCTCCGTGATATTCGAGCTACGACAGTCCAGAACCGTTCGCGGACAGGACAGTCAAGGCGACTGTCAACCGAAGGCTGAATTTCTGCTACCATTTGCTGGTTGGAGATTGAGCCCCGAGAGGCCCAAACGACAGGGTCCGACTGCTTTGGTCATCAGTCCAGAACGAGCCGGTCGGCTGTTGCCACATCCCATGATGCGTCAAGGCCCTGGTTAACGGTCCACTATCATTCGATACCGACCTTTACGTCAAGACTCTAGCTACCTTTTGCCGGACGTCAAGACTGCTGTCTGGTGGCTTGGCGAGCAATACTGGCACGTCAATAGCCGTCTCCTACAGCGATGGATACTCTGTGGGATAAATAAGCTTCAAGTTGCTTGGTCTCGAAACAGGGCAGCATGTCGAATTGTCCCAGCTGCGAGCCGAATTCCAGCCTCAGTTGCCAGGATGGCTGCCGTCTCGGGGCTATTCTTGTCTTGCAAAACCTTGAATGGGAGACCGTGGAGAAAAGACTTCCCCCCTTCTTTGCGATAGAGTTTACCCTATGCCAAAGGCAGTGAATCGGAAAGTCATACAGAATATGGGATTTTCTGTCGTCCCTGTTCGATTGGAACCATGATTCCTTCATTTGCCGAAGGCCTGGGTAAAGTTGCCGAGCTTAGAAGCCTTCTCGACCAAGCCGTTGTGGTGGTAAGATGTGAAGGTCCCTGTTGCATCGCAGATCCAAGCCGAACACCGCGGCGTGTTTTCTGGCGAGCGGCATGGTCTGCCGAAATACCATATCGGTCGGACGACAGCAGAGATGACGCCAGTATCACATGTATTGCATTGTTGCCTAGGTATGCATTGAGTGGCTGATCTTGCCCGATTAGCGTGTGGTCTGGAGGTCTGGAAAGAACACCGATTTTGTTTGTGTCCAACTCGCTTTTGTGGCGGGAGGATGGTCTTCTCCACGATGAAAAAAAGTCTGGATCCAAGGGAGCTCGATCCTAGACAGCGGTGGTCAGATGGTGTTTATGGTTCCTTTTGGTTCCACCTCTGCATGATCTGCTCGACAGCAACAGTGAGCCCTTCCATTTCTTCCTCTGGAGTGGTACCAGCGAAGTTCATGCTACATCCCACATAAACCGGTTGTCTCATTTTCCGGGCGAGGATCTTGGCCATTCGAGTTGCGTAGTCGATGCTAGAGCCTGATGTGGACAGAGCAGTGCTGATTACACTGCGGTCGTTCCTCATCTGGCCAGCATTAGTATCTCGGTTCTCCCGGAGTCAAGATGGCCTGGTAGGGAAGCAAGCACATACATCAGGCATCGCATACACGAAGCTTCCCAACGGCGGCACCGAGCCCTCTGGCTCGCCGATATCCGTAGTCGTCAGGTGTACCATTGTACAGTTCCCATAACAGGTCAAATGAGCATGGAAATTTAGATGTGGATGCTTTGGAAGGGGAAAAGAGATGTGGACAGGTTCGAAGGAGGGTTCCATTTTTTCGGTAATCTTGATCACGCCAGACCATACAGATGGGCCGAATGTACACTGGACAAATCGACACTGGCAATCACGACCACTGTTCGCTATTGAAAATGTACAACACGACAGTTTAACTCAAGCAGTTCAAGTTGCAGAAGCAGATCTTTCGGCAACGAACTTCCAGTTGAAGGTCACCGCTGGCACGAGAATGGGAAGCCTCAGCCGCTGCTTTAGTGATAACGTGACGCTCTTTGTACATTATAGAGGGCGGCAACATTTTTGGTCCGGATTTGGATGAGTCCGCTGCCTCGGCAAAGCTACTCCATGTGGCAGCTTACTAACGAGCTGGTTGCTCACTGATCAGGCGTCAACGTCGTTGCTTGTGTTGAATTGTCCGTCTCATCCGTGCGCTCTCTGGTTGTTTTCTTCGCCCGCATCGAACACATCTTGAGTTCCAACTCACAACTCTCCGTCCACTTCGGGCGATGACAATATGTCCCAGCCCATCGAACATGCCTACGAGGAGGAGCCGCCGGCGTTACCCTTCAGAACAGGAGGCCGGCTATCCCGGACGCAAGAACACGTGATATTCTACTTCATGGGCATCTCTTCGTTGGGCCTGGAGATCGCGGCGGCATGTTTAGGATCCCTCTATGGAGCACAGAGCCATTACTTCATTGCGACTGTCACGCCGTTTCTGGCATTACATTGGTAAGTTGTAGTCCTTTGAGAAACAGTCAAACATGACTGTCTAACCTCGCTTCCAATCGCAGGATGGCTTTCTTCCAGAACAGCTGGCTGATGGCGACCGCTGAACGCAGCGCCATTGCAGATCGGATTGATTATCTGAATCTCGCATGCCGATTTGAGCGCCTTTGTGTTGTGAGTGGAGATCGGAACCACCTTGAGGTGTCTTTTCCTTCGCTGACTTTCCTTTCCCACTGCAGCCCACTGCCATCACCGGCATGGTAACCTGGGCGGTTGCGTATCGGTTTTGCTTCAAAGCTTCGAGCCAAGCGTATTGGATCATCTGGCTCGTGGTATGGATTGTTGACACAGTTGCCTGCATCATGAATGTATACAACAACATCAGCTGGGAGAGCGACTTGCTGTACCAAATTGCTCCCCACTACCCACAGGGGAATTTCTGGCTGGGCGTCCTGGGCATTCGCTCCATATGCCGGGCCCCGTACAGCGAGGATGAGAAAGCAGGGATAGAAATGCAGCGGCCAGCGAATGGTAGCGGGTGATTTGGGACGATTGAATTGGCGAGCTACAGGGCAACGAGTTTTGATAATATTTAATTGCATGATGTTTCACGGCATTGAATCTCTGCATTTTTGACAAGTCCTGCTGCAAAGCACACAATACCTTTCCTTGTCCTCCCCGCATGGGGCAAGCAAACAGTAAACTGATCCACGAGGCTGAGTCCGTCTGAGTGATGCGTCCATAGGTATTTACAATGGTTGTATATGCTGGTCTTGGCATTGTAGTCAGATTCGATTTCAATCACCACCTCGCCATCACCAACACTCGAACACAATCCTTCTCGTTGGTAAAACGCGGCCAAAGGTTTGTAGTGACAGTTGCTGCTTTACATACCGCCTGTCCGCTCTAAATACTAGTTCAGCACGCCGGCATCAACGGTGTTATTTTCTGCGGTCGGAGCTCATCCCGTATTCCCACACAGCCGTTCTGGACAGATACACACATATATATATACTCCTGGTCCAAAGACGAAGCCTAGCACCGAAAAGCCAGAGTCGGTCCTACTCGCGCCCTCAATATGAATGAAGATGAAGCTGGTGGCAGCGCCGGCTCGGCAGCAGACCGCAACCCACTGTTCGAGGATGGCGGTCCCCTGGCGGATCCTCTTGAGAGACGGGCCATCTTTGCAGCCCTGGACTCTTTCCGGTGAGTTCACAGTTGATTCTTTTCAGTGAAGAGGAGGAGCTGCAGTAACTGTCTGCTCCATTATGGCGGCCCGGTCCATCACCACTCTCTCGAGAAACAAGAGAGCCTGAAAGGGATAGCAGCCCTACCTGTACGCTATTGGCCATGGCTGCTGTTCGTCACGATACACTGTATATTGTTATTACCAAACCAAAAAGACCTCGTTGCTGCCTGTCCATACTTGCCTGTCTGTCTCTGCTTTTCTCCCTATCCACAAATCCTCAGGAACTCATATCCCTCACCCCTTTCAGCCTATATCTTTCACCTTTGCTACCCTTTTGAGTCGCGTCATCTTTTTATCCTTCCACTCACTTAGATCCCAGCCTTACGCACACTCCAAAACTGACGACTGAGCTGACCCCAGCTGAATGTTTCCGCGATCCAGCCAATACCGCAAAACCACGCACTACAACACGACCCACCGCCGACGGCAGAACTTATATGCCCTCCCATCGACACAATGGCAAATGCTAGCTGCACCGCCAATCTCGCTTCTGGACACCCTGAGCGCCGTCGACGACGCGATCGACTGCAATGCCGACCTAGCAGATGCGATTTACGAAGTTGGTCTTGCATCGTTCGGACTATCAGACGACGAAGAAACTCCATCTTCAACACCAACCAAACAACACAATCCAGGCTGGAACTGGCACGGAAAAGCCAAACCGAACGACATTTCCAAAGCCCAATCGACCATCCGGCAATTCTACCGAGACTGGACCGCTCAAGGGTTCGCGCTCGAAGTGCAGCCATTGCTGAACACAATTCTGGCAGATTTGGAAATGTATCTTCCTATCAGACCGAAACCCAGACCTGATGTTGACACCACCGCCACGGAGTCCCATGACCACAATCGCAATCACAATAGCAACTCCGACGACTTTTCTTCTCCATCTCTCCTCCTCCCTGGCGCCGGACTAGGCCGCATTCTATTCGAATTATGTCTACACGGCTACTCGGCCACGGGCAACGAAATCTCATACCATCAATTGCTCGCCAGCAATTTCATTCTCAACTGTACTCGCCACGCCGACCAGTTTGCGATATACCCGTTTGCGCACAGTTTTACAAATGTTGTGAGTCGGGATCATCAGTTGAAGCGGTTTACTGTTCCGGACGTGCATCCTGCCACTGCGATGGCGGAGCGAGCCCGAGCGCAAAGCGCGAGGGCTGAGCACAGTGCGAGGGACGAGCAATCCCCAACCAAATCCCAAACAGTCATTGGCGAGCGTCAGCAATCCCTATCCCAATCCCAATCCCAAACCGACACTGAAGTCCCAATACCAGTAGGTGAAATGAACATGACAGCCGGCGACTTTGTCCTCTCCTACTCCGGTCCCGACACCGCCAACACATTCGACGGCGTCGTCAGCGTCTTCTTCATCGACACTGCCCCGAATCTAATTCGATATATTGAGACCGTGAAAAACTTCTTGAAACAGGGCGGGTATTGGATCAATATAGGGCCACTATTGTGGCATTTTGACGATCGAGGACCAGCAACATCACAATCGAAATCGACGTCTTCGATTTCGGGACGAAAAGGTGCCGGCGATGCCACCACCAGCAATGACAGTGATGACGACGACGACGACGACGACGACGGGGAGGAAATCCCAACCCCTAGCGACGGCAAAGACAGTAAAGATTACCAAGATAAAGGTATCGCCGAGCCAGGGTCGTTCGAACTCTCCGTCGACGAAGTGTTGCATCTTGTGTCGACGTTGGGCTTTGAGATGCAAAGGCATGAAATCATCACCACTTCGACCACCTCCACTTCCACTTCTACTTCCAGTCCCGCTTACGGCCACAGTCACGGTTCCGGTCTAGGATACATGCAAGACCCCGAAAGTCTGCTCCAGAACCGCTACCGCTGTAGCCACTGGGTAGCCAGGAAGTTGTGACCCTAAGCCATCGAGCTGCGCCGTCGGGGCAATTGATTACATGGGATCCTGCATTCTTCTATGCACACATATATACTACAGAACTCAAAGTCTTCGAGTTCCAGCCCAGTCGTCCTAATGGGTCTAGGTACAAGAATAAAACGGAAAAGGAGAAAATTCATTCCAGCGGCTCTTATCCTATCTGCACTAAACTACTCTTGGAGACGTATCGGTAACTGCAATGGTACTACTAGTAATTCATTTCAAGTTGGTATCTGCACGCTACCGCCCTGACATTCCCTCTCCCTTTAGTCTTCAAGTTGTCCATCTCATGCTCGCGCCTGAACGGGTCTCCTCCGTCCAGCAAGAAGTGTCCCCTAAGTTGCTCACGTTTGTTTCTCATTGCATCAAATCACAACCTTGACGACCCTAAACCGATATGCCGGGCAGGGGTTTTCCAGACATGACATCATCCATCCGTTCCTTCTGTCTGCTTGCTGGCCTCGTCACACGATAGGGTCGATCGGACGGTGGCCCAGCCCTCCTGCAGATTGAGTCACCTTAGACAGGTCAGTCTTGGGCCTCGAACTTGTCCATCCTTTCGTGATTGTTCATTGTGTCAAGAGGGTATAACTTCGGTCAACATATAGCGAGCCTTCTTCAAGTTTGCTTCCCCCTTGAATCAATAGCGTCAACGGTGGTCATTGCCGGTGCGTCTGCTTCATGTATTCCCCTCCTGCGTCCTGGACGGGATCTCCGGGTGTCGACTGTGCGCTGTTCAATGTTTGACGACGGCGCAGGGTAGATTACAGTTGTCCAAAGTCCAAGAATAATAGATATTCCTCCTTCCACGAGTCGCGGGCCTTCCTCTCGGGCATATTAGAGCAGCTTTTCCCCGAATCTGTTCCGACCTCTCAGAAATTTCGCACGAGGTCTTCATCTGAATCTCGCCGTGCATCTTCCCATAACCTCGCCCTGGCAGACCAACTCGGCATTGAATTCGGACCCGTCCAGAGTCAGGTAGATGTCAAAGTAGACACGATAAAATGTCCCTTGTGGAGTGTCCATCCGTTCAAAATCCTTCTCCAGATTTTTCCTTGACAGGTCGGAAGTGAGGGTGACAACTTCCATGATCCGGGGATCTTTGGTATATTCAGGGCTGAAAACGAATGGTCAGCGAAACTCTTGACACCACATCTACTGCTGTAAACTTACCAAACATCCTCATCACAAGCGTAGAGAATATCCTCATACATCAGAGTTGCCCCTGGAGCAACTTGCCGGAAAAACGACACTTTGACAGGCTCACCAATCTTGACTCTTTCACCCTTTTGCACAAATATCTGTCGAGTGTATTTACACCGATCTTTGCCATCCAAACTGGGGACACGGTATTGTTCTGGGTGATAACCTTCCTTGAACGGCTGTAATGTCGCCATGAGATAATGTCTTCGAGCCACGCGCGACGTGATGACTCTCTCCGTGATACCTGCTGTGACGGCACCTTTGACAATGGCAGCAACCGAGTCCATAGGTCTGACCACCTTGGATTGGAACTGTGGAGGAACATGCAATTTGATCTGCTGGAATAGGTATTCCGAAGCACCAAAGCCACCCACCACCAGGACATTCTGTAATGATCGGTTCTGTGCCTGAATGGCGATGATCTGGTTGCGGACGAGTTCGAGAATGCGATTGACGACAGGCTCAAAGCACTGCAGGATTTCTTCGTTGGTGAAGGTCATGTAGCCTTCCTCGATGCCGGCTTCTGGGAACTCGGCCTCGATGCCAACATCCACTGCCCATTTCTGACCGTTATTGCGGAAATCGGCCTTTATTCTGTTTTCGAAGTCCATGATACACTTGGCGTATACTCGGCCGGCCGTCTTGGAGCCGTCCGGCAGCTTCATTTTCCGAATTTTGGCGCGCAGAATGTTGGAGAAGTTGCGATTGAGAGCAGTACTGCCGCAAGAATCACCACTGCCAGCTGTGCACTCGGCGACTGTAAAAGGGCTTTCTTCCTCAACTTCATAAGCGATCAAGTCGACTGTACCGCCACCACAATCAACGATGAGCACAGCATCATGGATCTTGAGGTTGAGCAGGCCGGTTTTGGAGCAGAACATGGCGGCGGCCTCCGGTTCCGTCACAAGGGTGAGCCGGTTGTCGTTCTCGTCTCGGATGAACCCTGCTTGAATGGCCGCGGCTCTGGTGGCAGCTTTCCCAGCATCGTTCCAGATGGCCGGTACGGTCAAGAAATATCGAATATTGCGCTCCTCTCGGTTGAAGACTTCACCCAAGGTTTTCTGCAACTGCACACGCATGGCTTGCCGTAACTTGAACAAGTAATCAGCGGCGACATCGATCTCGGATTTCCCCGGGGGCAGCGGAGGAAGGTTAATAGGGTCAATGTAGGTATTGCCGGAAAGCATCAGCTGTAGTTTGAACCATTCCACCTTCTGTACACCTGGTTTGGGGTAGCCGGTAGGAGCCAGTGCGTCAGCAATATCTGGACCCCAGCCGACGACTTTTTGATATTGATCATAGTACAAAACAGTGGGAATCTATCATCAGCATCATTAGCACCGTTGTGAGGGCCACTGTGCCATCTCGCTACACGTACCTTTTGCTTGGTCTGATTGCCCGCGCCTGGCCATTCAGTTATGATATCCTCCTTGGCTTCCGTGTTCGTCGCAAATGCAAAGGCCACACCCGAGAATGTTGTCCCCTATGAACAGATCAGTTCTGTGTTCGTACAACTTGGGATAAGGTCAAATCTTACAAAATCGATCCCCACGATCAGCTGAGCCTTGTTGTTCCTCCCCGCGCCTTCCACTTCGGCTGGACGAGCGGGACCAAACTGGTTTTGCATTTGTGGCATGGCAGGTTGAGGGGGCACTTGGCCATAGGCACCACCATATCCGGGCGGTTGAGGCGGACCTAGCTGAGGAGCACCAGGCACGTATGGTTGCCTCGTGTCGATGGGTGGGGGATGGTGCGCCATCTGGGGTTGGCCAGGTGGCATGGGAGATTGAGGGCGACCTTGGACATTGTTGTAGGTATAACTAGGGGGTCGGCCGGGAATGCCTGGCTGATTCATCGGAGGCAGGCTCGTCTGAGACGAATTCGGCGGCGGAGGAGTGCCGGTGGTGGAGGTGGAACCGTTGGGCGACGCGACCGAGTTGGGCTGGATGTTGGCACTGCTCTTGCGTTTGGAACCGAAGCCTAAACTCTTGAGACGAGAGCTCATGACATCGACGATGGCGCAGGACCGCGACGGAGAGGAAGGGGAAATGAACAACTGGAAGGGTATATTCGTCCCAGCCGGTGGGAATCGTGGCTGAGGGAAGGAGGTCAGGTCAGGCGAACGTGTATGAGGTTCGAGGTGCGAGTAGGTCAGGACAGGGTTAGGTCAGGCAAACCCCCCGTTTGTCAGAAAGCAAAGGGCGGAAGCGCGTGCGGTGCGGCGAGGGAATGCGGCAGTTACTGTAGATGATTCGAGTTGCCTGAATGCTTGAACGCTCAGAAGGGCAAACGGGGTTCAAAGTTCTGACAGCAGTTTGTTTGCGATCCCTGCTGAAGGTTGTTGCTGTTGTATGGTTCGCAAAGAGGAGCGCAGTTTGTGAGAGGGAAGGCTTTAATCAGGTACTATTTCGGGGATTCAAGTTGCGGTGCAGTTCCAGTGCCAGTGTCAGGCGTCAACTTGAAGTTGCCAGTCAGTGCCACTGGGCTGAACACTGGAGCCCTTTAGTACTGTATGTGGGTATGGAGAACTCCTCGTGGATAGCCCGTCAGGCTAGGGTCTTAGAGGCCTGACTAGGGGTCCCTTAATGGTCAAGGGCTGCCGCCTTGGGGCGAACAAAGACAACAAGAAGCCAAATAGACGAGCTAGTAACATTGACGAGGTAATACCAAGGCGCGGATATGGTCATGGTGTGCAGTGGCCATGGAATGCTCTCACAAATACCTACCTACTGTTGAACATCGCATGTGGCGCTGGAGACAGGCTCGCGCAAACTGAATGATTTGGGCATTTGTAAGAGCTGAAGGACCCTTTCATGCCAGGGAGATATGGTGGCGGCCAATCTCAAGGTCGCACGGTGGAATGATGACCGGAAGTGTCGCAGTTGAGCCGTCAGCCTCAGGCATGGGACCAGGCCGGGGAGCCAGAGTTGGCTAAGACTTGGGGCCAAAGCGACGCTGGCAAACACCAGACACTGGCAGTGCTAACAAAGAACACTGTCTCTCTTGTCGTCTGCATTCGGTATCTGTTGTCGATCCTGAGACAGGTGTTTCCGCCGCGTGCGTTTCTTTCAGAGATTATTCAGTGCAATGCTTGCCTAGGTACCCTACTGTGCAAGTATGATAGAGGTGCGCCCTGACACTGCAGCTCAGCCCCGCGCCCTAGTATACACGCCTACAGTACTGTATTTACAGGCTCCTTCAGCATTCGGCTGCCCATCTCTTGACCTAGTTACGTATAAGCACACTTTCAGCCCAAATCACCCAGAAAGACAAAAAGCCACTGGCCCTGGAATCTCGGGCCAGCATCATCTCCCACGTGCAGAACACAAGTGCAATCCATAGCATTTCATTACCACTAACTGCCGTTCTGGTTTTGACCTAAGGACCCTGCTAGCAACCCTGGATTTTCTAAGGCTGACAGGAGGGCGGGAATCATGAAACCTGGTTGGACCAATATTCCAGCCGACCAGCAGTAGTCGGTCCCTGACCGGGTGATTTTCCCCATCCATGCTCCTACTCGCTGTTGGACATTTGCGCAGTCCCAGTCGTGGCAAACTTGAAACACAGGATCCATACTATCTTAATAATTGTAGGTACATACGAAGCGAGCGAGCGCCATTGCCTTATTACAAAGGTGGCAGAAGCGTTGGTCCAAACGGAAAAATCACCGCGAGTTCATATTCTCATTCCATGAATCTTGTAGTACATACTTATCAAACCAAACTTGTGCGGCGCTACAGTTCATCTCTCCTACTCGAACTGGCACTGGCGCTGGCACTCTTGGCTGGAGAGGATGATGAAGTAGACTCACTTCCGCCAGCGGTGCTAATAGTTGAAGAGAAGGAAGAGCTTTTCGTCTTGCTTTTGTTCGACTTGCTCTTCGCCGCCTTCTTGCCGCCCTTGACCTTTCGAGGAGGTTCCTGCATCTTGATTGTCTTCATGATCATCTCCGACACAACCTTCTGCAGCTCCTGGCCTCGCTTCTCGAGGTCGGCCACTAGAAAGGCGGGTTCCTCGTGGGGCTGGAGTTTGTCTTGAAGCGCCAGCTTCTCGTCAAGCCAGGCTCGCACTGTCTCGTGTTTTGCCTTCAACAGAGATAGATCATCCAGAGTATATTCGTATGGTCTGACCGTCTCTGTTTCGGCGGCCGTCGGTTCGGCATCTGCTTCTTCATCTGCTGCCGCCGACGCTGTGCTGCTGTAAGGATCTTCTTCGAGATCATCGTCCACATCCGCCGCGGATGAAGATGAGCTGGGGCTGGAGGTGGCGCTTAATGCCACCGACGAGGCCACGGAGCTCGCACTGGATGCTGCACTCTCGGCTGCTTTTTGGATGCTGCCTTCAACCATCTTGATCATCGAGTTGAGGCTTTCCAGTCCATCCTGGAGAGCCTTGATTGCATCGGGCCGTCTGGAAGCCTCCTCGCGACGCTTCAACACGGGATCCACCAACTTCCGAAGGTCTTTCAATTTCCTCTGGAAATCCTCCAGTGTGGCATCTGCTCCCTTCTCATCAAGCCACTCAGAAATACCAGCAAGCTGCTGTTCCAATTCTTTCTGTGCCTTCTCGCCCGAGGCAGCAATGAACGATTCGTCTTCGAGGTAGTCACGGGTGCGATAGGTGAACGCTTCCAATGTGTTCAAGGCCTCGGCACGGAGCGCAGCGTTACGGTCTGAATTATCAAACTGGGTAAGTCGCTGGCGTATTTGTGGTAGAGATTTGACAGGCGGTATGTTGCGGCCGAGGGGCTTCGATTTGACGGCCAGAGGGATGGAGACGACAGAGGGAGTGGCCTGTGCAGGCTTGGCCGAGTCGCTTGCTGATGAAGCTGATGGTTTGGGAGATGGCGACGCCGATGAGATTGTAGATCCCGAACTTGTTGAATCAGACACAGGGAGTGGAGTCTCCGATGCTATGCCCTCCTCAGTCGTGTCCTCCTCTTGTAACACCTGCTGCTCATCGCCCTTCTTGCCACCAAAGCCAAATAGCCCCTTGACGTTGTCCATCACGCCTCCGGATTTACTACCGTTGGTTTCGCAGCTAACAGACCCTGAAACAATTTCTGGCAGGGCATCCAAAGGCCTCAGCTGAACATTGAAGACAGTACTGATATTGGCAGCTCCACAACCATATTTCTCCTTGAGCTCCGTCACAGACTTTGTAATATTGGTTGCAGCCACCTCGGCAATAGGGACATCCCTGTCGTAAACCGTCTGAAGGAAATCGAGCTTGAGATCCTGCAGCGTTTTGATGGGCACTTGCTTCTCGGTTCCCACCTGAGAGGCTGGAGTGAACACTTTCTGCGTCCTGTCCTTCTTCTCGGCGGTCCACTTCAGGCTGAAAGGAAAGCCGGAGATGTCTGTTCCTCGGATATCCTTCACCCTGAAACTTGTGCTCAGAGAAGCAGCTTTGAAAGCCGCACCCATGACAGCGGCTTCATCAGCGTTCACATTTGCTTTGAGCTTTGCAGCCCCACCAGCAACTTTTTCGAGCTGTTTCTGCACAAAGGGCGTCCTGATAACTCCTCCATGCAGAATAATGGAGTCAAGGTCACTGAGCTCGAGGCCAGCGGATTGGAGAGCTGCAGAGAGTGGCTTTCCGACACGTGCAGCATGGTCGGCCGCGAGCTCTTCGAACTTGTCTCGAGTCAGGCTGTATTTGAAAGTGATATCCTCGTTGTATATTCCCTCGAGTGTAGCTCCCGAAACGGCGTTTGCGCTCAGAAGTTGTCGAATACGCTCGGCTTCCTTCCATATCCTAGCCATAGCCTTACCATGACTCCGAAGTTGAGACTTGTCCAGTCCCAGCTTCTTGACCTGGGGGGCCTCGAGAAATTGATTGACAATATCTTCGACAATCACATCGTTAAGTGAGTCTCCTCCTAATGTGGCGTCATATCCAGTGCCAACCACGATAACTTCCTGAATGGTCTGATTGCGTTTGCCGTAGCCCTTGACCGTCCTTCCTTGGCATTTCAAAAGAGTGGCTGTGGTCGAGCCTGCGCCCATATCGTAGACTAGATGGTATTCAGGCTTTCCGCCTTCGGAGACACTGTCAAATGCGTGGAGGGTAGCATAATTGAGACCGACAGCGAGTCCATCGCTGACGAGACCCAGTACCCGTAGGCCGGCCATATCTGCAGCTAACTCGAGCGCTCTCTTCTCCTCAGCCGTAAAGAAAGCAGGATAAGTGATGACCACATCAGTGACATAGGTTCCCTTGGGCACCATCGTCTCGGCATTGTTGCGGATATTCTTCAATTCCATCGCCAGCAGCTCCTCCACCATAAAGACTTCCTCTTTCTTGCCAAAACTCTGGCTCTTGAAACCAACAGTATTTCCCACATCCTTGTCTGCATCCGACCTAGGCATCGGTACAACGTTAAGCCCCGGGTGTCGCGTCTTGTAGGTCTCTACTGCAGCGGAGGAAATGTCCACTCCCAAGAGTGTCTTCAGATTCGGATAGACATCCGCCGGAAACCTGGCGGACAGAGCGACCGCATCTCCGCCATACAGTCGTTCGGGGTATGTTTGGGCGGCGTTACTCTGCAACCTTGACGGCTTGAATGCAATAGTCGCGGCCTCTTTTCTCTTGGAATCTTTGGACAGCACGATTTCGATGGGAGCCCCGGGTTTGGCAATGGCCGCCTTGATATATTCTGTGCCGAAATCGATGCCGAGGACTGCGGACGCGGCTTGTGCGCTTGTAGCTAGCAGGAGGAGGAAGAGGAGAGGTAAAAATGTGATCGATGAGATCTTCCGCCTTCCGGGAGGTGCCATATTGAGAGCGAAATGGAATTTGGAGGCACGAGGTAAATAGTAGGTTAGGATACAGTCATGTAGGGAGATGTTGAGAACATCGTACGTGCAAAATGCGAAGCGGTACTCGTGAGGGTACTTGAAGAGAATCGAGCAGAAGACTGAGCCAAGTCAATTAAGGGGAGTTGTTGATCTGTTGTCATCTATAAACTTCTTGGTATGGCGCGTTTGTGAACAACTGTCCAGACTTGAGTCCCCACGGACTATGGAGACAGGCATGTTCAACTGCCAGTGCAGTTTGAAGTTTGTCAGACTCCGGCTGGCGGGCCACACTTGCGCCACACTGCAATTGCACTCGCCACAGACACCAGCCAAGCGAATGCCATGGATTTGGGCGGCTTGGACTCGCCCACCGGCACTGGCACTGGCACTGCACTGCAGTACACCGCAAAGAACCGCACCACAACCTGAAAAGCCAAGGCACACGAAGTTGGGTATGTACTGGTACCCAAGTACTTTTACCACTGTACGGAGATCTCAAGCGGTCAGCAACGTCAAAGAAATCTGAACATATAGAAATTGGAATATTTTTAGAACTTTTTTTTGGATTTGTATCTTCACCGTAGCCAGTCCAAAGACTGCCATTGCTACCACGCCAACTACATACTAAGACTATATACAATTCAGTCGATAGTAGCTGATATGTTCGCACAATCTGGTGACTTGCACGCCTCCTGAGAAGCCGGGTATCTCTCCTCCCCATTCATCCCCAGACCCCGTCTATCGACTTCAATTAGTGATAGATACCAAAAATGTTGCAGTGCAATTTTCCACATGGTACTAGTATGTCGTAAGGAACGTAACGCTTCGGCATGCGTTGGATTAAACAGCCGAGCAAATCATAACAGTTCATAATAGGCTGTAAAATCTCGACGTGTCCGCCGAGTTCAAGAATCGAAAGGTTTTGAGACGCTCATTATCAGCCTCTTGGCTGTGTTCAATAGCAAACAATTTATGCCAGGGCAACCAAGGCAACGAGACCACCGAGGAGAGCCACGGCAGGCTTGTTGTTGGTAGCAGCGCCAGTGTAGGTGGCAACTGGGGCAGAGGTGGTGGCGGCAACAGGAGTGTAGCTGCTGATGACGGCGGTCGTGGAGGCAGGAGCCGAAGTAGCCGGAGCCGGGGCAGACGAAGTCCAGTCGTTCCAGACCTTGGAGGACTCAACAGGCGCCGGGGAGGCGGGAGCAGAGGAAGCAGGAGCTGGGGCAGAGGAGGCAGGAGCCGACGAGGCCGGGGCCGGAGCGGATGAAGTCCAGTCGTTCCAGACCTTGCTCTTCGACTCGACAGGAGCCGGAGCAACGGAGGTGGCAGTGGTTGGTGCCGGGGCCGGAGCAGAAGAAGTCCAGTCGTTCCACACCTTGCTCTTCGACTCAACGGGAGCAGGAGCGGGAGCAGTAGACTTGGTTGGTGCTGGAGCAGGAGCAGAAGAAGTCCAGTCGTTCCAAACCTTGGTCTCGGTGGTCTTCTCGGTCACTGGCTGAGTCTCGGTGGTGGTGGTCCAGTCACCCCAGACCTTGGTCTCAGTGGTCTTCTGGGACTCAGGAGCAGTGGAGGTCCAGTCACCCCAAACCTCGGTCTTGGT